CAAAACAGATGCTTTAACAAGCACATTTTGTTTATCACAGTGAATCAGAGATTTTAGGAGTCTTAAATATGCTAAATTTATGCCATATTTATAATTTTATTAAATATTTAGGAGTCTTAAAATTAAGGCAAACACTGAACCAGCAAAATCTAAAGGGTGTGCAAATCCTGCAACCTATAATTGCCCTCTTGGTTACAGGCCCTAAAGTGCTATTTTCTAGATGAAGGATCACATACTGCTAATAAATGCTGCAATTAAGTAAGTAGATCTTGGCCAGCCAGTTTTGAGGAGAAAGGGTACTGAGGATTGAACCCAAAGCCTTCACACTGAGTTACATCGATGGTCCTTTCTTCATTTTATATTTTAAGACAGGGTCTTGCTAAATTGCCCAGGCTGGACCGGAATTTTCCATCCTTCTGCCTCAGCCTCTGAAAGCTGTGAGAGCACAGGCATTCACCATCACACCCAGCTAACCTTCTTAATGAAATCAAATTAGAAATTTTCTTAATTACTTTTCTCATTAATGAGACAAAACATCCAATGCTCAAAATTAAGGACGGAGGGGCTGAGGATTTAGCTCAGTGGCATAAGCACCTGCCTTGCAAGCAGGCAGTCCTGAGTTCGATTCCCGGTACCAATAAAAATGAAAAAGACAAAAAAAAAAAAATTAAGGAAGGAAAGGTTTATTGAGCTCACAGTCTGTGGAAGTTTCAGTCCATACATAGCTGGCTCCAAGATGGGTTGTGACAGATAAACAATTCATGGCAGCAGAAGACAGCAAAAGCAGCAACAGCAAAAAGGGAGGAGCAAAAGAGAAGGCTTTCTATCCCTTATATTGTACATAGGCTACCCACCCTAGGGTGAATGCAGCCCTCCCACCCATAATCCCAGCACTAGACAATGAATCAGTCACAAACTCTAGGATCAGCCACCTCCAAAAAGCACCTCCCCCATGATTGCATGAGACTCTGTGGTGACATCCAGACACAAACCATAACATTCCACTCCTGCACCCCCCAAAGACTGATACACATTCCTTTATGCAAAACACATTTAGTCCATCTGCAAGTAGCATAAGTCCTAACAGTTTCAGCATTGCTGAAAAGTTCAAGTCTCAAATCTCTTCTGAGTTGTAAGGTAAACTCTTAGCTATGAGACCCCATACAAATGAAAAGCAAGTTAAACATTTCCAACATTCAATGGCACAAGATATACATTTCCATTTCAAAAGTTACAAACAGAAATACAAAGGAACAGGGCAAAGGAGCCCACAACCAGCAGGGCAAACATTAAGTCCTGTAGTTCCATGTGCAACATCCAAGACAATGTGTGGCAAGTTGTGAGCTCTAAAAGGCCTGGATGGTTCCACTCCTAAGGTACACAGGTGGTTGTAGCTCCACTGGCTTCTATCTTGGGCCTGCTTTGCTCCCTTCTTGCAGGTTTCCTCAGATGATCCATATTCCTGGCTTCTCCAAACTTCAGGGGTCTCCACTGCACCTTTGACTTTACTCTCACAGCTTCATATACTGCCCTCTCAGGGGCACACTGCCTGGCCTCCCAGGCCTTCTGAAATCTGTGTGGAAGCCTTTTGAACCTCAGAACTCTTGCATTCTGCATGTGCCTGCAGTCAGCGTTACATGGGTGATGGCAAGGCCTGCTGCTAGCTGGAGCACAGCCAGGCTTTCTTCTCTCAGCTGTAGAGGTTGAATGCCTGATCACTGAAAACTGTAAACCTAATTCCAAGGAATAAATTCTCTATGCTGCTGCCATTTTAGGGCATGTTGTGCTGTGGCTTTCTCCTCAAAGCAAAGTCTTCCACTTTTGCAGTTTTGAGGCTACAAAGGGTACAAACTTGCTGCTTCCTGTGATGTCCAAGGTCATCTTTTGTATTCTATTCCTTCCCAGCAATCAATATTTCCTCTGCTCTACCTTTGCAGTCCACAGCTTTACTGGAGCTTCCTTTCTGGCCAAATTCACATTTTAAATAATCCTGCTAGCTTTCTGCTCTTGATTCATAACATAAATCTGGCTAAACGTCCCTAACTATAGCCATGCCACTACCTCAACATTTGACTGCCTTGAAACTTTTTCTGTCAGATTACTTAGACTACCACCCTTAATCATAGTCCCAGGTAAAGTCTGGACATAAGCAAAATGCAGACAAACTTTCTTCCAAACCATAACACACATCATCTGGAGTCCAACAGCCAATATAGTCTTTCTTCCCAGCAAAAACCTCCCAAGCCTGGTCTTTACCAGCAGGATTTCTATCACCTTTCTGGTTTTCTGAGCTCTAACTAGAATCTCCCATACATAACAGTCTAAGGTGTTCTAGCACTACTCTTTCAGATAACATCTCAGAACCTTTCCAAACTCTTCCTATAAAGCCATTCCCAAAGGTCTTTGAACCACATGGTCAAGTATAGCCACAGCAATGGCCCCACTCCCAGTACCAGATTCTGCCTTAGTTACCTTTATCATCGCCAAGACAAAATATCCAACACCCAAAATCAAGGGAGGAAAGTTTTACTGAGCTCGCAGTGTGTGGAGGTATCAGTCCATACTCAGCTGGCTGCAAGGCAGAGTGAGGGGCAGAGAAGCAACAGTTCATGGCAAAAAATTTTAAAGTACAAAGTCATCACTAATACAGAAAAATAAAGGACTATGACTTCCAAACTTAAAAAAAAAAAAGGTTATCTGAGATCTATGTGAAAAACCATATAGTATATGTACATGTTCACATACTATGCAACAAATGCATATGAAGATATATGCTTCACACAGTACCATATTGTATGTGTGTGTAAATAATTTCTGTTACGGTTTGTGTCTGGATATCCCCCAAAGCCTCATGCAGTCATGGGGGAGGTGCTTTTTGGAGATGGCTGAGTCTAGAGTTTGTGAATGATTCATTGTCTAGTGCTGGGATTATGGATGTAAGCGCTACATCTACCCTAGAGTGGGTAGCCTACATACAACATAAAGGATAGAAATAGTCTTGCTTTTGCTGTCTTCCAAGGATTTAGCTCAGTGGCATAAGTGTCTACCTGGTAAGTGCAAGACCGTGACTTCAATCCCCAGTACAAACAAAAACAAAAACAAAAAAAACCAGCCTGGCTGTATAGCTGAGTTCAAGGCCAGCCTGAACTACACAGATTTTATCTCAAAATAAAATGAAATTGAAACAAAACAAAATCAGCTTGATTGTGTAATAAAATAAAATTTAAAAGAAAACATTGGAGGGAATTCAACAGGTGTAGATTTAAAATTCTTGGCCACTTAGGCCCAGGATGGTGGCACATGCCTGTAATCCCAGTACTAGGGAGACTGAGGCAGGATCACCATGAGTTTAAGACCAGCCCAGGTTACATAGTGAGTTCAAGATCAGCCTGAACTAGATAGTGAGACCCTGTCTCAAAGAAAAAGGAGGAAGGACGAGAGGAAAAGAAGGGGAAGGAAAAGGGAGGGGAAGGAGAAGGAGGAAGAAAAGGAAACATAATCTCTGCCACTTACTGGGAAAAGCATTAGCAAGTTCCTAAGTTTCTCCACACTTCTGTATTGGGTAAGAGGACCTCATAAAAAAATTCTGTTACATGATCAAATTAAATACAGTAATACAGACACATCTTCTTTACAAAGTGTTACAGAAGTGGAAGCTGCCATAGTAGAAGAAATTCTCTTGGTTACACAACCACAGAGACTGAGCGTGGGCAAGGCTTGCATCTGCACTCTTGCTGGTGCTATCTGTGTATGCGCTCACCTGGCAGCTTTGGACTCAGTTATACTCCAAGTCTGGCACAGTCCCTGGTACATGCCAAGTGCTTGATACAGTTGTTTTAGTGCAATCCAAATAAGGTTACCTGTAAGAAGTGAGAATGGGAAACAGCATGGCAAGGAAAGGGCTCTTACTTTTTGTTTCCTGTTACTCTACTGTTTGAACTTTTTTATTATGAATATATATTACTAAAATGGTGACATGATTAGTTTAATGGTTCATTAAAACAGCAAATGTTAGGTATATCCTTCTCAGCACTGTGAGACAGAAGCAGAAGGATGGAAGATTTGGAGCCAGCAACCAGGCGTAGTAGTGCATGCCTTAATCCCCAGCACTCTGGCAGCTGAGGCAGGAGGATCCTCTTGAGTAGAAACCCAGCCTGGGCCAGAGTTCAAACTACTGATTGACTCAGATTGAAACTCTATCTCAAAAAATCAAGACAACAACGAAACAGAAAAAGTTGGAGCCAGGCTCGGCAAGGTAGTGAGACCTTATCTCCAAAAAGAAAACAAAATGGGGATGTGGCTCAGTGCGAAGGCCCTGGATTCAGTCCTCAGAACAACAAAAAAAAAGCATATGTTAATGTCATCGCCTCTGGGGATAAGGCTGCGTTTTACCGGGGCTAACTACAGGTGGGCTGAAGATGCAGCTCAGGGGCAGAGCCCTAGCTTGGCTGCAAGGTTCCGTCCCCAGCACGGGTGATGACCAGAGAAGGACACCGCGTGGAAAAGGGGTTGTGGGGTGGGGGTCGGGGGAGCCGCTAGGAGGCGCGCACGAGGCCGTCGTCTTCCCGCTCTCAGCTCGCTGCCCCAGTGACCCCGCGCCGGCGACCGCGAGTAACCCCGCGCTGGGCGGCGCCCCCCCACCCCCGCCCTCCCTGACTCTCGCCTGCTCGCTCTCAGCCAATGGGAGGGCAGCACCGAGCGGCCGGACTCTCGCCCCCAGCGACGCCGCCCTCGGACGGTTAGGACCCAGAGTGCGGCCGGTCGCTGCGTGCCTTGGCCCTTTCCAATAGCAGCGGTCCCGGCTCCACGCCCCGCCCGCGCCGGGCGGGCCTCGTGTCATTATCGGCCCGAGTCACCTTTGCCTTACAAACGATCGGGCCCGCCCGCTTCCTACCTTGCCGCGCTAGGCCACGCCCTCGAGCCTCCCGACCAATCAGAGGCTAGGTCCGGCGGCCGGGGCGGGCCCGCGGCCAATGCGCACGCCGTGGGCGGGCCCCCGGCCGGAATTGGGGGTGAAGCTCCAGCGTCTTGCCCACAATCGGGGCGCTGGGAGCCGGGGGTCCCTGGGGGCCGCCCGCAGTTAAGATGGCGTCTGCGGCGGAGGGGGACATGGGGACAGCGGCGGAGCCGACCTGGTGGCTACCGCCAGGGCTGGAAGAGCTGAGCTTGAGCAAGTTGGCGACGTCCCTGGGCGCGTCGGAACAGGCGCTGCGGCTCATCATCTCCATCTTCCTTGGTAAGGACCCTCCTGCCTCGTCTGCCCCCTCCGGGGTCCCCGGGTAACCGAGAAGAGATGGAGACAGGACTTGACTTCCCCAGTAAGGTTGTGTGGGGCGCGGCGGTAAACCCCAAAAGACACCAACAGAAGTCCTGTCTCAAGTCTGGGGCTCTGTCCTCCGGACCTGTTTCCCCCTCGACCCGCTGTGCCCTCCGGTCCCTCTTTCGGTGCCCGCCTCCTTGTCATGCCGTGCTCCGCGGTGTCCCCATGACCTGTCTTTCATGTCGCTCTTGAGTTGCACTCGGGTTGACCATGTGTACTGTTAACAGCCCGGCATATGCGCTCTGTTATCGGCAGGGGCAGGCCCCTAACTTAGGGGTGCCCCACTAGCCCCATATTCCATGACGTGTCTATTTTGTGCACTGCCAGCTCCTGTTACACTTTCATCTCTTTCTGTGTCGTTTTTAATATTTCCTTCTTAAACCATATGGCTTTTTTTTATCTTTAGCCATTCCTGTCATTCACCCTGGAATATCATTTTAATACTGTGCTTGGGAAACAACTCACAATCCCTTTTAAAACTATCCATGCTGTTCCAAGTGATTATTACTGGTAAGGTTCAAAGGGTGTGCTGTGTATAAATTTATGGCACAACAAGCTGTATTATAACTGGTTTATGGGCTTCTTTTTTTTAAATGGCATCTGTACTCCATGGTTTTTAACGTGGCCTTTGAAGGCAAAAGAGTCAGACCCAGCCTAGCTGCTGCTCACAGATAGTGAGATCCTAGACAAGCAGTTAACTTTACCTAACTTGCTTTTCTTATCTACGAAATGAGGACAATAATTGATGTAAAGTCCTGTTGGAATGCTAGGGTTAAACTCATCAATGATAGGTCATTTGAGTGGTTGGAAGTTTTTAGGAAGGATGTAGAATTTTAGTTTAGAAAATCAAAGTTGGGAAAGAACTAAGTGAAAGGGAAAAGGAAAGAGGAATGGTACAAGAACAGAGATCTCAACCATAAAAAGTTTGAGATAAGGTTGGGCAGTTAAGGCAGGATTTAAATGCCAGAAGGAAGTTTGGAGTTGTCATCAGTGGAGATTCTGATACATAATAGCCTGAAGGGTGTCAACACAGTCTGCATAATGGGGAGGTTACTAATTCATATTTTAAATAGACTTGTCATTTACCTATTACATATCAAAGCAAGATGATCAACTTTTCTTCCAGATAAAGGTTGCCTTTCCCTTTCTTGAAGAATTGTAAGATTTTAGAGGTGAAGGGATCTTCAGTTGTGTGATTTGCTAAGCGTCACCCAGGCATAACCCAAATTTATGAGCATCCCATCTAGGTAGGAATCTATGTAGCACATCAGCTTTGAACTTCCTGCTCTTTGAACCTTGCTCTGACCCAGTTTTTGTTGGAATTGGTATCGTATCGGCAATGACAAGTGATTACATTCATTAGTCCAGAAGCCCACTGTGGATTTCTCACTGTAAACTGAGAACATAACACAAGGGTCAAGCTGTTAAATGGAACTAGGATTGGATTTAAGACTTCGCACTTGTCCTGTGGGTGCCTATATAATCAGATACTGCTTGTATACTCCTGGGTACTGTAATGGGACATGCTGCTCACTAGGAAAGTGTTTTCTCTGTACCTTACCGTTCTTCTATTACTACCCAACATCAAAGTAATAAATGCTCAATGTGCTCGTGCACATATATGTATGTGTACATATATATTTAAAACCTTACAGGAAATGGACTGGGGGTTTGGCTCAGTGACATAAGCCTGGCAAGTGTGAGGTTGTGAGTTTGATCCCCGGTATCAAAAAAAAAAAAACCACCAGGAAACATTTGCCCTACTTCTTAGTATTACTTATGATCCATTACATCTATTTCATGATTTCATTGTTTTGTTTTTTGGTTTGTTTTATTTTTTTGAGGCTTTTTTTGTTTTTGTTTTTTGAGGCTGCTTGGAACTCACGGTGATCCTCCTGCCTCAGCCTCCCAAGTGCTGGGATTACAGGTACCATCATGCCCTTCTATTTCATGACCTTTTGATTGATGAGTTACAAATGAAAATTTTAAAAATCCCGAGTTGGGGGGGGGGTACCAGAACTCAAATCCTGGGCCATGAATGCTAAGCATAGTCTGTACCACTGAGTTTCCTTCCCAGTCTGCTTATGACTTTTAATACCTAGAGGAAAGAGTAAGCTTATGTGGATCACTGTATTCGAGTATTTTCAACAGCCAGGCTTATCTATGAAGAGGATCAGTGAGTGCACATTTGCATTCAGCTGGAGAGCACAAGAAGTTTGGCAAGAAGGGTGCCAATGATACAGTTTGATATGATCCCTGGCGCTGGCAAATGCTGCTAGACACATCTCCCTTTCACCAACCTGAGCCTCATCTCTGCTTAACATAATTAATAACATGAATTGTTTCAAATAAATTTATTCAGAGGCCAGGCATGGTGGCACATACTTATAATCCCAGCACTCTGGAGGATGAGACAAGTGGACTGCTGCAAGTTCCAGACCAGCCCGTGCTACTAAGTGAGTTCAAAACCAGCCTGAACTGCATAGTGAAACCCTGTCTAAATAAATAAATTCAAATGTACTTACTCCAAAGGAAGCCAAATTCTTGGCCCTGCAAGGGCAAGGGCAATGTGAGTAGTCTTGAGAAATAAGACCCCCACACTGGAAGCCAGTAAGCTAGAGGGGAGGGGCCGGTTGTGAGATAAAGAGACACTGACCCCAGTGAAAGTGTGATGAGGCTTAAGGAAGTGACAGTTGGTAAATACTGGACTTTGGAAGTTGCTCAGGTTTCTGTAGACTGAGATGAAACAGAAGAAGCAGGAGCAGAGACAGAGGCACAGGGAATGCTCGTCCTCCGGGACCGCCAAGGCTAAGGTGTGAGACTCAAGTAGGGAAGTGGTAAGAGAAAGCTGAACTATAGGTTGTGCGGCCTGGAAAGCCAAGATTTCAGCAGATGAGGAGGAGCATGGGAGTGGTTTGGTTTGGTTTGGTTTGGTTTGGTTTTTGCAGTTCTAGGAATGGAGCCCAGCATGGTTTGAAATCAGCATAGCCAAGGAATGGAGCCCAGTGAGAGGAAACAGCAACCTGAGTGGGAAACTAGGATGACTGACTGAAAGGAAGGAGAGTCACTCAAGGGCTTTTAGGAATGCAGAACGATTTGAAAGGTAAATTCTGTGAGCATTTCATCTACACTGCCGCTCAAAAGAAACCACAGATTCAGCCTTGTTGCCTCCCTGCCAGTCCCCGACATTGTGGTCACAGAGTCCTATCAAACATATGCTTCTCCCTTTCCCCATCACTGCACTGGGGTGACCCACGCAAGCATCCTCCTTCCTGCTCTCTAATTCTCTTCTTGCCCCAAAGCTGCAGATTCTGTGCCTTCTGCCCCCCCAAGCTCTGCCTCTGTCAGGTCCTCAGAACCTGCACCACTACCAGCTACCAGCTCCACTATACAAGGCTCCACTGGGTCTTCCTCCCTTAGGGGCTCAGCCATAAGGCTTTTCCCTTTGTCTGGGTGTGAAGTCTCTTCCCAGAGGTGCTTTCTAGGTTCTCTCTGTCCTGAACAGAGAATAGATCAAGACAAATGCAAACGGTGCCAAGGTTTTACATTATTAAAGGTAGGAAAAGAAACCTACTCCGCAAAGGAAGAGCAGACTACCAGAAGGAGCTTACACAGGGACTATGCACTGGCTTGGCAGCAGGCTATTTTGTATCCACCCCACCCACCCCACGCACACAGATTCCTCAAGCTGAGATCACCTGCAAGCCGACCTATCAGAAACCTGCTCCAGCTCTCTAGCACTCTCTAATTGGCTCCAGTTGCAGTGTTTTAGTGTTCTGTTCGGCACGTAGGTCCTGCAACTTGGTAATCAACAGGCCATACCTAGTTGCTTGGCTGGTTTGCCTACTCTAATGGCCTGCCTCATGATCCTTCCGTTGAACCTTCTTTGCAGACTCTTACTGCAATTGAGTCCCCTTCTCATACTGACTGAAATTTCTAAGACTATATTACAACTTAAAATTATGTATCTGTAGGTGAGGACAGACATCACATCAGTTTTGTTCACCACAGTACCCAGTTGAAACAGTAACAGAAAAGCCCAAAAACTTGTTGAATAAGTAAATATGTAGATGAGTGACTTGGAATAAATAGTTTTTAGAAAAATAAAAGATTCCCTCCTGTCTGAGTAACCATGCACAGAGGTTAAGAGAAAGGTCAGGTATTAGTGAGTGCTAGGTAATGCTCTGGTTTGAGATTTAGTTTCAGTTACAAGAGTATTTCCAAGTATGTGCAGAGGTGAGAAGTCTAATTTTGAACCCAGCAAAGAAGTTAGGCCAAAAATCCACTTTCAGGGAGCTGGGCATGGTGGTACATACCTGTAACCCCAGTACCCAGCAGGCCAATGCAGAAGAATTGCTGCAAGTTTGAATTCAGCCTGAGCTACATGGTGAGGTGAAAGGCCAGCCTGAACTACATAGCGAGACTTCATTTAAAAAAAAACACATAGTTTTAGGAGTTAGTATTGGTATCATAACTGAATCAGGGAGGGAACTAAATGCCATGGAAACACTTACATGAAAAAAAATCATTTGTATATGCTGCCAAAGCAAGCACTAGAATCTAATTCGTTTGATTATGTTAATATTGCTACCTTTTCTTTCATTTTTGTTTGTTGTTTGAGACAGAGTCTCAATATGTAACCCAGGCTGGCCTTGAACTCACAACAGCCCTCCTGCCTCAGCCTTCCCAGTGCTGGGATTAGAGACATGCACTACCATGCCAGGCACTGCTACCCCTTATTGATTATAATAATAGCTGGCATTTTTGTTTATTAAGGATGTTCTAAGTAAATGGCAATCCACAGGCAATTCCCTGCCCAAACCTGCCAGTTACTAATAAGATAATTACAGTGCTTATTGTCTCCCTAATACAGAAAGAAATTAGGGATTATAAAGGTTAAGTACCTTGCCTGAAGTCACACTTAGTTCTCGCAGGCTCTGGAACCCTATATGTAGAATGAATGTGGACAGTGGCAGATATAAACACTCTTGATAACCCTTCCCCTCATCGCTCTTCTGGTTAAACCAAGATGTAATCACCCAGGCAGTGACTCTCCCTCCATAGCCAGAAGCTGCCAAGTGGAGCAGATGGCCACAGCACTGAGCACAAGCACTCCTGGTCTTGGCCAAGCCCACAGTTCAGAATTAGCATCACTGATGTCAGCCACCTTTGAAATCCTGAGAGCCTGCAGTTTAGCTCCCATTACCCCAATGTCACCACTGGCTTCTCAGAAACAATCCATTATTCAGTTCAGGAAACTTCCTTTCAGATAGCACTTAAATCACAACACAACGAAACCAAAGCTAAGCAACATGGAAATTAAATACCATTAAGTAAACAGATGGAACTTCTGACCATGATATAAAGCAGGACCCAAAAACTTCAGCTGTAGGGAGAGTGTTCTAGATGGCTTTTGAGAGCTCCTCCAGTTCTGAAGGTCTCAGTATTTGAATTCATAGCCACATATTTCATTGTCATCTGATGCTTCTTGTTTGGGAATTGTTTTAGATGTATCTTTGTGACTACTGTTGCTATATTTCAAGATCTTACATGGTGGGGTACACTTCATGTTTTGGATTCCAGCATAACTTTATTGTCAAACAGAACCACTGTTTTACAGAAGCACGTGTAAATTAGGGCCCAGGAGATTATTTGAATGGCCACTGGCATGAAAACACTCCTCTAGGGCCCAGCAGCCTTCTGGCAGTGGGATTTCTATTTACAGCAGCAAAAACTGGCTTTGCAGCTGGGCCTTAAAGGGATAGGAAGGTTCTAGTCGGGAAAATGGAGCTTTCCAGCTGCAAAGAATAGTGATCACATACGTGGAGGTGAGGAAGCATGGAGAAATCTGAGGAACAGCAGATAATCCACTTTGGCTAGGGTAGTAGAACAATCCTGGAAGAGTCGTAGAAAAGTCTGCTAGTGGGGTGAGGTGGCCAAGAGGCAGGGCAAGTGTGGGCTTGCTGCACCCAAGGCTCAAAGGCCAGCTATACTAGAGCCACAGAGGCTGCCAGTCAAGCAGTTTACCTGGTAAATAATTACGTTGCATTTCTGACAAGCAACAGTATTTTAAATCAGAATGCAAATTTTATTTGAATTTTAAAAATCATGCACTTATCAAAGAAATTCCTTAGAGGGCTGGGCAGGGCCTCTGAAAAAGTTTGAGACCTTTGCTCGTGGATTGCTCCCGGACTAATTTGAGGTAGGGTGTGGAAACACTCCAAGTTCATAAACTGAGTACGGGCCCAGTAATCTACCTTTTAACACACTGTCTGGTTACACATGCTGCCCTAGAGTTAGAGTATGGCAAATTGGATGTGTTTCTTCATGCATCTGTTTTATAATAGTTGATGTCCTGATTGGATTTTTTAATAGGTTGTCTCTTTGTTTGTTTTGGTGATGGGAAATGAACCCAGGGCTTTCACATTGAGCTACCTTCCTACCTGTTTTATTTTAAAACAGAATCTTGCTAAATGGGCTGGGCTAGGCTTCAATTTGAAGTCTTTCTGCCTCATCACCCCACAGTGCTGAAATTACAGGCATATACCACCACACCTAGCTCCAGTTAGATTTTAAAACTTTTTGAAATGTTTGCTGTGCTGTGATCTTTGAAATAAAACTCTCAGATTCTTTATAGCGTAGTAGGCCCTATTAGTTGACATCTTCATGTTAAAATCTTACTGTTATTCAATCCTACTGTTGACTCATGATCACCACTGTCATAACTTCCATCATTATTTCACCATCTGCCTCGCCTTCAGATGAGGTCAGATACAGAACTCTTGGAGGTGAGTGGACTTCTTTCTTTCCATTTATGCAACAACTGCCTTTGAGCAATACAATATTCTCCTACCTGGGTGTGGTGGCCCATACCTGTCATCCCAGCCCTGGGGAGCTGAGGCTAAAGTCACCGAATTCAAGCCCAACCTTGCCAATTTAGTGATTTAGGGAGAGTCTGTCTCAAAATTTTAAAAAGGCTTGTTGGAGATAATATAGCTCCATGTGGACACATCAGGTTCAGTCCCCACTCCTTTAAAACAAAAAATCTAATTGAACTTCTTACATTCCTTAATTCAGTTAATTAATTGTGACTTGGAACTTGAACAAAAATTAGGTGTTCCGGTGGCAGCTGTTAGGGAAAGCTGTTCCAGTATCAAATACTTGCAAGCAGTTTTTATGGTAGGATGTGCATGCATACATGTGGGTATGTGGAGATTTTCCCCGAGGTTGCTAAAATCAAGCACCAGGAGATTTAGGACCCTCTTGGAGTTCTGTTGGTGCAACAATTACTGCTTACTAACTCCTTTAGTAAATATCAATAATTTATACAGGCTAAAGGCTGACATATGTGTCAAAGTAATTTCTGAGTGAAAATTTGGGTATGAAATTCACTGATGTTTACACCTAAGTTCCTCCTGGCATAAGCACCTGCTTGGCAAGCATGAGGTTGTGAGTTCAATCCCCAGTACTGAACAAAACAAACAACAACAACAACAAAAAATACCACAGGGGCTGGGGATTTAGCTCAGTGGTTTAAGCGCCTGCCTTGCAAGCAGGCAGTCATGAGTTCGATCCCCGGTACCGATAAAAAGGAAAAAGACAAAAAAAAACACAGTATTTCCTTCTGTCAAGCAGTAGCTTTGAAGATCAGTGAAACAGATGTGTCCCCGAACACCTTGGATGAAGGGTTCTGGGTAAGAACTATGTGTAGTTCTTACTGGTTAGCACCAGAGGCTCCAGATACAAAGATCATTGATTTGTATAAGTCTAGAGAAAATTAGTCAAAGTGGGTGGACAGGGGCTCAGGATTTAGCTCAGTGGCACAAGCACCTGCCTCGCAAGCGCACAGTCATGAATTTGATCCCCGGTACTAAAAAAAAAAGTGGGTGGAGGATTAGACCAACATTATCAGACTCTGTTCTGTTTCTGGCTCACATGAAGTCTTCAAGTGGACTATTTAAATGCCTCACTCTACAGGCTAAGTTTAAATTAAGAATAAAAAGCTTTTATCAATTAAAGATGTTTTTCAGTACTAAGTATTCATGTTGCTATGGCATATTTGTTAAAAAAAAAACCATATGTGATCATGTCTGCTACACAAAAATGCATGTGATGAGATAGTAATTCTTTAGGCTATATTCAAAGTTAAAAATAGAGGATTTACGTGTCATGTATTACATACAAATTTTGGAGTATTAAATCCCCAGAATATTAGTTTTGATCTCTGTGTTTATATGTTGTGATGAGAAGTGACATCCATGCAAATGTGATAAATGGCTCATAGCTCAAGAGATTTCTCACTTCTGCCATGACAGCAATTCTAAACTCAGATGGACTTGGACACCGTACTAGATTACTGACCATAAATATAAAACTATTGCCAGCAAGCAAAGCCAACTGGACCAGTGCCCTTGAAAGTTCCCACATTGTGTACTTTAGACCAAAGTGACTGAAGTTATCTAGGCATGGTAGTAATGCTTGTAATCCCAGCAGTCAGGAAGCTGAAGCAGGAGAATCACCCTGAGTGAGGCCTGCCTGGGATATATGGCCAGATCCTATCTCAATCAGTCAATCAATTGATTAGAATTACAGACACACTGTCCCTAACTGAAATACTAAACTGCATGATTCCTGGAAATCCTCACGGTTCAATTAAAGGATGACCTGAGTTCTCATTTTAATTCCTCATTTGTCATTACCTCTCTGAAAGAATAGGAAGTGAAGGCAGTCAGCGGAGCACCTAGATAGCGTGTTTGTTTGTTTGTTTGTTTGTGTGGCAATGTGAGGTCCTAATCCAGGCCTCCCATATGCTCAGCAGGCCCTCTACCACTGAGCTGCACCCAGCCATGTGCATGTGTTCCTCCAACAGCCACTCCCAAGTGTACCCAGTGTCACTTAGACACTGTCCTCCCACAGAAGTGTGTGGGCCAGTGCTTCTCAGCCTCCACACATCTACCACGCCCAGTGGCCATCAAGGTGCCTGGGTCACTCTCACCAGAAGGTTCAGATTTCTTCGAGTCTTATCTTCTGAGCTTGTTGGTTTGGTTTGGTTGGTTTCTTTTTTTTTTTTTTTTTTTTAATCGGTACCTGGGATCAAACTCACAACCGCCTGCTTGCAAGGCAGGTGCTTATGCTGCTGAGCTAAATACCCAGCCCAGTTTCATTTGATTTTGGTGCTGGGGTAGAGCACACAGCCTTGCACATATTAAGCATGTGCTCTACTGCTAAGACACGCCTGTAACTCTTGCACTTTGTTTTATAACAAAATGATACAGATCTCTTTTGATTCTAAAATAATGTTCTTATATTTTCAAAAATTTTCTCCAAGTCGTCGTACTGAAATGCTAACATAGAAAGTAGGTCATGTCTAGCTGGAATGGTCAGGGTAAGTTAGACTTAATCAAAATTTAAAACTGGTATATTAAAGCTGGAAGATTATGAGTGCAGGGCCAGCATGAGCCACGTAGCACAAAACAAAACAAAAAAAAATAGTCACAGAAAAGAAACCGTGTGAGGCCACACTTGGGGGACATGCTATTATCCCAGCATTCTGGAAGGCCTAGGCAGGAGGGTTGCAAGTTTAAGCCCATCCTGGACAACTTAGCAGTTTAGCAACACCCTGTCTCAAAACTTCAAATAAATAATTTTTTTTAAAAAAGTACTCTGTTTTCTGGCTTGAGAGCTTGCTTACTCTGAGCACTGCAGTTGGTAGCCCACTAGAGTATTTTGAGCAAGGGGTAGTATATTCAAAGCACTGCTAAAGAAAGTTCTATTTGTGCAGTGGAAAGGAGAGCTACTGGAAGGAGAGGTGGAAGGTCCTAGAGGAGATTCATGTGTTTAATACCCGTGATTCAGGGTGTATTTTTTTTGGGGGGGGGAGGTAGTTTTTGGCGGGTTTTTTGGTTAAATTTCGCTTTGCTTTTTGAGACAGGGTCCCCCTATATAGTGTGGGCTGGCCTTAAACTCACTTGTATAAGTCCAGACTGGCCTCAGATTCACAGTGATCCTCCTGTCTCAGCCTCCTGAGTGCTGGGATTACAGGTATGTACCCCCACACTCAGCAAGTTTGGATTTTTATGGATGGCTCTGGTTACATGCGTATGCGCGCACCTGTGTGGAATCCTTAGGTACTGATATAAATCCTGGAAACTGAAGCAGTGGCAGGGCTGGAGCTGGGATCTGGGTTGGGCCCCAGCTGTGCTACTCCCCAGCTTTTGTGACCGGCAGGAGGGTGTCCTTCATGCTTCCCCCTCCCCTTTATTGGTGGCCCCAGCTGGCTGTGGAGAGAAGGTTGCTCACTCTTAGTCTAAGTGGATCCACACCAAGGTCGCCCCAGGGCAGCCCTGGCAGCCCTGCCATCCCGCCTTGGGACCCATCCATGCTTGTCCCGCTCTTCCGTGTCCAGACCTAATGACCACACACAGACAGGGCCTGGACATTGCTTCCCCCAGGACGGTCTCAGCACACGAAGCGGTAAGCTTTCAGCCAGGGAGAGAACTGGGAAAGGCACTGCAGCCCCGACTGTCTTTGAGTCCAAAGATGGGTTTGTTGGGTTCGCTCCTCTTTCTCTGCATCCCTTCAAAAGAAAAGAGAGGGAGTTTGAATTCTATTAAAATACTTCTCAGCTACTATTCATGAACTGCATTCTCTTATATACCCACATACCTGGGTAGCAGTTTTTCCTTAAGAAAAAAACTAGTAAAAACGGGCAAAGCACAAATGTTAAATATTAGATATTATTCAGTCCTGTGTGTTATCTTCAGAACTTGAAGCTGGACTACATACAAATCATTTTCCCTTCAGAGCACTTGCCTACCAAAGCTGTGAGTTCAGTCTGTAGCACCCTCATCCCAAATTTAAAACAATGCTTTCCAGGCAATGCACTATAATTTCCCTTCCTTCTTTCCCATAGCATTTATTGATTGAAGTGCTTTGGGAATGAGGTGTTTTGTTTGACTTAATTTTTTTTTAATTCAGTTAAGTACATTTTGTTTCAGGTCTCAATGAGTTGAATGGAGTCTATGAATTAGTTTTCAATTTTTCACGTCTCATATGTAGTAGATTGCTTTATTGGGGGGTAATGTGGATTAACACTAAGTGCTAAACTATATCCTCAGCTTTTTTTAAATTGGTGAGTGGGCACGATTTGGACACAGGTCCCTCCTAGGTAGTCTAGGCTGGCCTCAAACTGTGATCCTCCTACCTCAGCCTCCCATTAGTTGGGATTATAGGTATGTACCAGCAAGCCTGGCTACAGTGGACTCTTTCAAATGTCGTTCCTAGCCAGGTGTGGTGGTGAACAACAGAGTGCCAGCACCTGCAGGCTGAGGTAGCAAGATTGTAGCTTCCATTGGAGACTGGGTGACTTAAGAGAGCCTGTCTCAAAATAAAAAATAGAAATCCCAGTAGTGGCCAAAAAATAAAAAAGTAAGAAACACACACAAAAAAAAAATAGAGCTTTAGCTTAAAAGATGCAGCATACCTCGGCTCTCACTCAGCAACTACATCCCCACACCCCTCTTCCCTGCCCACCCTAATTCCAGCTCATTCGATGCTCACACAGTTTCTTGATGAACTTATTTGTCAGCCACTGCACATAAAGAGGCTCCTGAGGAGGAAGAGGAGCCCTTGCCACAGGAGTGTGCCTTATGCACGTGAGCACAGCAAGCCCAAGGAACAGCATCTGAGTCGACTCATCTCAGCTCTTTTTCTCACAGTGGCTTCCAAGTCCTGCCCCTGGCGTCCTCATCCCCACTGGCTTTCCCTGGGTGTCACAGTCTTGGCACAGCTTTCTTGACCTTGGCCCTTCCTGAGCTTCATACAGCCATGTGCCTGGGATCCTCACCCCGACTGTAGCCACATTAGCTCCTGCCGGCTCCCTGCCAGGCCCCTCTGGATCTGGTGTGGGAAATGTGTCTATTACCTGAAGACTTTGGTGAAACCCTAGAAATAGCAGCAGAATTTTCAGGTGTACACCTAGTTTGGTGCTGGTGGTAGTTGATTATTTTTCAAAATAGTCCACAGTCTGTGGGACCTGAAGCTTATACATTCTTGCAGACCTTTAAGAAAAAGAGGACTGGGGGCTGGGGATTTAGCTCAGCGGCATAAGCGCCTGCCTTGCAAGCAGGCAGTCATGAGTTCGATCCCTGGTACCGATAAAAAACGAAAAAGACAAAAAAAAAAAAGAAAAGAAAAAGAGGACTAGGTCCAATCCTAGCACTGGGAGAAGTAATACAAAAATACCTTCTTCCAGTTTTACAAGAGCTCTGACCCTATGGATCCACAGGTAACCAGCTGGCACCTCCACTCACAAGGCTTTAGATGGGAGGTGACCCCGAGGCTTTGTAACTGCCAGGCTGTATGTGTCCCGCAAGTGCTAGGGAAGGAAGCTCCCACACCCACCTGTGGAAGCCAGCTTGATGGGGCCACGTGCCCAGCCTCCCACAACCAGAGTACTCGGTTTTTCACCTGAGAGTTTGTATCTTAAAAGAAGAGTAGATTGTAAGAAGTTTAGATGTGTTTAAATGTCCTAAAGGAAGTGTTGTGGCCCCACTTATCATGAGATACTTTCCAAGGGACACCTGAAACCATAGCTGATACCCAGCATGTGGACACATATACCTATGATAACATTAATGAAAGTTAAGCTGTGGTCACTCTCCCAAACTATCTCACTGTGCTATATCCTTCTTACTTAAAGGAAGCTCTTTGCAGCCTGTATTTCAAATGTCTGAACTAGAAGCATGACTCCTTTTACACTTCGGGATCTTCTCCCACCCCTGCCCCCAGTACCTCCGCACTGAACCTTTACACTGAACCACATCCCTAGTCCTTTTTCACTTTGTACTTTGAAACATGGTCTTGCCAAGTTACTAGTTTGCCCAGACTGAGTTTAAACTTGTTATCCTCTAACTCAGCCTCACAATATTGGAGTTGCTGGTGTGTGCCACCATGCCCAACTCGGGTTCATTAGTAAGTAAAATTAAGGGCACTTGAGTGCAAGAACTGATACTGACTGCTACATTTCACTGCTGCTGTCCATCTGATAGTGGAGAGGTTATCTCAGTGACTAATGGGTGATAGGATACACAGCTAAGATACTCTAGATAAAGGGATGATTTACATCCTGGGTTGCACCATGCATGACAGTGCAAACTTTCATCACATTACTCAGGATAGTGTACAGTTTAAAACATATGAATTGTTTATTTCTGGAATTTGCCATTCCATACTCGTGTGTGGCTCCTGACCACAGGTATCTGAAACCTTGGGTTACAAACTTCAAATAGGGGAATTTCTGTGTATGTGTGATGTTTTTGCAAAGATTTTCTATTTTAATCAACACAACAACCCTTTGAGATGATTTCCCCTGCTCCTCAGATAAAGCCACAGAAGTCCAAAGAATGGAAGTAATTTGCTTAGGCTACAGAGCTGAATTCCTAAACTGGATCAGCTGGAGTCCAGAGCCCAGATAATCTGGCCAGAAGTTTTAACCACATGGTTCACTTGTTTAGAGACTTAAAATGTGGTGAAATGCCCCAAATACAGGCAGTTAGGTTCATTTTATCTTTGCTAGTAAAGACAGATAGGTGTCTTAAAGCATCTCAAAGTCAGTTTGAACCTGTTGTCCCTGTTCTTCTAAAGTAAATGAGTCTATAGCTTGTGTTAACTTAACATTCTTTCAGTGTGTAAATTGGTAGAGAATATTTTTTAGGGGAAAAAAAACTAAAGGAACTGTGACCATTCCAACAAACTAATCCACATGTTCAAGCAGAAGGCTGATGGGTGTGATGTGCTTTCTGCCTTGTGATCAATCTGAAAATCGTCCCCATGCAGCTGCTGATGGGGGCTCCTTGTCCTGGTCTAAGAAGCTAGAGACCTGTGAGCCTAATTCCTGTGCACCTGACAGGTATATAACATCAGAAGGAAGAAGCCTGACTCAGAGCACTTGGCATAAGTGGAGACACTGGAGAAACACCTTTGGTATAGCTTGGGAGCAGAGCAGGGTTGTTTGGTTGGTGGAGTGACTAAAATCTATTTGTGAACATTTATAATGCTCTCCTTTTTTTATAAATAACAACCATTTACTAGTTCATCCCTAGAATGTTTCCTGTAACCCAGGTGTGGTGGTGCACACCTATAATGTGGGAGGCTGAGGCTGGAGGACCAAAAGTTGAAGTCCAGCCTGGGGGCAATTAGTTTAGCAAAACCATGTCTCAAAATTAATAATAATAGGAGTAGTAAAAATGACTGGAAATGTAACTTAGTGTGAAGGCCCTGGGATCAATCCCATTACTACCAGAGAAGAGTTAAGATTGAGAAACATAAATGAGTAAAATGTTCCCTCTAAAAGAAGACAGGAAACTAGAAATGAGCAAAGATAATGAGGATGAAAATCAACACATGTTCTATTCTTGTCAGTGCACCAAAGTGAGTGTCACTCTGTATTTGTAGTTGGCACCAGTTTTTTAAATGTTCCCTCTAGGTGGTGTAGAGCACTCACATACCATGGTCAGTACCTGGTTCTGATTTTTTTTTTTTTTTTTTTTTTTTAAGACAGGGTCTTACTATACAGTTCAGACTGGCCTTGAACTCAGCAATTCTCTTGCCTCAGCCTCCAGAATGCTAGGATTATAGGCATGTACCACCATGCCTGGCATGGTTCTAATTTTGAGCACCACAAAAAAATAAATAAATAAAATGTCCCTTCTATTCTTATTCATCCCTGGGACATCTCTGACTATGTGTCCTAGTTTCTCTGAATCCCACGTCACAATTGTCAAAATGCTAGAGATATCCAGCTGGACATAGATTTCAGAAACAAGCTGCTTATTCCTGCCACACAGTACTGGGAAGTAGGGAGATTCTCCAAAAAGTAAATTACAAAGCACAGAAGAGAGCTGTGCTTTAAAGCTGAATTTAGCTTTAAAGTGACGTGTTCGGGTTTGTTTTGTTGGTGGAGAAAGGTGTCTTACCTCAAGTTCCTAAGCTCAAGCTGTCCTGCCGCAGCCTCCCAGTCAAGTAGCTGAGACTACAGGCATACCCCCACTATACTCAACTTAAAAGGGAATTTTTAAATGTTTTCAGATAGGAAAGTAAGCAAACATTAAACAGGTATGCATGTGTCTGTGAACAAGTGTGATAACATAGATGATTATCTGTGAAACCAGTCAAAGGGCTAGTTATTAGAGTTTCCACTCCCAGGTCACCAGGCATCAGGCATGGGGCAAGAGTTCTAGAATGGAGATGAGGGTGCCCTGTTAGCTCTGGGTGTGTCAGTTATCGCCTCTGGCCCTGAGTTCCTTATCTTGTAACGAGGTCTTTGGAGTCTGCGATTTCTTCAGTTCTAAGAATCAGTGTATTCAACTGGAGCATATGACTCAGCCGGCGGCAAACGAATGTCAGGCTTCAGAAACAGAGTTGGTACCCTGTCCTTAGTAGCAGTGCAGTTTGAACAGAAAGGGCATTCTGAACAGGCTCCAAAGGTGAAATGACCTGCACTCCACAGCTAGAGCTCACAGTGGGTGCAAGCCTGGGATTTAGCTCAGTGGCTCAGACACTTGCCTGGTAAGTGCAAGGTGGTTTGATCCCCAGTACCAAAAAAAAAGTTGAAGTGCTTGGTTGCGAGTGTCTGATTGGTTGCCTGTCAAAGAGGTCTACAAGCAGTAGACCTCTGCCAGTTTTCTGCCAGTTCCCTAGTGTCGATGTCCGCTCCCGGCCGGCAGGAAGGACACACGACAAAGTCTGGCAGTGGACAACCTTTTCTTTTATTTTTCTTCTCCGTACAGCCTGCCCTGGGATCGCTCCCAGCCGAAGCCTCCTTTGGTCCGCTCCCCGCGGCTCCTTCTGGGCTTCTACTTCCGGGCTTCTTCTTCCCCCCCAGGGGTGGCACCAGTATATATACGGATACAGTGTCCAATCATGTTAAAGTAAGCAAGGCAAGCTGATTGGCTAACATCATCAGTTGCCAGGCAGACTATATTGTTGAGCGGGTTGCTTACGCGGTAAGCAGGAAACTGACGTGCTCGATGGGAGGGGTAATCTACCTCAGGCTTTACTCTTTACTACAGGCCTCACGTCCGCCAAGTAAGGCGACCGGGCTCGGGGCTGCGGCTCCCAACACCCTAGCACAGGAATTTCTAATTTGATGGAAGAACAGGGAAAAATAAAGTGAAACAAATCCTCAAGGTAGCAATAATAACGTTAAAATAGCCATAAGAAAATATTTGACAGACTACACACCAGCCATGTTTGAAAGCAGTCTTTTATACAATTTTGGTTTATTTAATGATATGCTGGGGAACAAACCGAGGACCTTGCATTGCTAGGCAAGTGCTCTACCACTGTGCTGGATCCCCAGCCTGTCAGTCTCGTTTCTTGGTCTATGATTCAAAGAGCAGGCAGCTGAGTTGGGCCTGGTTGTACACACCTGCAGTCCCCACAGTTTGAGAAGCCAAAGCAAGAGGGTCATAAATTCAAGCCCATCCCGGGCAACTTAGTGACTTGGCAAGACCTTATCTAAAAATAAAGAAGGAACTGGGAACATCACTCAGTGAGAAGGCGCAGGTTCAGTCTCCAAAACAAAACAAAAAAGTAGGTAGCTATACTTAGGTAGACTCTGCCTGTTACTCTTCCGTATCGTCCAAAGTAAGTCAGTCCACTACGTGTGGTAATGTGCATGGCCTAGAAAAGTTTTGTTTTTTGAGATGAGCTTCAGTCAATTCTTTTGTTTTAGTTGGAGTCCCTGGTGGTGGGATCTTTTCCTCTAGTCCACATTTGTTACGCTACTCTCCTTCCAAGCCATGGCCACCTAACCCACAGCCTGGGGATGACATGATGGTCCTTTCTATTAATGTCTATATCTGCCTTTGGCTCAAGTCTCAGAGAAGAGCCCTTTCTCAAATACTCAGGTACTCCGTCTGTGCTCCACAGAACACACACGGATGGAGCACCTCTCTGAGAAGCGTGTCATGGCCACTAGTCACAACCAAGCTGCCAGAGGCATGGCCCTCAGACAGCCCACCTTAACCACTCTGTCAGTCACCCACTGCCTAGGTGCTGCCATCTCTCATCCCCATGTCCACCATGCACTGCTAGGCCATTTCCCAGTGCCTTTATTGAGACATTCAGTGACATTTTGCCCTACCTGCCCCAGCCTCCTTAGCATTTAATGTTATTAAACATTTTCCCGCCTGAAACCATCCTTTCTCACAAACATCCTGATTTTCCTCATTTTTCTGTTTGTCTCCATCTCTTTGCTTCTGCTTTCTTAACTCTAAGACCGAGCCCTTGGTCTGCCCTTCCTGTACAGCTCGTCTCCTGAGAGCTGATTTTTCCTGCACGTCAGCTGTCACCACCACCGTACCAGCCAATCTTTGAGTCCTATTGTGGCACCACGAAGTCATGAGACACAGAGCCTCAAGATAAGAGGCCTCACCTTGCTACAGGAGTGTGTCCCTGCTGCAGGCTCCTGAAGGCTGGGGCCCGGGCAGGTTTGAGGAAACTACCTCCAGATTTTCCGGCTTCCAGCTGTGCTTTTTTCCTAACCTTGCTGTGCTGGGCATTGTGTCTGCTCAGAGGGTCTCCTTTCCCAGTTCCCTTATAATCACCCTTTCAACACACAGGGAGACCCCAAGGTATAGAAATTTCACAAGACACCACAAAATTAAGCAAGAGGAACAGCACCTTTGGCTTTATCTGGCCATCTTAGAGGTACAGTTCAAGCAGGTGAAGAAGGTGGTAATGGAGGTGCCCAGCACTCTGGGCGGCTGAGGCAAGATCACAGGTTTAAGCCCAGTCTGGGCCTACTTTAGTGCTAGTGAGTAAGGAAGACCACATCTGAAAATAAAAATAAAAGGGTTGGGACTATAGCTCAGTACAAAGGTTTAGGGAGAGAATTCAGGCCTGGAAATGTAGCTCAGCGGTGGAAGGCTTGCTACCACAAACAAGAGCCCTGGGTTCCGCCCCCACACCACAAAGAAAAAAATTCAAGAAGGAAGTGGTTGTCAGGAGGGTGAATTATTGACATTTTTATTGCAATTGAATTAAAAAATGAAAGAGTCCCAGGCATGCTATCTCAGCACTTTGGAGGCTGAGGCAGGAGGATCACTGCATATTTGAGGCCAACCTGGGCTACATAGTGAGACCCTCTCAACAATCTTTCCCACCACCACCAAAAAAAAAAAGAAAAACTGGACTTTTTTTTTGGGGGGGGGGGAATCAAACTTGCACTTGCCAGGAAGGCAGTGTGCCACTGAGCTATATTCCCATCCCAAACTGGACATTGCTTTTCCCTTCAGCACAGAAGATCAAACAGCGCCTCAAATGCACTAGGCAAGCGGTGCCACATCCCAGCTCCATAGTTAAATATGCCATTTGGATCTGACCAAGAACAAAATTACAACAAACCTGATGGGCTTGGGCTGCTGAGAACCGTACACAAGCTTGGTGCTTGTTAGCAGACGCATTACCCCAAGACGAGTTCCCGCCACCGGTCGGCTTAATTTCTGACTCCAGAATCAGTAGCACCACATTACACAGCAAGAGGAACACCAGTGAGCAGGCACAGGAGGGTGAGGGCAGTGGACAGGGACAGGGAGACAGTGGAAGAGCAGCAGTTGCTTGCCGTCAGGTCATTCACGTTACTTTTCACATAAGGATTCAAATGATCTGATTCCAGCTGGCCTGTAGGGAAGTTTGACTTGTGGAAGGGTTGGGTACACAGCTCCACTTCAGCCAGTGGCATGGAACTTTAACTTGGTCTGTTGAGGCCCAGCGGGAACTGACCCCAAAATAATTGATGTCTTATAATTCTTATTTAAGACTATGTGACAGATATTCACCATATACACTGTAGCCCAGGCTGGCCTTGAATTTGTAGCAATCCTCCTGCCTCAGCTTCCCAAGTGCTGGGATTACAGGCAGCACCACCATGCCCGGCTCACCATAGATACGTTAAATTATATCTTCAATGAATGTTAAAACATACATCATTTACTATAGTTTAAATTTTCAATGGGGGGGGGTGGTTGTGTGTTTCTGAGACAGTGTCATGCTATGTAGTTAAGGCTGGCCACAAACTCACTGTGTAGCTCAGTCTGCCCTTAAACTTAGTAATACTCCTGCCTCAAGCTTCCGAGTAACTTTATAAATTTTAGATGCCAATTTTAAAATGTGAGAAAAGCCAGGTATGGTGGTACACTCCTGTAATCTGAGCACTCAGGAGGCTGAGATGGGGATTACCACGAGTTTGAGGCCAACCTGGACTACATAGCAAAACCCTGACTCAAATAACCAAAAAATAAATAAAATGTGAGAGAAAGGGTTGGGATTATAGTTCAGGAACCCTGAGTGATCCCAAGCACCAAAACAAAAATAGTGAAAGAAGGATACATACTGCCTCAGAATTCTTTTAGAGGCTGTACTGGCAAAAAGGTTATAACACTGTTAAATTAAGCTAACTAACCATCTTTCCTTCCCCCAACTTCCTTTCAGTCCTGTTGATTCTTTTTTTGTTCTCATATCAGTTTTCATTTCATTTTCTAAACTTTTTTAATATTTTGTTTCTTTTTGTTTGATTTGGTTTTGTTTAGACAAGGTCTCACTATGTAATCCTGGCTGGCCTCAAACTTGCAGCAATCCTCCTGCCTCAGCCTCCCAAGTGCTAGGATGACAGGCATTGTTCTGTTTTGGTTTTTGTTTTGTTTTGTTTTGTTTTGTTTTTTGAGACAGGGTCTCCCTGTGTTGTGGAGATCCTCTTACTTCAGCCTACCAAGTGCTAGAATTAGAGACACATGCCACCACACCCAGTTTTGTTTTATTTTTTGCAGTGTTTAGAATCAAACCCAGATCTTCACACATCTGGGCAAACACTGTGTCACTGACACAGCCCTTGTCCATTTTGTTACATTCTTTTTCCCTTTTTAAATTAGCCAAGTATTCGTGAAATGAATTTGCCATATCTCTTTTCCCATGGACCTCCATGCGGTAGGTAGCCATCCTGACCACTCAGATGGAGACTGAGTTCTTGCCTGTCTAGACCTCTAACATGACTCTTCTATAGAGGGAAAATATCTTTCGTCTCTATGTAAAGAGCAGGCTCCTTAGGAGTAAAAAACAGCCCTGCTGTCCTAAATGCCTAATGTGATGCTCACCACACAGGAGGTGCCCAATGAATATTTGATCATCTCTAGTACATACCATTCATCCTCTCCCATTCTTTCACCCATTTACCCAGGAACTGTTCCAGGCACTGGGGTGTGGTTGGGAACAAAAAGACCATAGTGCCTGCTTTCAAAGACAATAGGTTAAATAACTGGGTGTGGTGGCACCAGCACAGTAGGAGGCCAAGGCAGGAAACTGCCACATTTAACCCTGACCTGAGCAACTTTGAGACTCTGTCTCAAAAACTAAAGGTCTGGAGATGCCCATCTGCAGGAAGGACCCAACTTCCATCCTCAGGACTGCATGAATAAATAGTGCGCCAAAAGTGATACTGTGTTAGGTGCTCAGAAGTAGAATAAAGGGGAGATGAAGGTGAAGTGTGTTGAGGAAGGTGCTAGATAGGTGAGTCGGGGAGGACTTAAGTGTTGAGGGTGCATTTTACCAAAGATCGACAGTGCTCCAGGCAGTTAGCATGAAGGTCTGTGACCAGTCCTTCAGAGTTCCCAGAAGGAAGGATGGGGAGTGCAGACTGAGCTGAGTCAGAAGAATGGACTCCTTGGACCTCAGCTTTTGCTCTGGGTGAGGTCAGGGCTAGCAGCTTATGCTGTAGGAGTCCCCCCAGCTGCCACAGGAGAGGCAGTCTAGTAGTGCCCTGGAGCAGAGGAGGCAGGGAGGTAGAGGTCATCTGGATCTAGAGGATGTGCTGACAGCTGGATGGGGAGTTGAGGGTGGGAAGCCAGGAGCAGTGCAGGGGTTGGTCCAGGTCCTCACTCTGCAGGCTGGCGAGGTAAAGACCAGGGAGGCACGTGGAGTTCAGTTCAGAACCTGTTGGGTTGGAAATGTCTGCTGGGTGTGCGCCTATGCAAGATGCCAAGCAGGCTAGAGTATGGATCAAGGGAGAGGTTAGGGTGGCAGTGTGGGTGGCACTTGTTCCTGGATGACTCCCAGCCACTGCACTGCCTGGGGACAGATGGAACAGTCTTGCTTTCACTAGATACTCACCGTGTCCATGCCCATCAAAGCCTAAGGTTCATTTTACCGACAAGGCTGAGGATCAAAAAGCTTGATTAATCAGCCAGCCTCAGGTGACAGCTAGTCAGCAGCAAGAGCAGGATTCAGACTGAGATGTCTTAGGTCCAAAGGGCAACTTCTTCTGACAATCAGTGCCTTCATTTTAGCTCAGAGAGAGGCCCCTGGCAAGCCCTAGTGGATACTCTTGTTATAGTCAGTGTGCTAGGATCCTCCTTTAGAGATATAGAGGAAATCTCTGTCATTTGATTGTCACACTAAATAAAGATTGGATTCAGCCTTGTTTAACATCCTCAGACAAGCCTGTATCCCCCCCTCTGGCCTTGTGTGACTGTGTGTATCTGTGTAATTTAGTAAACAGGATTTTAGGCTGATTACTTTGTATGTGTTATCTCTTTTAGTCCTTAACTCACCAAGACAAGTATTATTAACCTCCCCAAGTTTACATGAGGAAGCTGCTACTCATGATCAAACAGTTATTAGGATCAGTAACTTGGTCAGTCAACCAAAACTTGAAGTAACTTGGATTAGTGGGCTGGGGATATTCAGAGACAATGGGGGCTATTGGGAAAAGAGATTGTGAACATGAGAAAACTTCAATACAAAATAAGAATGTAAGACGTGATGTGTAGTGGTATGTAATGATTTGTCAGGTGTGAATTTAGCCCTGCATATCAGGCAGTCTTCCAGCCTTTGCCTCTCAAGTTGCCACATCACAGACACATGCCACAAAGCCTAGCAAAGGGCGGGGCAGGGAGAGCGGTTTGAAGGGCTGCTTTTGTTTTGAGACAGGGTCCCACTATGTACCCAGGCTGGCCTCAAATTTGTGTTCCTCCTGCCTTCAGTTTCCTGAATTCTGGAATTATAGATGGTCAACACTATGCCCAGCTTTGTTTCACATTGAGCATTTTGTTGTTGTTGATTGGGTTTTGTTTTGTTTCGTTTTGTTTTGTTTGAGACAAGATCTGCTATGCCCACTACAGAGCCCAAACTGTCCTCAAACTCACAGTGATCCTCCTGCCTCCAAATGCTGGGATTTGTAAGCATGTGCCACCACGCCCAATGGATTTTGGGATTGGGGATTTAGCTCAGTGGCATAAGTGCCTTCCTTGCAAGTGTGCGGTCTTGAGTTCGATCCCTGGTACCGATAAAAACGAAAAAGACAAAAAAAAAAAAGAATATCTGGGATTTCACTTGATGGAGTGCTTGGAGAAGATATTCCTTGTAAAGGGATTAGTAGCATAAACTAAGATGTAAATACAAAAAACAAAGATGTGCTTGGGCAAGAACAGGCAGATCCTTTTTACCTGAGACAGAGAAATGGGGGTTTCACCTGGACTGTCATTTAAGAGCCAGACTTTAGGCCTTAGGGTTAGGGACTGACTCATGAATAATTAGCCAGGAGCACCCCTTCCCCCAAGAGGTAAAAGAGATTTGCTCTGTGTAGGATTGATTGCCAGGAATATGTGGCTACAGGCAGCCGTCAGGTAAGAGGCCACAGCAGGAAAGTGAGGGCCATAGCTGCAGGGGTGGCATAGGACAAAGAAGGTGGCAACAGTGATGATAAGAAACCTTGAAAGGGAGGCATCACTGACCAGACAGGGAACCAAGGAAAAACAAAAGTCAGAGACAGCTTGAGGTGTTAGAATGCTATACGATCCTGAGACTAATTCCCAATAAACACCACTAATAAACAAGCTACCAGATGTGGTGGTGCACACTTGTAATTCCAGCCCTCTGAGAGGCTGAGGGCAGGAGGATCCAAGTTCAAGCCCAGCCTGGACAACTTAGCGAGACCCCATTGTAAAATAAAAATAAATAAAAAGGGCTAGCACAGTGCAGAAGACCCTGGATTCAATCACTAAATAAACTCAAAGAAGGCAGATTTAGGGAGAAAGTCACGCTTTAGTTATAAAATATCTGAGATGGTATGAAATGTCACGCTAAAAATACCCAGCAAGGAAACAGGAAATGTGGGACAGAAATTTGAGACCCTAGGCCAGCTTGTCTTTGGCATAAAGATCATATTAAGTTACACAAGTGTCCAATGGGTTTCCAGAAAGACTACCAGAACACCCAGCCTGACCCCTGGAGGTCAGCCGTGTTCAGGAGCCAGGGATGGCCAGGTCCAGTCAGGCAGACCAGTGCCACTTAGGAAGCCCAGATGTAACAGCCAGTGTAGTGTATTTGGCAGTGTTAGCATTAACATCCATGGCTTTGTATTTTATAAAATGACTGGTCTATGATAGAAAATCTAATAACTTATATACATCACTGACTCAGAAGGCTAGGGTAGAAGATAAAAGAACCAGGAGACCCAGTCCTAGGCATATACCCTGGAGAATGCACAGAAAATCTCACACTGAATGTTTATGGCCTCTTCTTCATGATGCCCAAGAAAGTGGGAACAACCCAGGGTCATCAGACAGAAATGGACAGGTGGAGTATGGAGCCCCCACACAGTGGAATATTAGCTGTGAAAATAGCCAGTGTACTGATACACACTGTGACGTGAAGGAGCCTTGAAGACAAGCTAAGTGAAAGAAGCTTGCGTGGTTGGCCTGGTGGTACACACCTGTAGTCCCTGCACTTGGGAAGTTGAGACAGAAGGATTGCTGTGAGTTTGCGGCCAGCCTTAGGTACATAGTGAGTTCAGGGTCAGCTTGGATGAACTACACAGAGAAACCAAAACCCTGTTTCAAAAAAAGAAAAGCTCGCACAGCCACAGAGATAGAAAGTAGACTACTGATGGCCAAGGCCTGCGAGTGGAGAGAATGCTTTGGGTGGAGGAAAGCATTCTGGAATTGGTAGAATATGCTGAATATGCTTTTGTAAAAACTACTGAACTTTACACTTTGAAGGCTGAGTTTTACAGTAAATTGTATCTCAAAGATAAACAAACTAGAAGGATGCCAGTCATAGCACATACCTATAATCCCAGCACTCCAGAGGCTGAGGCAGGAAGATCTCCATGAGTTCAAGGCCAGCCTGAACTACAGAGCAAGATCCTGACTCAAAAACAAAATTAAAAAAAAAAAAAATCTGTGAGCTTAGTGGTGATATAAAGGAGTGCAATTTTAGATATTACATTCTAATGAAATATGCCAGGATTTGAAAGATCTGTCTAACTCAGTGGAAGAGATGACCAGTGTCTGGTGTTTCAACATCATGTATGGGTTAAAGACCCATTTGAAGCACAAAAGAAACCAGTAGATTTAACAGAGCATGAAAAGTTCCTTGATGTGGTTTCAGATTTCACATTGCAACTAACGTTTGAGAAATTACTAATAGTTGAGTTGGCACATTATAGAGAAGAATATCCACAATTATCTAAGATACTCTTCCAAATATATCTGTGTGATATCAGGTCATAGATATTTTTTTCTTTTTTTCTTTTTTCTTTTTTTTAGTACCAGGGATAAAATCACAATCTCACACTTACCAGGCAAACACTTGAACTGCTGAGTGAAGTCCTTGGCCCCTGTATTTTAAGTACTTACCAGTTCAATTATTTAAATACAGTCTGACTAAAAATTGCATTTTTTGGTTAGTTTTAATAAAATAACAATTTACAAAAATGAGTTTAATCAAATTTATTCAATATAAGAATCAACTGGTTGAAATGACTCAAGAAAATCAGTACCTAAACAGTTGCACTGCCCACTGCTGCTCAGGGCAAACTGTTAAGTAGTAAAGCAAACCTGCCCATTACAATAGATCAACACAGCTTGGTAGTGCATCCCTGTAATCCCAGCACTTGGAGGGCTGAGGTAGGAGGATTGCTTCAAGTTTGAGTCCAGCCCAATTTGCAAAACAACCCATACTTCTCATTCTTCAGTAGTTTTACTTCTTTGTTTTGGAATATATAGTCACTGTCATTTAAAAGATGTCATTTGTATTAATGCGTAATACATTTATTATTGGTGTTTTAATGAGCTGATGACTGCATTTGTTTTATTTTCTAATACAGTAGGTATAGATACACAAAATCCAAAGTGAGACAGTTGTTTGGGGTTCCCCATATTTTATAGGAACAAAAAGCAGTCCAGAGACTGACAAGTGTAAAAGGCACTGCTGTCTGCACAGCACCACCCGGGCCTTGCTGTGGCATCTGTTGCAGCAGCCTCCTCCTCTGCAGAACTGGTGTCCACATCTCACCTAGTGCTGCCTCCTCCCTCACACTTGCCAGAACGTGGCTTGTGCTCCTCCACCAGACTCACATGAGCCTCTGCCTGTCAAGTGGAGCTGTATCCTTCCTCAGCCCAGAAATGGCTGCACACAATGAACGAGAACGAAAAATTCACCAGACCTTAATAAAAACTGCTCATCGCTGCTTTTTTTACCTGTGAAACCTCTCAACTTTAGCATTGATAAGAAATTTCACCCTGGGCCAGGGAGAAATTGCTCAGAATTTGCTCAGTGGCAAGTCCCTGCCTGGCAAGCACAGGGTCCTGAGTTTGATTCCTGGTACCAAAAAAAAGCTCTAAAAGTAAGTTCACTGTTGTACAGGAAATAAGGAGTTAATAAAGTGTTACCACTAACAGTACAGGATGTGACACAAGCTGGTCTGGACCAAACAGCATGCAGGACCTTGTGAAGGGCTTACCTTGGGCACAATGGCTGTGCCAGAGGATGCCATACATGTGGCCCAGCAGCCAGTGCTGATCCTGGTGTCCCCAGTATCTGCTTTTAGCTCTTGGGAAACAGACGTTTCACAGGAGCAAACTTTAGCCACCGTCCTTGAAGTGTCTCCCCCTGATAAGTGTGTGCAGGCCCTCCCCTGCCATGCGGGCAGGAAGTGAGTGGCAGGTCTCCCAGCAAGCGCCTCTTTATTTTTTTTTTTTTTTTTCTTTCCCTGTACCAAGGATCAAACTCACGACCTTGCACTTACCAGGCAAGTGCTTAAGCCACTGAGCTAAATCCCCAGCCTCCACACCAGCTTTTTAAAAGTCCCGTCAGCATGACAAGAGGAAAGATGGGTGTCCCCAGTCAGAGGCTGAGTGCTTTGATCGAAGGCCCAAGTGACACCTGCAGCCTACAGTAGGTTCTCCGCAGGACAGGGCTTCTTGCCTCTGGCCACACCCAGAAGTAGTTGAGGGGCTTCCTGTGAGTACCAGTCCTTTCCCACCAGACCACAAAGTCAAACTCCGGAAGGCAGTTTGTGAGTGGGAGCTACTTCCACAGCTTCTTTTGTAACTCTTTAAAGGGACTGGTATAGCCACTGCATAGGGATGGGCACCCACAAAAAGCCAGTAGGACCTGAGAACAGCTTTAGGACACCACCCTTCCAGAACACAGCATTCCCTGAAGGGGCATCCGTGTGGCCTGGCTCCAGAGCCTGCTGAGCTGGATGGCAGCCAAGAGCAAGGCTGGGTGTGTGCACACTCACGGTCGCCCTGGGCCGTTGGCAGCTCCCCCAGTGTGGCTGCTCTTTCTCCTCTGCAACTCTCCACCTCCACATTCTGCGCTTCAGGCCTGCTGTCTCCTGTTCCTGTCCTCCCAAGTTCTCTGTCTTATTGTGGTTTGCAGTGTTTGAGTGTTCTTCATCTGCATGGACAACACTCTAGAATACACACAAGACCAGGAGACAGCAAACAGGGCCCCTGTGAGGTAACCACAGCCAGTGCCTACAAGCTGTGCACTAAATCTGTAGGTAAAGAAAGCGCCCAAGCCTGGGGCTCTGTCTCGTCTTTTTTTTTTTTTTTTTTACTCCTGTAAAATGAAAGTCCTGGTTTCTAAACCCTGCAGTAAGTTAGAAATAGGGAAAAGGAACTATTTTTGGCAGGCTTACTGCAAGTCCAAGAAGTGACTATTAATCCCAGAATAGCAAGGAAATAGAGAAGCTAGTAAGAAATGAACACAGGAACTCTGAATTCAGGACCATACTGGCCACGCAGAGTCTGTGCAGTGTCTTCAGAACTCACAAAGCCACTGTGACTCTGATGCGGATACCAGGGACCCAGAGTACCAGGACAGTACTAGAGTATTTCAACTCAGGAGACAAGTTAATAGGTTATATCTCTTCATTTTCAAGTACTGCACCTGGTTAAAGGGTTTAGTGCCTACGATAAACTGTTAGCTATGTAGAACTGACTGATGCATGCTCTAGACAATTAGGATCTGCCCTATTACGTCATTTTTATTCATTCATAAAAGAAAAAATGTAAGGCATCGGGCCTTATTCTCTATACTTCTGGTACAAGGTGCTTAGCATTGCTTGCTACTCTCCCTGCCAAATTTCTGCTTGTATGAGAAACAGGAGACTTGCTCCTGCTTCTTTGATTGATCACCTGACTTGAAAGGTGATCCCTGTCCCTTGAGTTACTATTACCACATCACGTCATCTCAGCACTAGAAAAGAAAATACCACCCTTGTATTGGCTCTGCAAACAATTCATGCCATTTAGGAAGTATTTCCTAAATATTTGTCCAATGAATAAGCCAGTAAAATAAACTTCAGTGTGTCATAAATGCAAAAATATGGAGATAATAGTCTATCATTTACTGTCATAAAATATGTACTTACCTATTTTTTAAATTAGCAGGGCATGGTGGCTCAAGCCTGTAATTTCAGCACTGAGGAGGGAGCATCACAAATTGAAGTCCCACCTGGAGAATTTAGCAAGGCCCTGTTTGAAAATATAAAGGGCTGAAGGTACAGCTCAGTGGTAGAGTGCTTATCAAGCATATACAAGGCCGTGGGTTGATCTCCAGCACTATAAAAAAAAAAGTTTTAATATGCAAAAGAGCTAAATGAGCCAGGCTTGGTGGTGCACACCTGTAAATCCCAGCACTCAGGAGCTGAGGCACAAGGATAATTGCAAGTTTGAGACCAGCGTGGGCTACAAAGTGAGCTCAAGGCCAGCTTGAATTGCATAAGAAGATCCTGTCTCAAAAAGACCCAAAAAAAGCTAAATGAGCTGGGCCTTCCAGTGCAACTCCCCATCAGGAGTGTGGTAATCTCAGCACTCCAGGGAAGGTAGAGGCAGAAATATCACTGTGAGTTCAGTGCTAGTCTGGGCTACATAGTAAGTTCAAGGCAGCCTGAACCATACAGCCAGACCTTATATTTAAAAAAAAAAAAAAAACCTCTAAGAAAGGAGTTTAAATGTTTTTACTATAAAGAAATGTTTAAGGGATTTGTTTACCCTGATTTAAACATCATCACACAATGTATACATGTCTCACAACATTAAATGGTACCTCATGATTATGTACAACCTTTATGAGGGGTTTTGCGTGCACATTTTGTGTTTACAATACTAGGGACTGAACAGGCCTCAAGTATGCTAGGCAAGCGCTCTTCCACTGAGCTACATTCCCCAGCCATTTTTATCTAAGACAGTGTTTTGCTAAATTGCCCTGGCTGACCTAAAATTTATGAACCTACTACCTCAGCCTCCCACTTATCTGAGATCGTAGACATGGTTCACCATACCTGGCGTAATTTTATGTTTTTACATATCAGTTTAAAAAACTAAATTTTAAGCATGTTAAAATCACAAAAAACATTTAAATAAAAAAATAACAATCGTATGTAGTGTGCTATGTAATAGTGATTCTGTAGCTGCTATTGTAGTTAGTTTAAGTTGCTAATATAGTTTTCCCACTGCTATTGTGGTGAGCTCAAGTGTTGTAAGTGGCCACTTAAAATACCATGTGAAGCTCACTAATCACTTCTCAGGAGACTTCATCTCTCCAGTAAATTTCATATTGTAGTAAAAAGTGACCTCATTGGAGGCCAAACTGGGCTGTGTTGCCGGGGCAGGGAGACTCAGTGTTAAGAGTATTTGCCTGGCACAGTTCAATCCCTAACACCACAAAAAAACAAGACAAAATTACCTCTCAAGGTTTCTGAATACCTTTCACCATATATAGTACATATAGCATAGAAAATATGAGCTGTTTTTGTTTTCGTTTTTGTTTTAAACAAGATCTCACTACATGGTTCAGGGTGGCCTGGACTCACTATATAACCCAGACTGGCCTGGAACTCACAGTGGTCCTCATGCCTCAGCACCCACAGAGCTGGGATTACAGGCATGCACCACCATGCCCAGCTGAATTAACTGACCATTCATATTATCAGTAAGGCTTCAGTCAATAGCAGGCTACCCGTAACTGAGTTTTGGGGGGGTCAGAGGTTATGTGCAGTGGAGGTGGCTCAGCAATGGAGTTAATGGTTCTGTTTCTCATATTGGAAAAACAAAGTTATATATATGAATTTTTGGGGGATAGGATCTCACTATGTACTGCATGCTGGCCTTGAACTCGGCTACAGTAGTCCAGGATGACCTCAAACTCACAGTGATCCTCCTGCCCCTGCCTCCCAAGTGCTGGGATTATACAGGGGTATGCCACCATGCCAAGTTCACATGCAGAATTTTTGACTGTGGTCAAGGATTGATGCTTTTAACCCTCGTGTGGTTCAAGTGTCAGCTATACTTTCAAGAGGCTATAAATTGCCCGGGAACTTGGCAAGTACAAGTTCCTAAGTTCAATTCCCGGTACAAAAAAAAAAAGTTAAAAATTTGAGAAAGAGCCTAACCCATTATGGGAGCAGCAATCAAAGGACACAAGTAAATCCTGGTACCAACCAGACCAAACGGATGGTACATGATTATTCAAAATCCCAGGAGATTCTTAAGTACACAGTCTGACCATAAGTTTAAAAAAAAAAAGTATGCAGAGAAAAAACTAGAAGCCAACATATAACATGATCATTCATTTATAGCTAATAATTGAGCACTTTCTGCTTGACACTGTTCTTAGCTTTTCAAAGTTAACCAAACTCAAACTATATTGACAATACCACCTAACTGCAATTTATATTTAAAACCGTAAGTCCCAACAGCTGGGGTAGGAAGTAGAGCTCAGCAGGACCGCACTTGCCTAGCATCAGCAAGGCCCCAGGTTCCATCCCCAACAGGAGGGCGAATCAACTCGAACATTAACTTATGCAGTGACAGTGATGGGCAAGGTGTCCTTCCAAAAACAGTAGGGAGATCCTGACTCCTCACACCAAATGCAGAATGTAAGGTGCCAGACAGCTGTGGAACTAAAGAGTCCCAGGGTGGAGAGAGCTTTTACTGTAGTAAGTAGGCCTTGGCCATGTGAAACTGGTGCATGGCCAGCAGGAGGTGCCCTGCAGCTGGCACACGGCTTTCTGACCTCACTTTGAATCTCAGCTTTCAAAGACATTTTTCCCATCCCTGAATGAGTGGTTTTATAATTTTGTTGCTGCAGAGATGGGTATACTGTAACTGCCATGCACGTGCTGTGCCATCCCAGTGTTAGGTCATCTTTAGCTTCCTGACAATCCAGTGACACTGTGCTAACAGGACACCTCAGAGTTAACACAGTGTTTCCCAGGCATAATCAATTGTTTGTGACAGGGTCTCACTATGGAGCCCAGGCTGCCTTCAAACTCGGGTAATCCTCCTACCATGGCTTCCTGAGTACTGGCTAATTCTCAGTTGTTTGTATCATTTTTGTTTTGTTTTTTGTACTGGGGATCGAACTCATGACCTTGCACTTGCCAGGCAAGCCACTGAGCTAAATCCCCAGCCCTTGATTTTTTTTTTAATTAAAGGAAGATTCTTAACAATAGTTGATAGGCAGTACTGGGATCCAATTTTGTATCTTTTTTTTTTTTTTTTTTTTTTTTTGTCTTTTTGATAGTGTCTTGTTATGCAGTCTAACTGGCCTTGGGCTCACTTTGTAGCCTACGCTGTTCTTAAACTTACAAGATCCTCCTGCCTCAGCCTCCCAAGTGCTGAGATTACAAGCATGCATCACCACACCCAGCTTCTCTCTCAATTTATAAAAAATTGTCTTCAATTCTAAATTTGTTTTTGTGCCATGTTATGTTCCCGGTTCTAAATGTCTGTTCACAGAACAACTTTGGGAGTGTACTGTTCGTGAGGTGCTGTCCTACCTTCTCTTGTAACATCCACAAACTGTGATCTCTGTCTCTGTCTCTCTGTCTCTCTGTCTCTCTGTCTCTCTCTCTCTCTCTCTCTCTCTCTCTCTCTCTCTCTCTCTCTCTCTCTCTCTCTCTCTCGGCTGAGCTTTCAGGCCACATGAACTGCAGCAGCACCAGTCACCTTCTCTTCTCTGTCCCTGTGCAGGCTACCCGTTGGCTCTGTTTTACCGGCATTACCTTTTCTACAAGGACAGCTACCTCATCCACCTGTTCCATGCATTCACGGGCCTCTCCATCGCTTACTTTAACTTTGGTAAGTAAACTGAGTGAGCAGTAACGCTGTGACCAGAGCGCCTGAGGGAAAACGAACTTGAATAAAGTTTCCTGGAAAAAATTCAGTGGCTTGTGAAGTTATACTGCTCTGCTTGCAAAGAGGGTTGTAAGGACAGTAACAGCTAGACTTTTCCTTTTTTCTTTTGCTTTTTTTTTTTTTTTTTATTGGTACCGGGGATCGAACTCACGACCATGTGCTTACAAGGCTGGCGCTTATGCCGCTGAGCTAAATCCCCAGCCCCTCCTTTTTTCTTTTATGTGTATCCCACTGACAGATAAAAGCATTTTTAAAATCAATAAACAAAAATAATATGTACATGTATCAAAACATCACTTGACACCCCAGAACTACATACTTTATATGTGCGTTATAGGAATCGAACCCAGGGCCTTGACTGAGCTATATCCCCAGCTCTTTGCATTTTTTATTTTGAGACAAGATCTCACCAACCTGCCCAACCTGGGTTCAAACATTGTATCTTCCTGCTTCAGCCTCACATTGTGCTGGAGTTACAGGCATGTGCCAGTATGACCAACTAATAAGAACAGTTTTTCATTTAATGTATCAGCTAAAGAAGTAAATGTAGGGCTGGAGGATGTAGCTCAGTGGTAAACAGTTGCCAAGCATGCATGTGGCCTAGGTTCCATCTCCAGCACTGCAACAGTAAATATATTTTCAGCTTGGACTAGACTACATATGCAAAACCCTGTCTCAATAATAACAATAAATAAAGTCACTTTGAAGATCACTACCCTTACAGCCCCTCTCACCAAAGGAGTAGTACTTCTCTGCTGTGGCCATAGCTGAGTGACAATTCCAAGCAGTCCCGACTTACAGTCCACCTCAGTACAAAACCAGTAACACCTTGATATGCCCATGTTTCTACAATTATCTTGCATCCCTTCCTCCAAAATCTGGAACTTCTAAAGGAAAAGTTCCTATCAGGCTGGCCTGGAACTCAGGGCGATCCTCCTGCCTCAGCCTTTCAGCATGCTGGGATCACAGGTGTGCGCGGCACACTTGGCTAATGGGTATTTTTGTGTCCTCTTAGTTGCTGGAAACCTCAGGGAGGTGGGAATGTAGCAGACCAGGCTCAGCTGTGCTCTCTCCCCTGCCTCCAGGGTGCCAGTTCTACCACTCCCTGCTCTGTATTGTGCTTCAGTTCCTCATCCTCCGACTGATGGGCCGCACCGTCACTGCCGTCCTCACCACCTTTTGCTTGCAGATGGTAAATAAATGTCTCTCCTTAAAGACTGAGGTCACAGCTGGCAGCAGTTTTGGGGGCAGGGGACCGTGTGGCGCAGAAGCAGTGAACTAGGACACCTGACTTGTAACCCTCCTGCCAGCACTGTGCAGCCTGCCCTGTGGCAGGTCACTTAGCACAGTCCCAGAATCTCATCTGCAGAGCACGATGAGAACTTGCTGATCACCTCAGGAAGGGTGCATAAGGCACCCTTTCTGCCTTAAAGGCAAAGCAAAAGCCAGGCATGGTGGCACACGCCTATGATCCCAGCACTCGGGAGGCTGAGGCAGGAGGATCACTGTGGAGTCTGGGCCAACCTGGGCAACATAGAGACCCTAGAGAGAGAGAAAAAGAGAGTGTTTAGCCTCTCATCTCACATTAGCCTCATTTTTCAGAGAACCCTTGAGCCAGTGTCTTCCCATTTTAGGCTTAATGTCCACATTTGTAGGAACTTCTTAAAGCTTTTCATGATGAGACCATGAGAAGGGAAAAAATGAGACAATACCAGGGATTTCAGAGCAAGGAGAAATAAAGACCTCAGGGTGATGGTGCACTAACTCCTACCCCCAGGCCTACCTTCTTGCTGGGTATTATTACACTGCCACGGGCAACTATGATATCAAATGGACGATGCCACACTGTGTCCTGACATTGAAGCTGATTGGTGAGTGGTGGGCCCGCCCCAAGGACCACATACCTCCTGGTACTCCCCCAGCACACATCTGTCTGCACCAGACTACAGGCCATGTCCTGTGTCCTCTCGCTACTTTACCCACCCTTCTCTCTCTGCTCAGGTTTGGCTATTGACTACTTTGACGGAGGGAAAGATCAGGTAAGTGCCCATTCCACTGCAGACAGGCTCTTGGCCTAACCCAAGGGAGGCAGAAAGCTGTTGTTCCCAGGGTGGACCGAGATGCCAGGGCCACAGTCTCTCTGTCAGCTCCTAACCTGTGATCCCTGTCAGAGCACATTGGGCAAGGACCCACAAATCTCACCCACCAAGGACCTAGCTCTTGCACAGAGACCAGAGCCACCAGGAACTCTCAAAGCAGCAGCAGCCAGCTGTTGCTAAGCCACCCTAGATGCATTCCTTTCCACACTAAGGCCACAGCTCCAGCAGGGGGCACCAGTGCAGAGCACCCAGCCTCACTTGGGGCAGAGATGCCAGGATGTTCTGAACCTTCCACTCTTCTCGGCACAGAGCAGCTTGACCACTGAGCAACAGAAGTATGCCTTCCGTGGTGTCCCTTCCCTGCTGGAAGTTGCTGGTTTCTCCTACTTCTATGGGGCCTTTTTGGTAGGTCCCCAGTTCTCCATGAACCACTACATGAAGCTGGTGCAGGGGAAGCTGACAGACACGCCAGGGAAGATGCCAAACAGGTAACCATGCCCTGTGGGCATGACCCTAGTGCAGTCTCTTCTCAAGTGGCTTCCTCAGCCTGGCCCTGGCACAAAGACCACCACTCCCAGGCCCCATGTGCTTTAGGCACTCAAACCTGCCAATAGCCCTAGTGCCTTTTCAGCCCAGATTACAAACATTAAGACTTTTGTTTTGTCTGTTTTGTTTGTTTTTGCTTTGTCTTTTGAGACAGGGTCTCCCTGTGTACCTCCAGCTAGCCTTGAACTTACTATTTTCCTGTCTGATCTTACCAAATGCTGGGATTACTACTGTGTGCCACAATGCCTGGCTTGTAAAATTTCATTCTTACGCCACAAAATTTTACCCAAAATAGTCATGTCTCTGTGTTAAAAGTCTGTTTTCTCACCTTTTTTAAAAAAGAAAAAAAAATGGCACCTCAACTACTTGGGAGACTGAGGCAGAAAAGTCTCCAATTCAATGCCAGCCTGAGCAATTCAGCAAGACCCTGTCTCAGAATAACTGAATATAATTAAAAAGGCCTGGGGATATAGATCAGTGCTCCCTGGATTCAGTCTCCACTGCTGCAGGTGGGGGTGGTTAAGTTTATTTTTAAAAAGGAGAAAAAATGTGTATGAATATATTAGTAGAAAATTCCAAAGTGACCAGAAGAATCCCTCTGCTGAGAACTCACCCCACCTGAGTCTCAGCATCAACTCAGGAATAAGTGATGATAGCTGCTATTGGTGTCCACCCAAGTTTTTGTAGCCATGGCAGGTCCCAAACTGCGTCCCAAACTCCCAGCTGGCTTGCGTGCCCTTCCTGCAGGTAGAGCTGTTCAGGCACCATTTGCACAGCACCACCCAGAGCTATCTCTGAAATGGTGTCCACTCCAGGCAGTAGAAGTTTTCCTGCAGCCACCACCTGGGCCCTGCTCCCTGTGACTGAGGGGCAGAAGTGCAGTCAGCCCCTTCCCATGACCCTGGCTCCTTTCTTTACAGCACCGTGCCTGCTCTCAAGCGCCTGAGCCTCGGCCTTGTCTACCTAGTGGGTCACACGCTGCTCAGCCCACATATCACAGAGGACTACCTGGTCTCTGAAGACTATGAAGTGAGTAGTACGGGGTGGGTGCCCACCAGCAGTGGACTGGTCAGGACCCTGTAGATAGCAGAGGAGGTAGCTATGCCATCTGTGAGAGCTGGGTCAGAGCCAGCCAGGCCAGAACACATCTGCCAGCCCTCAGTGAGCAACCAGAGCTGCTCTTTGCTCGCTTCATTTCACACAGTAGTTCCATGGGCACAGCAGGCTTACTTCTCTCAGCTGGCAGATCTGGGGGCCTCTAGGAAGATCAAAAGGAAGGAGGGAGGCTGGCTTTAGCTCCTGTTGGAGGGCTCAGCACAGCAGTTCCCTCGCCATCCTGGGCAGGTTAACATGCACTGCGGATCTTTAAGGCCCCCAACACTTAACTGTTCCTGAGGAACGCAGATGACAGACAAGTGAAGGACAGAACTGCGTCCAGGACTCTCCAGGGAAGGGAGTGGGAGGATGTTCACAGGGCTCCCTGCCTGCCCCACTCATCCCGTGAGAAAGGCAATGAGACCAGACTGGCAGGCACATGGGGCTGCTGGACCTTGACAGGCGTAGTGGAGTTCAAAGGGGACAAGCATTCAGGGAACCTGTGTGCTGGACGGACCTCACACACATCCTCTCTTCCCTCAAGAATCGCCCTTTCTGGTTCCGCTGCATGTACATGCTGATCTGGGGCAAGTTTGTGCTGTACAAATATGTCACCTGTTGGCTGGTCACAGTAAGTAGAGATGATGGCCCAGACTCATATACAGATGGCTGCAGGCCTGCTGGGGCAGGGAGAGGCCAAGACCCTGAGCTGTCTTTTGCCTCAGGAAGGAGTGTGCATCTTGACGGGGCTAGGCTTCAATGGCTTTGGAGAAGACGGAAAAGCCAAGTGGGACGCCTGTGCCAACATGAAGGTGTGGCTCTTTGAGACGACACCCCAGTTCAACGGCACCATTGCCTCCTTCAACATCAACACCAACGCCTGGGTGGCCCGGTAAGCACTGACTGGTGGGGTGAGCTGGAGCCATGCTTCTTCCTCCTGCTGCTCCCTCTCGGGTAGGAGGGCAGGGATGTGCGCAGGTAGAATCCGCTATCACTCATTCTGTCCCCACCCAACACCCCAAAACACCCCACAGGAAGTGCCACAGGCTCCTGCTGCTGTCGCTGACTCACATCCTCCACTGCCCTGTGCAGAAGGTCACCATTTACCTGCTTAGCGCCTGCACATTGTGCACCAGACACTTAGTAGGCTGTCACTACCCATGGAAGCCAGTGGCTCACCCGAGGCCACCCTGCCAAGCTGTCTCTAACACGGGGGTCAGCATGGCCTGCCGTACCCCTAGGAGCCACAAATGGCAGCCAGCTACTGTGCTACTCCAGGGGGCTCTGAGGACCACAGCAGGACAGTGGGAGTGCAGAGTAGATCCTGAGGCTCTTCCGGCCCCTTTTCTCTAGTTACTTCTTCAAACGCCTCAAGTTCCTTGGAAATAAACAACTGTCCCATGGTCTCTCATTGCTGTTCCTGGCCCTCTGGCATGGTCTCCACTCAGGATACCTGGTCTGCTTCCAGATGGAGTTCCTCATCATCATTGTGGAAAAGCAGGTGGGCCTCAAGGGGGCGGTGCCGAGGAGGCAGAGGAGGAGGGGTCGAGCCACTGATACCTACCTGCTCCCTTCCTCCCAGGCTGCCGCCCTCATTCAGGACAGCCCAGCCCTCAGCAGCCTGGCCTCCGTCACTGCCTTGCAGCCCTTCTTCTACGTGGTACAGCAAACCATCCACTGGCTCTTCATGGGCTACTCCATGACCGCCTTCTGCCTCTTCACATGGGACAAGTGGCTTAAGGTGAGACAAGGCTGCCACAGAACCTGGGGAGTTCAGGAAGCTGGGACACACCATGCCCCAGACCTAGCTCACTGGCTTCTCCCACTGCAGGTGTATAAATCTGTCTATTTTATCGGCCATGTCTTCTTCCTGAGCCTACTATTCACACTGCCTTACATTCACAAAGCAATGGTGCCAAGGAAAGAGAAGTTAAAGAAAAAGGAGTAATTGGATTTTCTGGTAAGTATTCTACAGCTGTGCTGAAGCTAGCAGGGCAAGGCTAGAGCCACAGACTAGGAAGTGAGGATAGAACTGGCAATCTGGGGTGATTTCAAGGTAGTTTGGCTTCTGGGTCCGTGTGGGGCACTGAGACCACTAGGAGAAAGATGCAGGACAGTCGCAGGGACACTGGGACCAGCCTTGCAATTCCACGTCTTGTCTTGCAGGTGGCCTAGAACAAGACTGGTGCAGAAACTACTTGGCCCTCTTTCACAGCACTCCCTCATCCAGAGCACAGAAAGCCGGGGAGCTGGGAGCCAGAAGCTGTGTGCTCCCAGCTGTGCTTCTGCTCAGTGGCCAAAGGGGAGGCTTTTGTGGGAGGAGCAGGGGGCTTCACCCCCGCCCCATGCTTCCCCATGCACGTTGCCTTATCTCTCCCCTCCAGCCAGGAATCTGCTGTGTTCTGCCAATTTCCTACAACTGTCTGCCACCTCCCTCATGGGGGGAGGAGAGGGTACAAGGCCCCACCTGCTCCACTTTTTCTATCTTGGAACTGTACCAGATAAAATCACTTCTGTTTATTGGTTTTTCACTGCTGGCATCCCTGATTGTTTTCTTTCACACACAGTTCTCAGTGCACACATGGCTGAAATCTCAGGGTTGCCTCTAGAGCAAGAGAATTCAGGGGCTGCTTTCACAGCCCAGAGCCAACCAAAAGTGCCAACTCTGTGACTCACATCTGTCCTGAAGTCTGAGGACAATTTATACCATTAGACTCTGCTGAACTAACCCCAAAACAACTACGTTGGAAAAAAAACACATTTATAGGACAAATGAAGAACAAATGTGCAGCATGGGCTTCTACGGGCTCCAGTGTCCGTGTGGAAAGGTCAGCTGGCAACAGTCTATTCAGAGTAGGGCCAGGGAGCAGCCAAGAGTCCTTCGGCTCACAAGCAGGTCCTGCGGCCCTCAGATCACCCCCCACACCTCCTCAAAGGCTGTGGTTAGCTTGGCACAGGTGAGGGCAGCAGAGAGGGGGTAGTTGCTGATGGACACCATCTTCTCCGTGTACTCCACACTGACCTGAGGAGACAACAGTCCCATAAACCAGCTGCTACTCGAAGGCTCAGCCTTTCTTCAGGAAAAAAAAAACTACTACAGCCAAGCTAGCACTTCCCTATAAAGCAGGAAGATCTGGTTTTATCTACTAAAGTAAGCAGCCTTCTTGGCACAGGAAGTAGAACCACCGTTTGTCTTCTAGCTGCTATCTTACCCTCTAATTCCCAGTCTGGAAAGATTATTAACCACTCCTGGAATTCTTATTAAGCCTCAGCTCTATGAGGGATCTCAGAGTTGAGCCCAGACCTTACCTTGCCATGGGCAAAGGCCCCCACCACAAAAACAATAGGGTCGCTACTGGGCACCAACTCTCGCACATCACTGATGACCGGGACAGAAAAAGAAGTGCCAATTTTCATACAGCCAACTGGGAAATGATCAGAGACTGGGTTCTTAATTACCTGAAAAAAGAAAGAAAAATCAGCCCCAAAGAGTTCTTAAACCCTACCCATGTGGTGGGTTTCAATGCCTCACCTTCAAAAGCTTCTGGGGGCCATCAGCTGCTCGAACGCTGAGTTTGTGTAAAAGCTGAACTAGGAGGAAAAAAGAGATTTTCAGAGCTAGGTGGAAGCCTTTAAGAGGCTGAGGCTGGAGGATCACACAAATTGAAGGGCAGCCTGGACTACACAGTGAGTTCAAAGTCAGCCTGGAACACATAACAAGACCCTATCTTAAAGTTTAAAAACTAGATGGTGACTCTACTCCTACCCAGTGATCTAACCAGAAAGCCACTAGGTAAGGGGGGAGGGGTGACATGTGCCCTCTACACCCTACACCCAGACTGCTCATACACATGACAACATGGCAGCACCTGAGTCAGCAGTAGTGATGGCTTTGAACTTTTTTTTTTCTCAGCCAAGAACCTACTCCAATGATGATAGGACTGTCAAATTTTCATGCATGTGGAAAAACAACAAAGTAGAGTCTGTCCTAGCACCAATAACATCCTTTCCCAGCTAAAGAATTCGACCTCTAATATTCTTCCTCTTTCCCTGCTGCCACAGTCAGCATGAACTCTTAGGTCCTGCGATCCTCACCCATGAGCCCACAAAAGCGGTCAAATGTCCTGGGGATGCGGGTTTGGGGGTTCACTTCAATCAGCACATTCCTCTGGGTGTGGATGTACACCTGCAGCAGCCCAGCCCGGTTTAGTGGGCTATCCATCAGCATCAGCAAGCTCTGAGGAAGGCAGAGGCCAGGAAGTAAGGGCCACAAGCAGCAGCATCCTGCTCCCTCCCCTTTCCTATAGGCCCAGGGCTCAGCAGCTCCAAGCCTAAGTTACCTGATGGGCTATGTCTGGTCTCACTTCCCCAGGATCCCGTCCATTCTTCAGCAACAAGGCCTTGTGCTTGTCACAGTTCAGTAGTTCATATGTCTTCCCTACCTGAAGAATAGAGAACACAAGGAGAGGGGAGGAAAGAACATCAGCACAGCGCCTGAATCAGTAGCAGCAAAATTGTCCAGCAGGCAAATGCTTAGGCTCCCTCTCAAGCCAAGGTCAATGGAAATGAGGGTGAAGCACATGTGGCCATGCTTACACCAAGTAACCGTTCTTAGAGGGGAACAAGAGGCAGGATGCAACCTGTGGCTGCTGAACAAGGCTACTGAGAGGACAGAGCCCAAACCAGGCGGGAGTCAGGGGAGTAATCACAGCTGAATGTTCACATTTCTCATAGGAGCAACAAGTGGCTACTGGGGAGCCAGGGGTTTAGCTCAGCGGCATAAGGGCCTGCTTTGGCGAACTCAAGTGAGTTTAATCCCCAGTACCAAAGGAAAAAAAAGTGGCTACTGGGAAAAATCATTGCCCTAAGTCTACTTACAACAAACATTAACTAAATGAGTAAATCTAAGCAGGAAGTGATGATTCTCAGGACACAGAACTAATTCAATGAAGGAAAACTTCTCTAAAAAAGAGCTAAATGAGAGGGGACACTCCCAGTTCTAAAACAAGTATGAGTAAAGGTAGAAACAAACCAAAAAGCAAAAGCACCTGGGTGTGGTGGCACATGCCTGCTAATTTCCAGTACTCGGGAGACTGAAGCAGGAGGATCAGTGAGTTCCAGGCCAGCCTGAGCTACACAGTGAGATCCTGTCTTTAAAAAAAAAAAAGTCCATACACAGTGTTGCCAGGCATGGTGCTGTATGCCTATAATCCCAGCACTCAGGAGGCTGAGGCAGGAAGATAAATGAGAGTTCCAAGCCAGCCTGGGCTACATAATAAGCTCAAGACCAGCTTGAACTACACAGCAAGACTATCTCAAAATTTTTTTAATAACATATCGTTAAGTACAAATAATCACAGGATGTTCTGTGTATCACTAGAATATTTGTGTATGTCTTTACAGGACTCCAAAAAGTTGGAAAAGGAATGTAGATTTGAAATTAATTGAATGATTGAAATAACAAGAATACCATTTGTACACAAACCCACACAAAAAACCAAGAATTACATGGGACACGCTTTTAAAAAAGAAAAAAAAAAAAAAAAATACCCCACCACAAAGCTAGTACTAGAGATTGAATCCACAGCCTCACATTTACCACTAAGCTATATCCCAGCCCCATCCCTCCCCTTTTTTATTTCTGAGGCAAGGTCTTGCTATGCAGTGCAAACTCGCCTTCCCCTCATTTATGTAGCCCAGGCTGGCCTCAAACTCAGGGCAGCCTCCTGCCTTAACTTCCTATGTGCTGAAATTATGGGTGTACAACCTCAAGTCCAGTCCAACGCAGCTCTTTTTTAAACTTTGAGACAAACTTGCACTAAATTGCTCAGGCTGTGCTCAAACCTGCGATCCTCACCAGGAAAGGTAGTGCACAAAGCTGAGGCAGGACTGTGATAAGTTCAGGCCAGCCTGGGATACTTAATGAGACCCTGTCTCAAAAAAAAACAAAAACAAAACAAAAATAAATTGCAATGCCCCTTCAGTCTCCCAATTAGCTACAATTGCGCACATGAACTACCACACTGAGAAAGAGACCCTTACATAGAATAACCAGTTTCCACCCATCTCTAGCATATAACCAGGGTTTTTGTTCTTTTAATAAAATACAACAGAAAACATCAAAAGTACTTCACACATAGTAACAGTAGTTTATGAGCGCCAGGTGTGCTGGTACACACCTGTAATCCCAGCACTCAGGAGGCAAGAGAACTGCTGTGAGTTCAAGGTCAGTTTGAGCTACACAGCAAGATCAAGGCCAGCCTGAATTGCATAGCAAAGCCCTGTCTCAAAAAGTAGTTTATGAAACTTGGTTTCATATAGTTAGATGTGTATATTTACTCACATATAACCTTTTTGTCACTTAATACCTTTGAAAACCACTACGTAATCAATAACTCTACTCAATAACTATAAAAGATACTGGACATAAGAATTTTTGAAACCATCTATTCTGAGCCCTCACAGACACATAAACAGTTAACAATTACATACTCCAGACTTTAACAAACATTACAAAGAAAGAGTACGTGGCTTAATAAAGGACTATAACAGAAGATTTATGCCAGGGAGTCCATTTTTATGCCTCCCAGACACTGGACCAGATTATCATTTAATATATCTATGTTTTCATGAACGTTATAAAAACCAGTGATTCCTTGGTTTAATCTAGTAACTGAAGTATGCATATCATAGAAACTCAGCTGCAAAATGAACAACTAATAATTAGGCAGAGAGCTAGGTTATGGGCTTACTGTGAAAGAATATGTTCAGTGGACTTAAGGTATAAAAGAACTTACTGCTTTCGAAATTTAAGACTACTCAAGCTGAGGAATTTGCTCAGCAGCATAATAAGCACCTGCCTAGCAAACACAAGGTCTTGATTTGATCCCTGATATCAAAAAAAAAAAAAGAGGAAGATTTAGAAAGCTACTGAGACTGGAGCACAGGAATAAATGGAAGCCAGACATGAGTGGTGCATGCTTTTTATCCTAGTAATCTGGGGGGCTAAGGAAGGAAACGTGCAAATTTGAGCCCAGCCTAGGCAGCTCTGTAAGACTCGATCTCAGAAATAAAGCTGGGGTGTAGCTCAATGAGAAGGGCTTGGGTTCAATCCCCAGTTAGCACCAATACTAACAACAACAGTAATATAATAAATAAACCTCTTGCCAGATAAGACTGGTAGAAGCAATAGGTGCTAGTACAAGGAAGACATAATACAGCCTGATGAAGATTTCAAGCAGCTATGAAGTCTGTAATCCTTGAAGTACATTAATAACAACCTGTCAGGTTCCATCAAAAGCTGTGTAGCCTGTCACTTCACAAATTGAGCTAAATTCTTCTAAAATATGTTCTAGGAACTTTAATTTGCCCATAACGTTTTCAATTTCCTGAAGGTGGTTTTATTTTTTGTGATGCTGGAGATTAAACAGGGCCTTCACACTGAACAACATCCCCTTTAGTTTTTGAGAAAAGGCCTTGGTGGGTCACTAAATTACCGGGCTGGCCTCAAACTTTACAACCTTCTGCTTTAATCTCCCAGAGTGGTGGATTATAGGTGCGTCCCACCATGACCAGGTGTTCAACCAGTTTTGTTTGTTTGTTTGTTTTTGCAGGGCAAGGGGGAGACAGGATCTCACTTTGTAGTTCAGGACGCCTCAAACCTACAGGGATCCTCCTGACACCTCAGCCTTTAGTACGGGATTACAAGTGTGCCAAATTCACACACATTAATTTATTCCACGTGACAGGCATTACTCCAACAACTTTATACAAATTAACTCCTTTAATACCTCCCAATATTATTAGCCCCAAAGTAACTAAGGTTTTACGTCAGATCTCATAACTAATATGTAGAAAGATTTGAACCTAGGCAATCTAGTACGAGTTTACATTCTCAAACACTTTGCTGATTCAGACAAGCTGTTCACGTTTTCAAGTTACACAATTATATGGGATAAACTTAACAACAAATGTCAAAATTAACAGAAATAACAAAGACAGGAGGCAATTAGGGATGAACACAAGAACCTGTAATCAGGGGGCTGGGGATTTAGCTCAGCAGCATAAGCACCTGCCTTGCAAGCAGGCAGTCGTGAGTTCGATCCCTGGTACCAATAAAAATGAAAAGGACCAAAAAAAACAAGAACCTGTAATTAGAAATACCAACTACAGAAAAAAAAATAAAGCAGAATCCTGATTATTAGCTGGTCATTTATAAAACAATAGTGTCTACACTATTAAAGTGTCACAATGGCGAGGAACAAACGGGAAGGAATCTCAGATTATTATGACAATGTACTTTGTGTGTGTGTGTGTACTGGGTATTGAACTCGTGACTTTGTGCTTGTCAGGCAGGCTCTTATGCCACTGAGCTAAATGTACCATTTTTAAAAACTTTCATAGGGGCTGGGGATTTAACTCAGCAGCATAAGCATCTGCCTGGCACATTCGAGGTTGTGAGTTCTATCCCCAGTACCAAAAAAATTTTTTTAAAACTTTCATTAGTCCACCATGTGATTCACACTTAAGGTATATCTCTCTACTTTATAAAATGAAGATTTTTTCAAAAATCACGTAATTAAATGTTAAGAAACAAGATTAAAGCTGGGCATGGTGGCACACACCTTGTAATCCTAGTACTTGGGAGGCATAAGCAGGAAGACTGCTAAGACTTCAAGACCAGCCTCGGCTACATAGTTTAGGACCAGCCTGGGACAAGCGAAACCTTGTCTCAAAAAAATAGAATTGGGGCTGGGGCATAAGTGCCTGCCTTGCAAGCCTGTGGTCGTGAGTTCAATCCCTGGTACCAGTAAAAATACAAAAAAAAATAAATAAATAAAATAAAATTCTGATTTCCAAAGTCTCTCCCGGGTCTACCTACTGAACAAGTTTGGTTTTCAAGGGTAAGAGACAAAGTCACACCATATGGAGACATAGCACAAGATGTAAGTCAGAGAGTTGCTAGCTTTAATTCATCCAGAGGAAACACATAAGTAAAAAAACAGATGTATAGCTCAGCGGCATAAGCGCCTGCCTTGTAAGCAGGCAGTCGTGAGTTCGATTTCTGGTACCGATAAAAACGAAAAAGACAAAAAAAAAAAAAAAAAAAAGATGTATTAAATAACAATGTGATCCAGGCAGTATTTTAAGTTGGATAGAAAAAAGGGCGACAGTGGCAATCCTTCAACAAAATGAAACATCAACTTCTTACCAATAAAGGCTAGGCAAATTATGGGAGGCCATGATACACAGAAATGCTGACTTTACAAAATACTGTATTACGAAGCCCTGGTAGAGCAACCAGAAGCAAATGAGAGCTGTAACAGAAGCCAAGAAAAGGGAAAAGAAAATCAGTTCTACCAACCCAGGATGTCAAACCAAATGATAATCAACTACGTGATTGTTCCACCATCTTTCTTCCAAAAACGTTTTTTCACTTCTGCTTCCTCCACCCTGTGGCCTCCACCTCATTCCACGGAATCCTACCCTATCAATCTAATTCCACATTTCCTGCTTCGAACTACCTTGACTGTCTCCAGACTGGCCCCTTCCAGCACCACAATGAGCCTGCGGCCTCCAGTCTTGCTTCCTGCTCCCAGTCGGGGCCTCTTGGTTGCGGTAGCATCCCAATTTTGATCCGGCTCACCAAAACTCCGCTCACGAGGTTGAAACCCACCACTGGATGCAGCCATTTTGCCACCAGACCGGAAATCGCGACAAAGGCCTTAATTATAACCTCACACTCATCCTATCGTACACTTCCTTCCGGCTGCCATTTTGAAAGTGGGCACCGGGAGAAAGCTATAGCTTGTAGCCTTGCGCTAATGAAACCTGCTTGAAAGGGCAGGATTCCAGAACGGGGCGGGACTTCTAGGTACGTACTTCCTGTGCGCGGGAGTCGGGTTTGGTGTAAACCCGGGTAGGGGAGGGTTTAAAGGGAGCGCACTTCCGGTGCCCTTTCTCCCTGATCGCTGAGGCCCGAACCCTCGTGTGCAGTTGTGAACTTTAGGCTGGAGTGGGGTACAAGAGGGCGGCCACCCCCTTCTCACCTCTGGTGCCGCCGCCCTCAGCATCAGATATGGCCCAGAACCTGAAGGACTTAGCGGGACGCCTGCCCGCCGGACCCAGGGGCATGGGCACGGCGCTGAAGCTACTACTGGGGGCTGGCGCGGTGGCCTATGGCGTCCGCGAGTCCGTGTTCACCGGTGAGCAGCCTCTTCCTGCTCGCTGGAATCCCCGCCCCAGATTCCTGCCCGGGCTTGCAGGGTGGTCGCGCTCGTCAGCCCCTGCCCTGGCCCCCTGGGCTGAGCCTTACCCCCACCCTCTCTCCACAGTTGAGGGCGGCCATCGAGCCATCTTCTTTAACCGGATCGGTGGCGTGCAGCAGGACACCATCCTGGCCGAGGGCCTTCACTTCAGGTAATGGCGGGCAGCACAGGTTGACCCTGAGCCTTCACCCTTGACGCGACCCGCGGCTGCGACACGATTCACACTGCCCTCCCTCCTCATCCCCGCCCCGCTCCCAGGACGTGGGTGCAGCGCAAAGTCCTGCAGCACATAAACGGCTGTTCTTGTCTGTAGTTCTGTTCAGGAGGAGCAGACCAAAAAGCAAGTGGTGAAAGCAGAGTTAGCGAAACAACAGTTGAATAATTCCTATCCCTGCCCTCTCCCCTCCAGGATCCCCTGGTTCCAGTACCCCATTATCTATGACATTCGGGCCAGACCCCGAAAAATCTCCTCCCCCACAGGCTCCAAAGGTAAGCATGGGCAACTGGAAGTGACATGGCAGGTGGGATACCTAACTTAAATGGGAGGGCCACCACTTAGGGGAAAGATAGTGGGCGGGGAGGGGGGGTATTGGGTTTCTATGTCTGCTTAAGAGTTTGTGTCCTAAGGTTAAAGAAGTACATTCCATCCAACTGTAGTTTAACAAGTCTTTTTAACCCTGATGTAAAAGAAACAAGAATATCATTTGTCCTTTTTTTTTAAGTTGCTATTCGGATGAAATCCTCGTTTTAAAGCCTTTTTCTCTTCTGAGTTAATTCAGTTACGGATGTACTGGTGCACCCTACCTTGGAGAAGATTGTTTCCACTCTTTGTTAATTCTCGCCTGACAGGGCACACCTGCCTCATTCTCTCACACACACATACATGCACACTGAGGCAGGTAGCTCACTGTGTAATCTAATAAGGAGACGTGATTATCCTGCATAGCAGCGCTTACATTAGCAATTGTACAAACCCCAGTGACAAAATAGTTGGCTCTGCTAATAGAAGGATTCGGTAGGTGAGGACTTTATGGTGCACAAGAATCCATTTCACCCATGCTTTATCACAGGTGACCTGATGAGCGTCCTCCCTCAGGGAATGCTAAACTGTGCACATTGGACTGGGCTTAGGGTAGTGATGGGGAATCTTTTAGAGATCCAAATGCAACCCAAAACCCACTTGTCACAAAGTGCTAACACTGCAATTAAACCTGAATATTGAGGTTTTAGTTCAGAAAAAATAATTTACACATTAATATCTTTTGTCTTAAAAACATAATAACAGCTTTCAACGGTTCAGCTTCTTATCAAAAAGTAAAAGTTGTTGGGCGTGGTGAAATACATCAGTAATTCCAGCACTCAGGAGGCTGGGGCAGGAGGACTGCCAGGAGTTCAAGGCCTGCCTGGGTTACACGTAGTGAAACTTTGTCTCAAAAAAAAAAGCAAAAAGTAAAAGTTTGCATTTGCTGTGCTTTTGCACAACAAAATCTTGGTTTTTTTTGTTTTTTTTTTTTGTTGTTGTTGTTGTTTTTTGTTTTTTGTTTTTCGTTTTTTTTTTTTTGGTACCGGGGATCAAACTCACGACCTCGAGCTTGCCAGGCAGGCACTTATGCTGCTGAGCTAAATCTCTGGCCTTGCACAATATAATCTGTGCTATTGTATGCACACTGATAATTTGTCAAAGCTTAGCTCCTCATTAGTTTAAGAGCAACACATGTAGCACTAAGGTCACCTATCAGCCTATTTCTTTTATCAGGTTTGATACAATTCAAACCTGAAAACAGCTGCTCACAAGCATAAGACTATCCAAAGTAAGAAAAGCAATCCCAAGTGCTTTTATTTATTTATTTATTTATTTATTTAGTCTTTCTCCTTTTCCTTTTTATCGGTACCGGGGATCAAACTCACGACTGCCTGCTTGCAAGGCAGGCGCTTATGCTGCTGAGCTAAACCTCCAGCCCCCTCAAGTGCTTTTATTGACTTAAAATTATTTGGCAGAGAATTTCACACTTTAAGGATTTCATTTTGAGAACCACCAACTGTGCTGTCTGTTGTCACCCTTCACACTCCATCTTTCCAACTGTTGTATGCAGCTCATAAAATTTACTTTCCAGATAGAGCTTTTTTGAAATGCTAATAGATCCATTTCCAAGATCTAACTGTAAGCAGGAAAAGTCAAGTTCTTAAAATTTGACTTTTCTGGCAGAGAAAATACAGGGTTATCTCTGTCTTATGGGGCTATAAAAATAATAAATTTTCCTTTCTAGCCATTACAATGCTAGGATATTCCTTGTAGATTTCCTGATGGCTTGTAGGATTGTCTGCAAATGTAGGGTTTCTAGATGCACTTATTTCAGCTACCCACTTTCAAGTTCTGGGTCCACTTGGCTCGCATGCCAACAGAGGGCTGTGCTTGTCCACAGCGCTCCTGCCATAGGTTCACCACCACTGGCTTAGAGAGAAGTGCAGGAAGGAGAATGCAGGGGTGGGGGCCCCTTGACCTGCCCTGCTGATCTCTCCTTCAGACCTGCAGATGGTGAACATCTCCCTGCGTGTGCTGTCTCGGCCTAATGCCCAGGAGCTCCCCAGCATGTACCAGCGCCTAGGCCTGGACTATGAGGAACGAGTGTTGCCGTCCATTGTCAACGAGGTGCTCAAGAGTGTGGTGGCCAAGTTCAATGCCTCACAGCTGATTACCCAGCGGGCCCAGGTCTGAGCTTCCCCCAGATGGCAGTGTTTCCTTCCTAGGCCCAAAGTAGGCATTCTGGTTCCATTAAAAGCCGTGCAAATTGCCACTCACAGGATGTAAGGCAAACCAGCACCAGAAGTCCATAGCAGTCGGTATTAGGAAGAAAACACAAAAGAAGACAGTGACAGAGCCCAGATGTTCTTTACCTCTTTGGAAAAGTTGTTGGTTTGCCTGGCAGAAGCTTATTTTGGAGGGAATGGAGGATCAGGAATCAGTATGACCTGGGCCGGTCAGACCACCTCCCCGAGGCTGGGTCATCTACCTGACAAGACTGAACCACGCCCAGTCTTAACTCATGTGGCCTAGTGAGCATCTGAGGACCTAAACCCACCATTCGCAGATTCTGGCATCAGATAGTCATAGCCACATAATCTTCCTTCCAGTTTTCCAGTCCCTTCAAACTGTCCCTCCCTTCCCCTCCCCATGCCTGCCCCCAGGTGTCCCTGCTGATCCGCCGTGAACTGACGGAGAGGGCCAAGGACTTCAGCCTTATCCTGGATGATGTTGCTATCACAGAGTTGAGCTTCAGCCGGGAATACACAGCTGCTGTGGAAGCCAAACAAGTGGGTGAGTCACAAGGGGAATGTGACAAGGGCTTTGCTGCAGGGGGACAGGCCATCTGTGTTTGCAGTTCCTATCGTATCCTTGACTCCTGATTCTTACACCACAGCCCAGCAGGAGGCCCAGCGGGCCCAGTTCTTGGTGGAGAAAGCAAAGCAGGAACAGCGGCAGAAGATCGTGCAAGCAGAGGGGGAGGCGGAGGCCGCCAAGATGATATCCTGCCTCAAGAGAGTTCGCCCAGCCCCTGGGGTACCCAGTTTCTCGGTCTTCCACTGGACCGGCTGATGAGACCAAGGCGAATGTGATACGTGCTCTCTGCCCCTTGGCTTCTGGGCTGGGTGCTGCAGATGGGATCTGGAATCTTGGTGGGGACTCCTGAGGCCTGACTCCCCCTAGTAAGACTGGAGCCACAGCACTGCAGGCCTCTCGTTGCTATTGAGGCTGCTGCTGCCCTGGCCTCCAGCAGCAGCATGCAGGGAGGCCCACAGGTGGGACTTTGGGTGGGATGGGCAGAAGCCATGTGAGCTCACCTTGGATCTGACGGCCCAGGGGACCATGAGAGGGGAGTGAGGATGGGTCAGGCCCATTGTTGTGGACCCTTAACCTTGTCCTGCTCACCTTGGAGAAGCGCTGAGCAAGAATCCTGGCTACATCAAGCTACGTAAGATCCGAGCAGCCCAGAATATCTCTAAGACGGTGAGCCAGGGCCTAGCACCTGTACCTCAGTGACCTTGGAGTGAAAGTGATCTCACTTAAATGCTTGGAAGTCAATGGAGTTAGTCTATTTTTTTTTTTTTTTTTTGGTACTGGGGATCGAACTCATGACCTAATGCTTGCCAGGCAGGCACTTATGCCACTGAGTTATATCCCCAGCCCCTGGAGTTAGACTCTTGCTTGCTCAGATTTCTACTCAAAATTGGCTTCTCTGGGACTACTTCCTCATCGAGGAAGCTCCCAGGACTGACACATTGCAGACGTCACTCACTGCTTTGGTTCTTGCCACAAACTGAGTCTTACCCATCAAGTGGCTTGTGAATAGCAGGCTTAGGAATTGAGGGTTTTTTGTCCTTTGGTACTGATCTACATTGTCAACCTTTTGGGGATAACAAGGTCTTACAAGTGGGCAGACTTGGACTCAACTTGGGATATTCCTGCCTCAGCCTCCTTGAGTACCAAGACTGTATGAGTACACCACCGTACCTGGCTTTAAGGGCTTTGCTAATGAAGCTCTGTCTGGTTGCTCTGCAGATCGCCACTTCACAGAATCGCATCTATCTCACGGCCGACAACCTCGTACTGAACCTCCAGGATGAAAGTTTCACCCGGTAAGCAGTATGTGGTACATGGCAAGGTGAAGGCACGTGGTCCCTGAGTCTGGTCACTTGGGTTCTGATGCCTGTTAAAAAGGTATGCATATGACCTGTGACAGGCATTTGGCTTGTCAGAAGGGGAGACAGAAGGGGGGCAGCTGCCTGTTCCTATCCTGCATCCCATGGCACTGATTCTGATCCTGTAACGGGCACATTAATGGCAAATACTTATCTAACCAAAGTGATGGAAGACGGTACTTGGGATCCTCACTCAGGACCCCTGAAACTGCTGTCCCTGGGCACAGAGCTGCCTGGGGAAGCACAAAGCAGCTCTTCCTTGGCCTGAGCTGTGAGTCATGTGCATTTCTCTTTGTTTTTCTGCTTGCGGGGTGACCTGGTGTCTTCCACAGAGGAAGGTGAGTTGTGTGGTGTCCTGCCCTCTATGGGGTCCCCTGCCCAGTTCCTGCCTACTCCCACAGCAGCTCTCGGGCAACCTGGTGCCCTCCAGCTCACTATCCATCTGTCTGTCTCTTCCACAGCGACAGTCTCATCAAGGGTAAGAAATGAGGCTGGTCACCCAGAACTCCGCCCCAGAGAGGAAGTGGCTGTTTCTCTTCTGGATCTTGAGGAGCAGCTAGGGCTCTGGCGCCCTCGTCGCACCGGTTTCCTGTAATGCTGGGCTCTATGCCTATTGTGTAGGGCCCACAGAACACCGACCTTTGGGGATGCCTTCCTCCTCACGTGTCGGCCAGAGAGTCAGGACCGTGTGTGATTTCTCAGTGATTTCCTACAGTGTTGTTCCCTCCCCCCAGATGGAAAGAATAATCACCACCCCAAGAATTCTCAATAAACTTTTATTACTTAAGCTGAAGTCGAGATTTTCCGTGTCCAAGTGGGTTATGGGAGAGGCAGTAGGCATGGGTCACGCAAGCGCGCCTGGTCTCCGGTCGGCCAGCAGGGGGCGCGAGGACTTAGCCCGGGTGGTTAACTTTGCGGGGGCTGGGCCGCTAGGCCCTCCAAGCCCAGCTCAGCGGGCTCCAAATCGCAAGAGTTCTGGGATAGCAGGCCTCCAACCCATGGGGCCGGCTTCACCACCCCTCCAGGACCACGCTATCCTCGCTTATTGACATCTTTAAGCCTGAAGCAGCCGCAGCTTTGCTGAACCAGACTAAAACTTTGATGACCCCAAGGGGAGCTGCTTCCTTGGTAACGCTCACCTAGAGCTGGAACAGTGGGGAGATCAAGTGCACCCGCTGAGGGAGCTCAGCGGTCCAAAGCCCCGTGGGTTTCGCCCCGTGGGTTTCGTTGCCTGCTGTGGGCCACCTGCACCCTGTTTCCGTCACCAGGTGTGAGGAGCTAATTGCATAGAGGCCCCACCTGTGGAAGTAGCGCTGCCCTCCAACAGCCCAGACTGGCAGGGACGCCCCTCACTTTTCCCAGGTGGCCCTCCCAGCTCAGGCCTAGGAAAGCAACCCTGTGCTTCCACACGGACACGCCCCCAGCCTGTTTCCTGCCCCGTGTCCCAGGGAGATGAAGCAAATGGAACCAAAAGAAAATGCTCGTGCTTCAGGAATTTGAGTGGCTCAGGGCAGAGGAGACAGGTCCTAACAGGGTTAGAGAAGTGGGGAAATCTTCAGCTTCTTAGCTTACTGAAGGAAGTAGATTAATTTCTCCCTACTTTGGTTGAACGTCACGAAGGGGAAAGGGAGGGGAAGCAGATATGGCAGTGGCTTTTCTGAGTCCCAGGAAGTCTAAGATGAGACTGACAGACAAAGACAGCTCCAAGTCCAGAGAGCTGGCTCAGTCCGGCTGTTCCTAGGAAAGACAGTGGAGGTGCCTGGGGGACAAACCTATTTCCACGTCCTGCTGCTGCTCTAGAGGCAGCCATTTTGTCTCCTTCCCACTGTTCCCCTCTTCCTAGTGCTTCACCCTGCACCTAAAGGGGTAAAGTTCAGGAGTGGTTGATCAAGAGGCCTCCATAAGTCTTCAGGGCTCCCCGGAGGTCACTGCCGAGGAAGCCGACCCGGGGGCCATCTTTACCAGACAGTGTTAGGAGCTTCACAATTAGACCAACCAACACTGTGCTGGAAGATGGACCCAGAGCCAGCCAACATGGAGTCCAGGCAACAGCTGACCAGCTGATAGCCACAGGGATCCTGGCCACTAAGCGTCCAGGAGCCAGTCGCAAGCTCAGTATTAGCTGTGGGTTCTGGACTCAGAAGATGACAAATCACACTGGGCTGGAGGAGGGGCTGGGCCATTGTGTTCCTCCAGTGGGCAGCCATCCAACCCAGAGCCACCTCTGCAGCACCCTTGTCCAACAAGGGGCTTGCAGGGTGGTCAGGGGCCTGAGGTGACAGTGCCACAGGGCCAGGGGCCTCCATCATTACCCGGCAGTATTAGAGACCAAACCAGCACCCAAACACTGCAGGGTAAGACGAAGGCCCCCACCCAGCCTGTCTGCCACAGCAGCGGCAGGCCCCGGCCCGGCCCGGCCTGGCCCGCTTTCCCTCCCCCACCACCTGGTCCCCGAGGATACTTCCGGGTGAGCCCTGCTGCCCAACACCAGCCTCACCAGAAAGTGCTGACCACCCAGGCCCTGGGAGTTTCAGCAGCCACTCACCCCCACCCCGACCCTCCCACCCCTGCCCTTGGCCTCTGGCCCCTTCCCCTGCCACCCGACTCAATAGCCAGGCCCTGCCCCCAGCTGACCTCCGTTTGCTGGCCCTCAGCCCCAGGGACCCCTGCCCAATGGTCTTTACCTGTCACCAGGCCCATCTGGCCCTCAGAGTTGGATGTGGAGGAGAAGAAGGGACACCTTGGCCTGGACTCGGAGGCCTACAATGCGTCTTGGCCCACTCTTCCTCCTCCCTTCTCTGCCTGCCTGGGGCAGCCGGGCCTCACCTGGGCCCCGCCTGCCCTGCGCACAGGTGTGTCCTCCTGCCATAGGCTGCCCCCCCTCGCCCTCTTAACCCCTTCCCTCCCGGCACCAGCCACGGGCACCTCCAGTGCTTCCCACCCTCTCCAAACCACCTTGCTTCTCCTACCTGCCTGTTCTCGTTTCCAGAGGAACAAACAGAACTGCTCTCCGGTCCACACAGCAGGACCAGCCTGGTCCAGCGGACCCTGCCCAAAGCTGGAGCAGGAGGACAGAATCTCCGAGGTCAGTGCGGGGTCAAGCCTGGCACTACCAGGGGCTGGGGGAGATCAGGCAGGTCCTGCCCTGGAGCAGGGGTGCCTACACCAGCAGAGGCCCCAGCTGAACACCCACTCCAGCCTTCAGACTGTAGTGCGAAGCTGCCGTGCTCCCCCTACCCCAACCGGCAGCCATCCGCCAGGAGTGCTTCTCACACTGGGCGCTGGGATCCAGTTCTCCGAGCTCCAGGAGTCCAAGTCCCAGCCCAAGGGCAGTTGGCCCAAGGCAGGTGGAGGGATGGGACCTCCTTCCTTTCTTTGGAGTTGCTCAGGCGTTGCTGGGAGAGGGGCCCTGAGGCCGCAGGTGAAAGCCCCACCCCCACCTCCACCCCGGGGGCCACCGCTCCAGGGAGCTATTGTGTGGCCCAATCCCAGCGCCTGCCTGGCCTGCCCTCCCCTCCCTTTGTTTGCCTCCTTCCCCATACCTGTCTGTAATTATTCTGTTTTGGACTCTTTCTGACTCTGTCTCTGGAGTTCCAGGAGGACAGAGGCTGACTTGTCACTGATGGGCCACTGGCACACATCCGTGCAGGTGACACAGTGGACACTGGGGACTGTGCCCCAGGATGTAGCCTTCTTAACCTTAGTCCTTCTGGTAATGGAGGCCATTCTTCCCAGGTGTCTTGTGGCAGCTCAGCACCCCCATTTGGGGGACTCCAACCTTAAGTAAAGAGGTGCTACCCTCTAGATAAACTGACCTAATGCCCTGGAAAACAGAGGCAGGAGAATAGGAGCCCTTCCTTTGCCCCTCCTGGCCCAAGTGGGGGAGACAGAGAGGCCGGCTGCTAGATCTCCACTTCCTAGAACTCCCGAAAATTTTAGTGCTTGGATCCAGGAGCCTGGCAGGTGTGCGGTATGTCCCACTCTGGTGACCCTGCTGTGTCTCCAGGATAAGGCGGGAAGGGGCCCTGGGGTTAGGGGGTCTAGACTAAAATCTCAGCTTCCCAACCTGTGACCTTGAGAAAGTCATCTGATCTCTTTGTACCTCAGTTTACTCCATTATAAAATGAGGACACAGGTACCCCTGGGGGTTGAGCTGAGTATACTCAGTGGTAAGTGTGTGTCTAGCATTTGAGGGACCTTGGGTTCCATCCTCAGCACCAGAGATGAAAAAGATTCCTAGCATGAGTTAATTAATCCATGGTCTCTAAACGGTGCCTGGGCTCGAAGCCAGCATATAATGAATTATGGTTGCCACTGCTATTGTCATGCATTATCTCCAAGATCTTTATTACCACCCTGGGGATGGTAGATGAATTAGGATGATCCATTTTTTAAAGTAAACACTACATTTATTTAAATAGTTTTTTTTAAGTACAATACTCAGTTTAACAATCTGAGATACAGTTTATCCCAAACTCCACAAAACATTTTTTTAAAAATATAATGAAACAGGTTGGGTGTGGTAGCACATGGTTGTAATCCCAGCATTTGGCAGGCAGAAGCAAGAGGATCACCATGAGTTCAAGGCCAGCCTGAACTGCACAGCAAGACCCTGCCTCAAAAAATAAACACATAAATAATAAAACAATTTAGTAGTCCGTGGAAATTTCAAGTATACACATAGGAAAGAATTAGCAGTGAAATTAAGGAGGCAAAAAGGGCACTTCTCCCTTTACTCCATGCTCATAACGTTTTCCTGTGTATTTCACAATGTTCATTTTCCATTTCAAAGAAGAGTGCTGAAGGGTGTGACTCAGTGCTGTAGCACTTGGTAAACCCTGGCTTCATCCCCAGCACTGCAAAGAGGAGGGAGGAGAAGGGAAAGGGAAAGGGAAAGAAAAGGCCGGCCCCTGTAATCCCAGCACTTGGGAGGCTGAAGCAGGAGGATCTTCATGAGTTTGAGGCCAGCCTGGGCTACAAAGTGAGCTTAAGGGCAGCCTGAACTACACAGCAAGACCTTGTCTTAAAAAAAAAAAAAGAAAAAGAAAAAGAGAAAAGAAAAAGAAAGGGAAGAAAGAAAGGACAGATAGACTGTGGCATATGGCTCATGTCACATGCTGTGTGCAGCAGCGCCCAGAACCAGGTCAGCCTGACCGAAAGGCAGAGGTTTATGTGGCCCTAGACAGCACCACCCTGCCCCACCCACCCAAGAGTCCCTGGGCGAGAGAGGCACACTGAGCCCGAGGATACACCGGGATTCACAAACTTTATTTACAAAAACAGAAGGGCCTGCCTGTGCCGGGGTGGGGGCCTCGAGAGGCCTATGTACAGGGTCAGGGAGATAAGGCTGGGATGCAGCTGTTTAAATTACAGTAGAACAGGCAGGCAACTGGGTTCCCGGCTGGGTGGCTCCACAGGAGGCGTCCGCAGGGACCAGGGATGAGGCTGTAGAGAAGAGAGAGGGAGTCAGGCAGCTGCAACCCTGGGAGGGTAACACAAAGCAGGACTGGTCAGGCGGGGCTGCAGCCACCCTGCATCCTGGAGCTGGGATTGGAGCAGGGCGGAGACCTGCGCAATGCACGGGGCTGTACCATGGTCACCTCCGAGGGTGGCTAGCTCACTTCCTCTTGAGGGAACCCTTGCTCTTCTCCTTGTCTGCAGATTGCTGCTTCTTTACTTTCTCCTCCTTCTTGCTCTTACCATGGAGGTTCTCATAGACGTCTTCCTTGTGTCTGCAGGCAGGTGGGCAGGTACAAGTCAGCAGTGAGGACAGCAGACCTGGCTTGCCCAGCACTGACAGCTGCTCCACACCACCCCATCCAAAGAGAGCAAATGGGGGCAAAATGGAGAGACACTGGGGCAGGGTCACTCACTTGGAGGAGGTCCGGGAGGCCTTGGCATGGGCGCTTTTCATGGCAGGGGGGTAGGTGATGTTGCCATACTCTGACTCCTGGCCCTTCTGGGACTGTGGGCAAAGGTGTATGGGGCTATGGTTCCAGGGGGCACTGAGGGCTGACACCCACATTCCCCCACAGCCCTGTCCTGTGCTCACCTGCATGACTTCCAGCTTCTTCTTGGTGGTCTCAATGAACTGTGCGATGGCCACGTAGATGAACTTGTACTGTGCCTCTGTCTGCACCATGCCTGAGCGCTGCGCCCGTACCATCTGGATGGTCTTCTGGATGTCGATGTCACAGTCCAGCCCTGGGGCAGGAGCAGTAGCTCAGGCCCCAGGGAGGCGGAGGCTGGAGAAAGCAGAGGCCCAGGGACTGCCCAGCTACTCCCAAACACCCATCACACCCCCTGGCACTCACCCTTGGTGGAGATGCTCTCCATGAGCATGTCAATGACAATGATGGTGCCAGTGCGGCCTATGCCTGCGCTGTGGAGGGAGAGAGGGTGACGGTATCAGGGGCTGCAGCCACCTGAGGCGATGCACCCAGTGACTGCTTGAGCAGACAGAAACCTGGTCTGCAGAGGGCCCTCTACATCATCCAAGGAGTTTGCAGGCAAGGGCTGGGCTCTGGGGTACGCTGGACAGATGCACAGTCCTCCAGACACCTCCCAGAACTACCATCCTCTGCCTCTTCCTGTTCTGACCCCTCACTCCTAGCCTTGGATATATAGGACCCCCACCTTCCACAATGGTCTTGGGGGTTCGCCAAGGCTCTCCCTATCCCGGCCTTCCTGAATCCTATGGGTAGGGTGTGCAGCTCAGCAGCCCCATGATGAAAAGAAAAGAAAAGTGACCCTGGCACTTGTTTCTGAGATTTTCCTTCCCTTTTCTTCAAATCCTGCAGCAAGGCAATGGGACAAGGGCAGCTTGGAGACACGTGGCTCAGGGAGCACCAGGTTGGAAGCCGGAGCAGTGCGGCTGCAGGACCTCTCCCTCCTTCCACACCCCCTGCCACCACTCCAGACAAACAGACCATGGTGACCTAGGCCTGCCCGTAGCTGGGCCCAACAGGCAAGTGCTCTGAGTTGTGCGGTCTAATTTCAAACCCAGATTGTCAAAAATAAACCCCTCTCACCCACTTCCTTCCTGTAATGTCTAAATAAAGGCCCTGGGGTTTTCAAGCAGTGTATGAATGGGGGACATGACAGGAGGGTAGCTCCTGAGGCACCCAGTCCTTAGCAGGGCAGAGCAGACTAGGCCCCCAGGACAGCAGGAAGCCCGCTCCGGACTCGGCCTCATCTCAGGACTGAGGACAGACCGTTGCTGGTGGGAAGAAGGAAGTCTGAGGCCTGAGGTCACGGGGAAGGAGAAGAAAGAGAAGACACAGTAGGTTCCCATTTCCCCTGGCCCCTGCCTGACACTGCTAGCGTCTGAGCTGTACTCCACACGCAGAGAAGGGGCCTTATTTAATCCTCACAGCAACCCCACCAGCCCGACCTTACAGAGGAGAAATCTGGGGGTCAAAGAAGTTAAGTAATCTGTCCAAGAACACACAGTTGGAAAGCAGAAGACCCAGACTTAAGCAGGCTTCCCCTGGCCAGGACCTTAACCTCCTGGCTCCCCTCCCAGGCACTTGGGAAGCTTATTTGTGGGACCTCTGCTGAGCTGTAACCTTCCCACCTTCACACAAAGGTCCCCTGTCCCTACACAAACTGGAGGCTTGAGAAGGGGGAGAGAGGAAGGGACAGTGAATAAGTCCCCAGAACTACACATGGAGAAAGCAGAGGGTGCAGGCAGCAAAAAGCAAGCTCTGACTCCTGGCCCTTCTGGGACTGTGGGCAAAGGTTGTGGGGCTATGGCTCCAAGTGAGACTTGGAGGAAATGCGGGGAAGCCAGGGTGTGAGCCTACATTGACACTGAGCCCAGCACATCATCCGGCCAGGGTATGTCTTGGAGACTGTGTGGCACCTCCCTGCCCAGCAGAGCGCCATCACCAGGGCTGGTTCCCCCTGATCCGCCACAGTGAGGTGGCTGGGGAGGGAAGGCACTCGTGGGTGCTTCTCTGCTGTGGCTTTTCTTGCTGCCACTGTCACCGCTGTGGGCTTCACCTGCAGTGCACAATGATGGGCCCGGCATGAGGCAGACTCTCCTGCCGCTGGTTGATCTGGTCCAGGAAGCTGAGGACACCCCCAGGCTCACTGGGGACCCCGTGGTCAGGCCAGCTCAGGTACTGGTAGTGCCAGATCTCCCGAATCAGGTCACCCTGGACCAAGGACACAGACGGGGTCAGCACCCTACACTCCCATACCACACCCCATCCAAGCAGGGGCTCCAGGAGTGGTCAGGGGCAGGGAACACGCACATTGTCCAGTGGGGACACCTGTAAGGTGCGGAGTTTATACTCAGCTGCGTCGTGCTCACCACAGTTGGTCACCGAGTAGGGGCCATAGGCGCGCTGAGAGCCCACCTCTGGCCAGTAGGGGACACATTTGTTCTGAAAAGCAGGACAAAGATGAGCACAGAAGCAGGCACTTCAGCCGCTGAGGACCCTGCACTGGGGCTGAGTTCCTGCACGGGTGCCAACATGCAAAGGATGAGTGTGCTGCTGTGAGCCCACTGAGAGCCAGGAGACCAGGGATCCCATCTGAGGCCCACTAACAGCCACTGCAGCCCAGCTAAGCAACCACTGAAGCGTCCAGTTCATCTAGGAACAGCTTAAGGCTACAAACCTGGAGCTGCAAAAAATTCGGAGCTGGGGTGGTCCAAGCTCAGTGATAAAGCACTTGCCTGGCCTACATGAGGTGCTGGCTATGACCCACAGCAGTGCAAAACACGAAGGGAAAAGAGAAAAACTGAAGCAAATAGCGACACTGAACATGGCCTGGTGCCTCCAAGGACCACACAGAGAAGGGCGAATGGGAGAAACAGAGTGTACCACTGGGAACAGGGCCCACCCAGGAAGAGGCTAATTCTCCCTGAGGTTTGTGGGCAACCCCAAATGGCTTCACAGAGGAGGTCACATTCGAGTTGGACTCCAAAAGAAAGAGTGCCAATGCCAGGCAGGGGACATAGAGCCTCATGCATGCCAGGGAAGTGCTGTACCACTAAGCTATACCCCAGCCTTAGTTCCAAGGCTGAGTTTGGAGTCCACAGTTGGAAGCTAGAGTCTGGGAGTGCAGGGGCACTGGTTTCCCCCAGACACCAGAGCCTTGTCCTCTCGGGTCCCTTTCCACCCTGACATCTGAACTTTGTTTGGCTTAACAGTGCTTAACCAGTCTTGGGAAGGGAATGCGGAAATTGAGAGTATAGTGTGGGTCCTACCCGGCCTTTCTCCACCTCTCGGGTGGTCATGACAATGACACGCGTGTTCTCCTGCCACGCCATCTGCCAGAAGTCGTTGACGGTGGCCTCCAGACAGCCCTGGCTGGCGATGTAGGTCTTAGAGTTCTCATCAGGGCCTAGCAGCTTGTTCTGGATGTCAGTATAGAGAGAGGCATCCCAGGACTGTGAGCCCCAGGCCCTCTACCACCACCCTACACATCAGCTTCAGCTTGGCCCAGGTGTCTCGGGGTCGGGAACTCCCATGAGTCCCAGGCCACTGACCTTGACATAGTTGGCATTGATGTAGTCAGACCCAGGAATGTTACTGTCTCGTCCCTGCAGGATCACTCGGGTATGGTCAACTGCAGAGGGCAAAGAGGTAAGGAAGTGGCCTGGGACAGCCAAGACAGACCTTTCCTAAACTGATGGGATTCTGTTGCATCTGAAGCCCTGTGGCTCACAGAGGACCATGGGCGGGCAGGGGTGGATCAGCCTGGGGTTGGGGAGCGGTGTCCTAAGGAGTAGAGTGGGCGGGGAGATGGTGGAAGGTTCCAGGAAGAGGCTTCCAGAAAGGAGAGCTCTGCCAGAGGGGGAGGGAGACCCCATGCGCAGGAAGGAGACTCAGGTTGCAGAGGCTGCAGGCAGTGGTGCTTACAGGGGAGAATGTTCTTGTAACGGTTTTTGCTCTTGTTCTCCGGCCGCTGCCCTTCCAGCCGCTGGTGCAAGTTCTTCACCTCCTGCTTCTGCAGACTCTGAGAGGTGAGGGGAGACATGAGCACCAGCCTGGGGTAGGGACACATCCACAGGTGGCGACACTGAGGACTAGAGCAGGATTGGGTGCATAAAGGGGACACAGCATCCTCAGTGGCCAACTGCCCCGCTGTCCCAGCCTTGCCATCCCTGTCATATACCTCAAACTCTTCCCAGAAACCAGCCTTGGCTGTGTCCTCTGACTCCTTCTTCTTATTCAGCTCTAAGACCCTGTTCTCAATGTCGGCCGCATTCACCCGAGTGGCATAGTAAGGCTGAGGTGCAGGAGGACAAGGCAGCAACTTAGAGATCTTGGGAGTGCACCCCCGGGGGAGCGGGGGTACCAGGCCTACCCCTCACCTGCCGCAGGTAGACAAAGGCACCCGAGGCCTCCTCGATCCCTGTCTTCTTGAAATGTTCCACCAGGTCTGTGAGGTTGTCAAAGATCTCTGAGCCTCCCACCGTGTAGCGTTCACCCTGGAGGTGCCAAGCAGGGCCACCCTTCAGGGCCCAAGCCTCTTTCCATGCACTCGCGGTCAAAGCCCAGGCTGGCCCTTCCACAGCCCAGCCTTAGCCACAGGCACAGCCAGGAGCCCTGCAGGATGCACCCCCCTCGATTACACAGCTGCCTCACCTCACACATGACCTTGATGTGGGTGACCTTGAGCGGGGAGCCCACACCGGCCTTGGGCTGGTCGCTGAGCACTGACAGCACAAAGTCGCCAGGCTGGCTGAGGCTCTCACGCACCAGGAAGGTCCAGGGTTCACCCTTGGCCTGCAGCAGTGCCTCAGCCTGTATCCCCGACATATGGCCATGGTACCACCTAAACAGCAAGGGCGGGAGATGAGGGCTGGAGCAGAGAGAGGCTCAGAGAGAGGGGCTCCCACAGTAGCGGTGAGCTCAACACCTACCACCTGCTGTTTGCTTTCAAATCCACCACTATAAAAGTCCACGATGGCACCACACTCCTGTAATCCCGGCACTCAGGAGGCTGAGACCAGAGGATTGCCATGAGTTTGAGGCCAGCCCAGGATACATAGTGAGTTTAAGGACAGCCTGAACTACATAGCAAGACCCTGTCCCAAAAAACAAAAAGTCAAATCCACCAATATATTTAGGTCCATTACTGTCTTATTACATGTGGAGGAAAAAGCAGGTATGGCTATGGCCATGTGTGCCAGTAGTTCTGGCTACTGCTGCTCTGGAGGATTGGGAGGGAAGGTTAGAGGCAGCAATTGTCCCCGGTTTACAAATGAGGAAACAGGCTGAGCACCTGCACCCTGGCCCCACACCCCTGACTGATAGGAGAAAACTCAACAGTTCTAATCAAGCCAGGCATGGTGTGCATGCCTGTAATCCCAGTACTCCAGGAGACAGAGATGGGAGGATCCCAAATCTGAGCCCAGGCTGGGGAATGGCAAGACTCTGTCTTAAAATCTGAAATGTTTTCCAGGTATGGTGGTGTGTACTTGTAAGCCCAGACCTCAGGAGGCAGAGGCAGATAGACTGCCACAAGTTCAAGTCAGCCTGGGCTACATGGTAAATTCAAGGCCAGCCTGGAATATATAGTGAGACCTTGTCTCAAAAATATTACTATTATTTGGGCCAGGGATAAATCCTAAAGCTCAGCAGCTTAAGCACCTGCCTGGCAAGTGCAAAGTCATGAGTTCGGTTTGTTTGTTTGTGGGTTTTCTTTGGCAGGGGGATGTGGGGGATTGAACTCACAACTCATGCTTGCCAGGCAGACGCTGTGCCACTGAACTATATCCCCAGCCCACCTTGTCTCAAAAATTTTTAATTTAATTTAATTTAATTTAAGGGGCTGGGGGCTGGGGATGTAGCTCACTTCAAAAGGTCTTGGGTTCAATCCCTAGGACCAGAAAAAAAGAAAAGTTCTAACCATGGGGTTTGGGGGTATAGGTCCATGTGATACCATGCCTGTACTTACCATGGACAAGGCCCCTTGCTCACTACCCCAGCATAAAAAAAGTAATAAAAAGAGTTTCAACCAGGCTTTGAACCCAGAGCTACCTCTGCAAGCTTAAGACTGAAAGGCAGGTAACGTTCGGGATATCTGGAGAGACAAACGCTAAGGGAAAGTGTCCCTAAGACGCAAGTTTGGGCTGGGGAAAGAAAGCAGAGACAAAGGAAGAGAGGCAGATGGAGGCCAAAACCACAGAGATTGGTGGGAGACAATAGAACGGAAGTCAAGGGAGGGCACGGGGAGGACCCCAGGAGCGGGGACACAAACGCCCACTGGGAAAGAGCAACGTGGGGGCCCACGGGGGCCCACGATGATGTCAGGGAGCCCAGGCTTCAAAGGGGCTCAAAGGCTTCAAAGGGGCTGTCAGGGTAGAAAGCAGAACTAAGACCTTTCCCCGAAGCACACCCCTTCCCAGGAGGAAACTGCAGCCCCAGATGCCCAGCCCCACAGGAAACCACGTGATGGAAAAAACACAAAACTCCTTCTGGGGAGAGTGAGAAGTGAGGTGGTGAGGTTTCCTCAGCCCAGGGCCAGGAGGGGGCATTTTCCAACCGCAGGGACGGGGGAAGGTGGAGGGGCTGGGCCCCACTAACCCATGCACACCTGCTGGCCACTGCTACTCAGGGCTTCTACCTCTCCCGCCCCACCCAGGAGCTCAGGGCCACCCTGCAGGGACAGGGGAAAGGGGACAAGCCCCTTCCCTGAGATAGGATGAGGAAGTCTCCTTGCAAATGATGGCTGACCACAGGCCAAAGGCTCAGCTCACCACCCAGGGACAGATGCAAATTCCTGAGAGAGAAGGGCAGCAGCCACAGGCAGGGAACACAGACAGAAGCTTGGGGCAAGAGCCTCCCACATGTGCTCAGGTCAGGGGCGAGGCTCGCACTCCTAGGCAGGGGTGACCCCAGCACCTCTGAGAGCCGCCCGTCCTTAACCTCCCAGTCCAGTCCGCTCCTTTTCCCCTGGGCTTCTCTGACTCTTCAAAGTCAGCTCTCAGCCCTGCTGGACGGCCTGTACAGCCACCCTTCCACTTCCAGTCTCTCTGTGGCCCCTCCCAGGCCCTGTTGCCCCATAGCCTGGGCCTGGAAGGAGGGGGACTACAGGGGTCTCTGGGTGGCAAACAGCCATGAATGTTGTAGGGAAAAAGAAATCACTTCAGAAGGTGGCTCACACCTGTAATCCCAGTACTCAGGAGCTTGAGCTGAGACAGGAGAATCGCCATGAGTTCAAGGCCAGCCTGAACTACATAGTGAGATCCTGTCTCAAGTAAATAAATAAATGAAAGAAAAAAAGAAATTACTTGAGAGGGCCACCATGAGGAAAGGCATCCATTCTTAGTATTCATTGGTAGAAAAGAAGCCCCTCAAAGAAAGGTGATGGATGGTTCCACATCCACTGGAAAGAGGTCTCCGGCGGTGGGCATAGGGCTTTGACCTCAGCCTCATCCAGTTCTAAGTTTTCATCAGTGACTTAACACAAATATGGATGAAGTTTATAGACCTCAAAAAGCCTGAAAACTAGCCGGGCGTGATGGCAGCACTCGGGTGGCTGAGGTGGGAGTTCGAGACCAGCCTGGGCTACAAAGTGAGCTCAAGGCCACCCTGAACTGTACAGCGAGACCCTGTCTCAAAAAAGACCAAAAAAAAAAAAAAAAAGCCTAAAAACTTCTTTGGATATAGCTCAGCAGTGGAGCATGTGGTCGGCATGCACAAGGCCATGGGTTCCATCCCAGCAACAAAGAAAAACAATGACTAAAAGCTAGCAGCATCAAAGTTCAGAATCGTTGCAACAGTTAGCACACACATACGGGGCAAGGCCCATTTTGCCCTCCAGGGGAAGAAACCTTTACCATAACATGTTCTGCCACTAAAGCACTAAACTGGGCTACCGTGTAATAAAGAGCTTTATTTTTGGTGGTGGTGATGCACTAAGGATTGAACCCAGGGCCTTGGCACTAAGCTATATCTCCAGCCCTGTTTTATTTGGAACGAGGTCTCACCAAGTCACCAGATCCCCAGGGTAGGCTTAAACTTGTAGCCGCCCATCTCAGCCTATCCCAGTGCTGGGATCACACACCACTCTGGCTAATGAGTAGCTTTCATATTCCCCCTCCATCACCAGTACTTTGGGACCACACAGGGTCATCCAGCCCAGTGATGGGGCCCTATCTTTATGGCAAAGTAGAGAAGGAATCGCCTGTCACCAGGACAGAGATGGGTCCTGTGCCCAAGTGACCACCCAGATCCTTGTTTAATTATCCAGGTTGGGGCCCTGGGCAAGCTTTACCGACCCCAATGGATTGACCAGTTCTCACCAGGTTGCTTAGGTAAGGCATTAAGTGTCCTAATAAAAGGAAACCTCCAGCACTCAGGAGGCTGAAGCAGGAGGACACCACAAGCCAGCCAGGGCTACATAGTGAGTTCAGTGTCCACCTGAGCTACATAGCAAGACCCTGTGTCTCAAAGAAACAAAAACTGAAAACATTTTTAAAGGTAAGCCATGATGGGCCTGCCCATGAACTTCTCACTGCTCTTAGGAGCCTGCCCAGCCCAGGAGAAATTCAAAGAAAGGAGACTCGGTTCCACAGAAAGAGTGTTTGAGCCAGAGGGCTGACCTGCCAGGAACACCAGGCTGAGGAGTGGCCTCCCTGACACTCATGGGGATGGGTTGGCAGCTGACAGGGACCTGGACATGGGCAAGGTAGCCCTCAGCTTTGCTTCCCTGGGGCCAGGGGAGTGGGTTTGTCACCTCTCGCTGGTGGGGTCGGAGCAGTTGAGCGGGTACTTGAGGTGGATGATGGTGCCATCTCGGTCCTGCAGCACGGCCTGCTGTTGCGTGTAGTACTCCACCAGCTCGGTCAGTGTGGCGAACTTCTCCCCGCCATATAGGTCATAGAAGTCTCCCGTGTTCTGGATCCGAATATGGGTCACCTGATCCCCTACCCTGTAGAGGGCCAGGTGGTGAGGTTGGAGGTGCAGGCACAGGGGCGGGGCACAGTGGGAACAGGCTGGAGATGGGGACAGGACAGCAGGCGACACAGGGTGGAGGCTATGCCATGGGGAACAGGCCTGAGGGTTCTGGGGCTGGGCCGCAGTAGAAAGGGCTGCCTACCTGACAGACAGCGAGAAGTCGCCCTGGTTCTTGCGACTGGGCCGAGCCAGGAAGCTGCCATCCACACCCCGACCCTTGAGCAGGGTTTCGGCATCCAGCCCGCTGAGGTCGCGGTGGAACCACCTGGTGGGGTGAGCAGCAGTGAGGAGGGTCCCCAGGCCCAGACACCATGCCATCTGCTCCTGTGAGCCCCAACCCCTTACCTCACCATCCTGGGGGCTCCCGGAGAGGAAGGGGGTGCTGGGAAAGAGGAGGTGCGGCTTGTCCAGGCCAGAGAGAACTCAGAGGCCCAGGCCACCTCCTCGTCACCTAAGCCTGAGGTCCTGGCACAGGGCTGCCAATCCACAGCCCCCAGGCAGCGGTAGGGCGGGGACAGGAAGGGGCGCGGTCGACCCCTGGGGGAACTCACATGTACTTCTCATTTTGGAGCACAACGAGCAGAACCAGAGGGTGGCGATGGGGGAGGGACGGCTTCCCACACGTCTGCCCTCAGGACCAGGAGTATGAGGACACACTTGCGTGTGTCTCGGACCCTTCCTGCCCACTTCATGCCTCCTGCACTAGACCTCACACCATTGCCCCCTCTTCCACCTGCTCTCTGTCCACAGCCTTTTGTGGCAGTAACCAACAATGACACGGATCAGTGTCATTTAGCAGAATGTCACTGCACGCTAGACACTATACAATGTCACTCACAAGTCTTAAAAGTCATTGCTCATCAAGCCCTATGACATTGGTATCCTCTGTTCCCATTTTACAGATGAGGAAACTGATGCTAAGGGAGTTTACAGCATTGCCTGGATGACACCAATCTGGGATTCAGATCCAGACAGTTTGGCCCCAAAGTCACTGATTTTTAACTACTCTACACCAGCCCTCAGGGTCTCCAAGAACAGGCTGAGCTCTCCCTGTTCAAAGGGGCTGTGAAGGAAGGGAGGCCCAGGGCATCTGCCCCTCTGCTCTCCATTGTCACCATCTGAAGAGAAGTTACTCATGCAGAGTAGGACAAAGTGACCCTCCTCTCTGGCTCAGGGTTCTGAGCAGCTGGCTTCTGATGCTCTGTTTTTGCAGCTCAAGTGGAAAACAGCTAAGCCAAAGCCAGAGGGAGGATGCTAAGCAGAAGACCCCAGGCTGATCCAAGGAGAGCAGAGCCAGGGGGAGCACCCCAGGCTCAGCAGCTGCACCTTCCACACCTCCCGACACCTGCTGGACACCTGGCTGTGTCTCTGTCACAGTTTGAGCAGGAGACAGAGTTCACTGCCATTCCACAATAAAAAACAAAAAAGCAACCAATAGTCCCATCCCGCAATAAAAAACAAAGAAGACCCCAATATTGCATGATATCTATGCGTGACCTTCATAAAAATAAATAAATTGACCAGGAGCCTGCAATTTCTACAAAAGGTCTTAGGCGCCAGGAACAGTGTCTCCATCTGGTTGGGATCCATGTGTGTCTGCTTAAAGATGAAGCTGATAACACATGACTGTAATCCCAACACTCAGAGGGCTGCTGCAAGATTGCCAAAAGTTTGAGGCCAGTCTGGGCTACATAGCAAGACTATCTCAACACCAAAATTAATTAATTAATTAGAAAAATACTAAGTTGGGATGTGGTGTGGCTCAGTGATAAAGCAAGCAGTTAGCATGTGTGAGACCCTGGGTTCTACCCCCAATACCACACAAAAAAGTGTGAGGTTGTATGCACCTTATATCTCTCTTTTTGTTTTGTGTGTTTTGTTTTGAGACAGGGTCTCAATATGTAGTGAAAGCTGGCCTTAAATTCACTATGTAGCCCAGGTTGGCTTCAAAGCCATGGCAATCCTCCTGCTTCAGCCTCCCTGAGTGCTGGGATTATAGGTATGTGCCACCATACCTGGTACTATTGTTATACCTCTTTTTCTTTTTACTTTTTTGCCTTTTTCCTTTTTATCAGTAACAGGGATCGAACTCACAACTGCCTGCTTACAAGGCAGGCGCTTATGCTGCTGAGCTAAATCCCCAGACCTTTTCTTTTCTTTTTTGTGGTACCAGGAATCAAACTCAGGACCATGCACTTGTCAAGCAGGTGCTTATGCCGCTAAACTATATCCCTGGCCCCACTATAGTTATATCTCAATTTAAAAAAAAAAAAAAAACTGTGTGGTAGCACATGCCTATATTGCATACTTAGGAGACTGAGGCAGGTGGACCTCAAATTCGAGACCAGTCTGGGCTACTTAGTAAAATTTTGTCTCAAACAGCAAATTAATAGAAAGAGTTGGCAATGTAGCTTAGTGGTTCAATGCTTGCCTATCCTGCTGGAGGTCCCAGTTTCCATCTCCTGTACCACAAAAATTAAAGTACAAAGTGTGACTTCCTCACATGACAACTGTTTTAGTACTGTGATACTAAAGATTGAAACCAGAGCCTTCATGCTGAACCACATCCTCAGCCCTTCATTTTTATTTCCAGACAGTCTTGCTAAATTGCCCAGGCCAGGCTCGAGCTTTCAATCCTCCCTCCTCCCAGTGTGTGCTGGTCTCACAGGCATGAACCACCATGCCCAGCTCACTTTATCTTTTTTTTTTTTTTTGTACCAGAGATTGAACTCACTACCTCACGCTTGCCAGAGAGTCACTTATGCCATTGAGCTAAATCCTTGGCTCATTTCATCATTTTAAGAAACCTCGATTATGGTTTTTCTCCAAACATGGTTTCTCTTGCACACCAGTGCCCTGGGGAATTGGCCCAGTCACTTTATCACATGGTCCCCCTGCACTGCCTTCACTTTGGACATCTTAACGCAGAGACCCGGGCCTCCTGGCGCCACCAACACAGTGCAGAGGAGTCTATGCAAAGTGGCCACGTGCCCTGGCCACCTCCCTCCCTAAGCCTGGCACTAGGATACATGCAGCAAACAGAGTCACCAATACACACACCAGCACGCCCACAAGGACGCCTTCCTGTCTCCACAGGCAAGCCCCCGGGGCCTCCCACCCACGTCCTTCCACTGCCAGGCCTGGTCTGGGCTGAGCCCACACAGACAACGTGTCCTCACCACCCAAGCTTCCGCACACGCTCAGCGCCGCACATCGGAGGCACCCAGGCCGAGCTCCCTCCTTCCACCATCCCTGACCTCTTCGACCTAAGGAAGTGGCAGGGATTTCTATGAAGGCTCCAATCCAGAAAACATTTGGATAAGATGCACAGGCCCTAGCTGGGCTTGGTGGCACATGCTTGTAATCTCACCACTTCAGAGGCTGAGGCAGAAATAGAGACGAGAATTCAAGATCAGCCTGAACTACACAGTGAGTTCAAGGTCAGCTTGAACTATACAGCAAGACCCTGTCTCAAAAAAAAATCATTCATTTTTTCGTTTTTTGCTGTTTTGGTGGTTTGTTTTGAGACAGGGTCTCATTATATAGTGGAGGCTGGCCTTAAATTCACTATGTAACCCAGGTTGGCTTTGAACTCATGGTAATCCTCCTGCCTCAGCCTCCAGAGTGCTGGAATTAGCAGCATGCACCACAATACCCTGCTGCTTTTGTTTTGAGATAGAGTCTCTGCTACTTATTTCACGCAGGTGATCCTTCTGTCTCAGCCTCCAAGGTCTAAAAGTATAGGCACGTATGATCTTTCAGTTATTATTCGTTATTATTCGGTTATTATTCGTTATTATTCAGTATTATTCGTTATTCAGTTATTATTCCTGTGCTTCAGTATCCGCATCTGATGATGGAAGTTAACTGTAATTCCCAAATACTGCCGCTAAAGGTAATAAGCCAGTTACACAGGAAACTGAGGCTCACTTAATGCAGGATTTTTTTTTCTTTTTGGTACCTGGGATCAAACTTGCAACCTCGTGCTTGCCAGGCAGACACTTGCGCTGCTGAGCTAAAAAAATTTTAATGGAGGAATTGTTTTGTTTTGTCTTTTGAGACAGGGTCTCACTATGTACTCCAGACTGGCCTTGAACTCCAGCAATCATCCTGCCTCAGCTTCTAGAGCACTCGGATTACACATATGTATCACCATGCCTGCTTAGACCAAGGAATTTGAGGGCAGTCTAGGCAACACAGTCAGTCTCCCATCCAAAAAACAAAAAAGGAGGAGGAGAAAAAGAAGAAAAAAAAAAAATGCCAGGCGCAGTGGCACATGCCTGTAATTCCAGCACTCAGAAGGCCAAGGCAGGTGGATCACCATGAGTTTGAGGTCAGCCTGGGTTACAAAGTGATTTCCAGACCAGCCTAAACCATGTAGTGAAACCCTGCCTCAAAATTAAATTAAATTAAATTAAATTAAAAAGTGCTGAACTACATAGCAAGTTCAAGATGCACCTTATCCTGAGTGAGACCTTGTCTCAAAAGAGGAGGAGGAGGAGGAGGAAGAGGAGGAGGAAGAAGAAGAAGAAGAAGAAGAGGAGGAGGAGGAGGAGGAGGAGGAGGAAGAAGAGGAAGAAAAAGAAGAAGAAGAAGAAGAGAAGAAGATGATGAAGATGAAGATGATGATGATAATGATGATGATGATGATGATAGGGGGAGGTGGAGAAAGACAGGCATGTGATACACACTGGTAATCCCACCATTCAGAAGGCTGAGGCTGGGGAATAACCCTGAGTAGTTCACGGCCAGTTTGGACTATGCAGTGAGTTCAAGTTCATCCTAAGAGGGAGACCTTGTCTCAAAAAAGGAAAACAAAACCCTAACAGGTGGTAGAATTTCAGTATCAATAGCTTTTACATCATGTCATCCACTCTCTACAACCCCCTTCCATCCTCTGGTTCAATCAACCAGAAGTTGAAAAAATGCTTTATTATTTATTTATTTATTATTATTATTATTATTTAATTGTGTCTGTTGGGCCCAGGCATGGTAGCACATACCTGAAATCCCAGAATTCAGGAGGCCGAGGCAGAAGGATTGCCAAGAATTGGGGTCTGCCTGGGTTGCACAGAGTTCAAGGCTGGCCTAACCTAAATAGTGAGACTGTCTTGAAAACAACAAAAAACAACGCCTAAGTAAATATTTAAAAGGACTGAGGATGCAGCTGAATGCCAAGGTCCTGGTTTGAAGGCCCACTCCAGGGGCTGAGGGATTGTGCATGTTTAACGATGTGCAGACTTTTCCCCTCATTATCCCCTTCACATGGCAATAGGACCCCAGTGGGCACATTTACATAGGATTAGGGTTTATGAATACTCTTTGAGATAGTCCCAAGCATATGGAAGATGTGTGTGGACTCCATGAAATGATACACTGTTTGTATCAGGAACTTGAACAGATACAGACTTTGCCATCTGCTCCTGGTCCTAGAACCAAACCCCAAAATTCTCCCATGGATACTGAGCAACCAAGAGACAAAGAACAAATATTTGCCTTTTTGAAACAGGGTCTCACTATACAGGTCAGGGTGGCCTTGAGCTTATTTCATAGCCCAGGCTGGTCTTGAACTCAAAATGATCCTCTTGCCTCAGTTTCCCAAATGCTGGGATTACAGGCATGCACTACACCTGGCTTTTGTTGTTTTTCTGAGACAGGGTCTCATCAGGTAGTTCAGGATAGTTTTGAACTCACTGTGTAGCCCAAGCTGGCCCAGAACTCATGGCAATCCTCCTGCCTGAGCCTCCTCAAATACCTGGATGATAGGTATGTGCCACCATCCCTGGCACAAATGTGTTACTAGTTCTTGGGCTACCTTTTTCTTATTTTATATTCTTATTTTATATTTTTGGTAGTAGGAATCACAGAGCTAAATCCCCAGGCTTTTTTTTTTTTTTTTTTTTTTTTTTTTGTACTGGGAATCAAACTCAGGACCTTGCCCTTACCAAGCAGGCACTGTGCCACTGAGCTATATTCCAGTCCCCAATCCATTTTTATGTTAAGGATGGGTTGTGCCATATCATGAAATTGGGCTTGAATTTGCAATCCTCCTGCTTCAGCTTCCAAGTACTGAGACTTCAAAGTGTGGGCTACCATACCTGGACCCCAGCTCTTTTTTTTTTTTTTTTTTTTTGAGTCTCACAATGCTGTTTATGTGGCCTTGAACTCACCTTGTAGCTCAGGCTGACCTCAAACTTGCAGTGATCCTCCTGCCTCAGCCTCCCAAGTACTGGGATTACAGACGTTATATTTATTTTGAGATAGACTCTCATTAGGTTGCCCACCATTGTCTTGAACTTTCAATCCTCCTGCCTCACAGCCTTCTGAATAGCTGAGATTACATACATATCCAGCTCATGCCAACCGTATTTAGCTACTATTAGTACAATTTTAGAAACAAAATGTGAGACTCCGAAATGTTAAGTAACTCACCCAAAGTCATAAGCTAGTGAGTGGGAAGGTAAACAAGCCTGGTTCTATGACATGGCCTGATGGCCAGTCTACCACAATGCTGCAGCCAACTAGGGGCAGATTCTGGGTGCAGAGGGAAGACAGAGGGGCTGGTACCACCTCCAGAGGCAACACCACGCAAGGCACAGAGGTGCAAGCACCATAGGCAGAGGAGTGGGGCCAGGCCAGCACGTGGTGCAGCTAGTGTGAAGTGGCTCAAAGGCCTGGACCTGGTCACCACGGGTCTGAGGGCTCTGTGCTGGCTAAGGCCCTGCTAAACCACATTGTAGGAAAAAAACAATGGCCACACCACAGAATGGCCCAGGAGCCAAAGACTGAGTGAGAGCTTTCCTCAAGACTAGCAAGTGTGAAGTGTGGCCAGGGCAGGCAGTGTAGACAGAGAGAAAGGGATGCCTGAGAAAATGCCAAGCGGGCCTGCCCTGGCCTGGCCCTGCTCCCTCTCCGGGCCCCTCTGCACTGGTACACTGTTTTTCCGTGGCCTCACCCCAGGTTGTACACTTGTGACTTCTTGTCCTTAAGGCTGCTTGACTCCTGAGCACCCTATAACTGCATCTGCCTCCTCATCCAGGTCTCAGCTGATGCCACCTCTGCAGCAAGCCCTCCAAGTCGTCCAGCTAGTAGTGTCCCCAGCACCCCGACCCTTGCCAGTACACCCAATTCTACATAACATTTCTGAGCACCTGACATAGTCCTTTGTATCAGTTCTTTTTTTTTTTTTTTTTTTTTTTTTTTTGGTAGTACGAGGGATTGAACTATGGAGCACTGAGTTATATTCTCAACTCTTTGCTTTTTCTTTTTTCCCCTTTTTAGAAACAGGGCTTCAATAAATTGCCCAGGGTGGCCTCAAACTTGGAATTCTCCTGCCTCACCCTCCTGTGAAGCTGGGATTAAAGGAGTGGATTACCACACTCGGTTCTTTTTATTGGGTTGTTAGGTGTCAACCTTTTAACTGAAATGTTAGTGTGACAGCAGGGCCCATGCCTGTCTCATTAAACGGTAGCTGCCACCCAGGGAGAAGGCAGAAGCAGAGGTCAGGAGGCAGCGGCAATGATGAAAAAAGATACACAACTATCCAAGGAAAATGGGAAAGCACCAAGGGGCAGAGGAGCGTGAATGAGCCAGGGATCCTCGAATCTTGAGTGGAAGAGAAAGTCGGGGGACAGGAAGCCCAGCGGCGACAGGAGGCAGAAGCAGCCTTCACTCACACCTGCTAAGGCCCTCCTAATCTACAGGCACCCGCAGGAGAACTTACCCGCTAGACAGCATCTCCCTGGAGGACTGGGGAATCCCTGGCAGAGGGGGGCGGGACCAGGCCAGGGGCACAGCTGTGACCGGTTTAGGAAGGAAGACCGCGCCGGAACTCAGCCACTTCCTCTTCAATCGCTGGCCAGGCCGATGGCACAGCGAGGCCGAGCCCCTGGACTAACGGTCACCCGGGAAGACAGGTGGGGCGGGGCTGGCCAGATGCCCTCACAGTGCTGCCCCGCTGTCCCTGAAGTTCCCAGACCGCCACCAGACCGAGCTCCTCAGGGGAGGGGAGGAGCCACCTGCAGCTCCACCTGGAGCCAGACTGACAGCAGTGCGGGGTGGGTAGGAGTGAAGACCAGGAAGTAACGGCAGCCAAGGACACGCCCCGCCACGGGGCTCTCAGCGCGAGCGTCCTCAGAGAAGGAGGTGCTGCCCGTGCAGACCCGCCCCTCCCAGACCAGAGGAGCCCCAGCCAGCCCTCACCTGCCCTGGGAAAGCAACCTGGGAAAGCAGAGGGAGGTTGGGGGGAGAGGCGAGGCTTCAGAAGACCGACAAAGTCGCAATGACAGGCACGTGTTTATTGTCCTTGGAAACACCTAAGCCTTCGTTTCCCTGGCAGTGGAGAGACCGATTCTCAGGAGGCAGCCACACTGCCTCCAGAAGGAGGCCCATGGGGTGGCAATGTCATGGGCGGCAGAAACAGTGCCTTCAGCTTGCCGGACAGGCTGGCGATCTCAGGATCCTGGGCTTCATAGGACTTGACCAAGCGGGCAAACTTAAGGACACCTGCAAGACGGAGTGGAGAGTCACGCACACTCCTGAGACCAGGGTGCCAGAGAGGTGGCCTGGGAAGTGGTAAAGGTATAGGCAGCTCTGCCTTGTCACCAGGTAGCCACTTATGACTCAGGGCACGGCATGCCTCTGGCCTGCAGGATTCGGATCAACAACAACTCGGTCCACACAATGGATAAGATGCTGGGAATTAACCCCAATGTACTTTTCTTTCTCTCCAGTGAGCTACGTTAGCAATTTGGTCACAATACACGGGAACATGAAGATTCCAGTCCTTCATGCTCTGGGGAAATGCTGTTATCTCACCGAGAAAAACAAAATGCAACCTCCAACCCTTGAATATACTCCAGAAGCTGCAGTCATGGAGGCAGATGCCACAGCTAGCAGAAGTAAAGCCCAGGTTTTGGGGCAACAGACTCCGAGCAGGAAGAACAGTGACACAAACTCAGTACTCCTCTGGCAAAAGTTCAGGGTAGACGTTGGATTCGATTCAATAGTCAGATTGCGGCTGCCGCCGCGTGGCAAGGAAAAGAACCACTGCTATGAGACCCGGAGACCCTACACACTCTCCCAGACCCATTCCACTGCCACCCCGCGGTGGACCCACCTTCACCGTCGCAGCTAAAGCCATAGGCTTTGATAACCTCCTGCTGGATCTGTGTGGCCACGGGCAGTACGAACTGCAGCATCTTGCCCATGTCGTTGCATGCATTGTCTCGAGCCTCGTCCATGCGGACGGCGTTCTCAGGGGTGGAGAACGCCTGGATCACCTCTGCTAGGACCACTGAGAGCCGGGGAGCCCAGGGAGGCAGCCGGGTGGGCGTCGGGGTGGGCAAATAGGCAGAAAAAGACAGGGAGTTAATAAACCGCAACCCCTGGCAGCACCTACGCTCATCTTTGAAACCCCTACACTTGGAAGAAAAAGGCACAGCACGGCATGGCACTCCACGCCCCACGCCCCACGCCCCACGCCCAGGGACTTCGCTCACCCTTAGCCTGCTCCGCGCTCAGAGCTGCGGACTGCCCGGAAGCGGACGCCATGGGCAGGCGGGAAGAGCGCTCACGCCTTGGAGCCTAGAACGCTGCCAACGAGCGCCTTGCAGACGCTACCTAGGCGTATGGGAAACTGCATCAAACGCAACCGGAAGTTTCTCCACGTCATCAAGTGCCCGTTTGTATAAACCAACGATGTACACAACCATCCGCCCGTACTTACAATAATACCCGAAATACACAAACCTGGTAAAAATCTTACATGTAACTAGAAAAGGGGTTTTCCGGCAAACACCAGAAAACCTACTAGACAAATTCTAAAAGAGCTGTAACACTTTCAGTTGTCAACCTGGAGCGAGCCAGGGGTATCCGTCCATCCCATTATTGGTGAGGGTGAGATTAGAATGCGTGTTTTTTTTTTTTTTTCTTCCCAGCCACTCTGATGTATAAACAACAAAGCATACTATGCCTTCTGGTAGGAGAAAACAGTACTCTGAAAAGACCTAAGCAAAATCATTTTATTCTAGTTTCTGAACGTTTGATATCTGCTATGCAAATGACTCTAATACTGATTGGTTGAAAAAACAACCAATCACAGCCTCGTTTTTTCAATCCGGAAGACAGTGATTGGCAGCAATAAAACCTCCAGGGCGAGACCTTAGCCAGCGATTTGCTAAACTGGCCTGTAAAGCTTCCTGGCGATTGAAGCTGTCCCATTCTCAGGCCGATGAATTGTTAAGGTGCTCGAAGCTGTCGCCATTCTCAGGCCGAAGAATTAAGGTGCTCGCAGGGCGTGGTGTGTGCTTGTAACCCCAGCATTCAGGGAAGCTTACTCAGGAGGATGGAGAATTGGAAGACCAGCCTGTCTGAAAGGGCCAGTCCCATCCCAGGCATAGGGATGGTACTTAATTTTATTGGCTTGCTGAAACTATGCTCAACTCCTCTGGGCTCCCAACCCAAAATATTTTATGAGAAGACTCAGGACTCTGAAGCCTTCCTTCCAAGGGACTCCAGGGGCACTAAGAACATGAGTGACAGGGTCACGTCCACAGGGACTGATTTGCTAGGCCTGGCCCCTTCCCCTGTAGCTCTCTCCCCAGGCTGCAGGCCTGGCGGGTGGCCTCAAAGCACAGCTGAGGATCCAGTCATGGGGTGTCTTGTCCAGTGTCAGGGCCCACACCCAGTCCCTCAGCCCCAATTATCTCCTGCTTCCAAGCCCCAAAAGATCCCAGTCCCAGCCCCGTAGCCCACAAAAAACAAGTCACAGACATTTTTCTGGGGAGTCGTGAGGGTGTTTTTGTTTGGTTGTTGATGATTGGGATTTTTTTTTAAAGAGCATCATATAGATATTTATATATATAAATTATTAATGTGGGGTGGGACAAGGGCAGACATCGCAGAGGAGGCGCGCACACAGGGGCGGGTGGGGGGCAGGGGTGGCACACGATGCTACGCAAAACAGCCACATCTAACAGATGAGATCATCACACCAACGGGGGTGGGGGGGGCGCAACTGAAGGTAGGGCACCAGGGATGAGGGAAGCCAGGGACAAGAAAAAGGGACCTGGTCCACGATGCTGTGGGCTTCTGCCCCTCTCCCTGTGTGCACACCCCCGGCCTTGGCCTTGAGTCCCTTTTTCCCTCCTCCTGCCCAGCTGCAGAGCCCCCTGCCACTGAGCAGCACCCTCTCCTTGTGCTGGGTGGTGAGCAGGTCCTCCTGGTCCGAGCGCAGGAGCCGTGGGAGCGCTTCTGACTGCAGGCTCTACAGGGGCTTGTCGCTTTCCTTCTTCAGGTGACTAAGGAGGGAAGGGGCAAAGAGAGGACAGACTGGGATGAGCCAGCAAGGGTGAGGGTGCTGGCCGGTGAGCGTGTTGGTGGAGCAGTACCTGTAGTAGTCTTCCTGGGCGGGCAGCGGCACACTGTGCAGGGGGTGGTGGGCATGCAGCCACTGCTGCTGTTCCAGCACTAAGCGCTGCAGCTCGGCCGACTGTGCGTGCATGGCCTGCAGTTGATGCGCTGCTGACATTGGAGCAGACAGGGAGGCTGGCAGGTCCCGATAAGGGGCAGCTGCGAGGGAAAGGGGCTCGTGACTGGTGGATACTGAGCACCTGCCCTGGGGCAAGAAACAACCAACCACTTTGCCGGCACACGACAGTGAGACTACAAGGGAACAGCCTTCAGCAAGCTGTCAGTGATGGAGTGGAATTACGCCTCAACTCTTCCGGGCTCCAGGCCCAGCTCCTCATCCCTTGAAAACCCCACTTGGTCCCTCCCACCACCCACATTTCTCCCCTTTCTGGGCTCTTCACAGCTTCCCTACCCTGACCTCTGTCCTTACCAAAGAGCTGGTGACGAAGAACTTCGTTCTCGTGCAGAGGGTGAGGAAGCAGGGGGTTAGGGAGGGTCCCGGCCGGGTAGGGGATCCGGGTAAGGTGAGAGCCTGAGGCCAGGGGGTCAATGAGAGGGTGCACCGAGGCAGAGGCTGAAGGGCAAAGAAGACCACATGTCACTAGAAGGCAGGGTTAGGGGAAAAGCATGCATTTGGGATCAAAGCCTGGGGAGAGACACAGACCACCAAACACAAGGAGATCCAGAGGAAAACAAAGGCAGAACAGAAGCAGGCAAAGAGACACACCTGGGAGTAGAAACCCAGGATGACGAGGAGAGACAACAGTTGCTGGAATTTGAGAAAGAGGAAAAAAATGCAAGCTACTGTCAGGTGGAAGATGATAGATGCATAGGAAATAAGACACCAGGAAAAGAGATTAACAAGACAAAAGGAACCTAGAATGAACATGAATATAAGGCAATAGTAGGGTGACAGTTCCAACATTATGAGTTGGAAGTTGAGGAAGGCTATTAAAAAAGTAAACAAGGACTGGCAATGTAGCTCAGTGTGAAGAATCTAGCTTATATCTCCACTATCACAAAAAGAAAGATGCCAGGGATATAGTTCAGTGGTATAGTGCCTGACTGACAAGCGTGAGGTCCTGAGTGCACTTCCCACTACCATAAAAAAAAAAAGAGAGAGAGAAAGAAAGAGAAAAAATGGTAGGGTTCCAGCCAGACCTCTGTCCGGAAATGCTGGGCTATAGGGAAGGTCAGGGAGGCAAAGGCCAGAGCAGCAGACTCAGGAGAGGTTCCTGCCACTCCAGGGAGAGATGTTCTGACCCAAGAAAAAGAATAGCTGGGTCAGGCCTGGTGGGTGGCCCCAAAGACTACAGCAAAGAGTTGACAGCTCACCTGCATGGATGGCATCCTGCTGGTGCAGGTGCAGATGCGAGTGGATGTGAGAGTGCTGGTGGTGATGCGGGGTCACGTTGAGCATCTGCAGCCGGGCTAGTGGGTCATTGCCAAGGGCTGCCACCCTTTCTGCATGCTGCCTTTCAGCTGCCAGCCGCTCAGCATACGACATGTCAGGCCGTAAGGCTGGCCCAGCTGCCAGCGCTAGCCGCTCTCGCTCCAGGGGCCCCAGGCTCGGGTGAAAAGGGAAAGGATGCAGGCCAGGTGGGCCAGGCTGCAGAGCTAGGCCCCCATGTCGGGGGAAGGGATCGAGGCCTGGCCCAGGGACCCCATGCAGGGGTTCCAGCTCACTAGGCTTCACCTCAAAGCCAGGTTTGAGACGGTCACGGAGATCTCTTTCACGGGCTTCCCGCTCTCTCTCCCGGGCAGCGGGGTCACTGCTGTACAGGGCTGGGTAACCCAGGAGCCCCGGGTCCACTGCCCCCAGGGGCACATAGAAAGGATGGTTGCGATTGCCTGGAGACATGACGTGAGGTCGGGCATATTCACTGAGAGTACGCAGGGCTGGAGTATCAGGACCCAAGTAGGGAGGCACTGTGGCCACAGCACTGCCAGGCTCAAATGGAGGGCGATGGGGCACAGGGCCCAAAGATGTACACTCCACTGGGGCACGACCCTCCTGTGCCAACTTCTGCAAGGTACAGAAATATAGTCAAGGGACTTGGGATTTAGCTCAGCAGCATAAACGCCTGCCTTGCAAGCAGGCAGTCGTGAGTTCGATCCCCGGTACCGATAAAAAAAAAAAAAAAAGAAAGAAATAGAGTCAAAACTTATGGGAACTTTGCCTGTTCCTAAAAGGAAACTTTCCTGCCCCCTTTTCCTGTATTTTCCCTTCTTGCGACTCACAGGTAACCTCCCATCCAGATCAAGCCCTGTGCACGAGTGCCTCCCCCTAACCAGAATCCTCTTGTTTCCTTCTTCCGGGCTGCAGTGGTTCCTCCTCTCCGACAGGTGGCCAAGCAACTTTCCCGCCCCGCTGCAACCCACAAGCACCGCGTAAAGGAAGGAGGAGAAAGCTGGTGGCGCATCTCGTGACGCACTCACCACGCTGCGTTCCAGCTCGCGCTCCTTTTCGCGCTCCCGCTCTTTTTCGCGCTCCCGCTCTCGTTCCCGCTCCTTTTCTTCGCGCGCACGCTGCTCGGCCTCGCGTCGCACCTTCTCTACTAGATCTGCCCGCTTTTTGGCCAGCTTGGAGCCCTCCAGCGGCACAAAGTACAAGTCGCTACGCGCGCACGAGTTGAAGCCGCGGTCCAGGTGTTTGTTGAACCTGCAGGGCACGGAGGTAGCGCGCTCTCAGTTCCTCAGGCGACCCTCCACTGGGGGCTTGTGGGCCAGGGTACCCTGCCTGGCGCACGTCTAAAAACAACTTGAACCTGGGTAGTGGCGCACATGTGTAATTCCTGCACTCTTGGAGCCCGAGACACAGCAGCAAACTCAAGCCCTGCCTAGGGTTCTTCGCGATACCCTGGTTCAAAATAATAGAGTTGGGAACGTAATAAAGAACTGCAAAGACCCTCGTCTCAATCTCCAGCATGGCACAAAAGGCTCACCCCTTCCACACCCACGCTCACCTGGCCGATTGGCTGGCGTGGCTGGGCACATCCACCACCTTGGGAGGGGGTGAAGGGCTGCGGGCCGGGGGCACAGGGCTCTCGGGAGCTTCATACTCCTCAGCTGGCTCCTGCTTGATCTGCGTGGCGCTTAGGGGTGGCCCCGAGGCAGGGGCTGCAGCTGGCGGTGGCGGTAGGGAGGACAGGCCTGAGGGCCCTGGGGGCGGCAGAGGCCCGGGTCCTACGGCGGGTGAGCCCGGCTTGAAGGTCCCCGGGCCCGCAGGCGGGGAAGCGCCCCGATAGCCCGGCGGGGTCCCCGTTCTGAAGGAGGGTGGTGAGCCCGGCTTGTACCCGGGCGGGGTGGCGGTCTTGTAGGTCCCAGGAGATGGAGCTCTTTTGACGTAGGATGGGGGCCCAGGTGGGGAGGCCGTTTTGTAGCCTGCTGGCGAGGAAGCCACGGTAGCGATGACTGTAGAAAGGGTGGCCGAAGAGGTGGTGACGGGAGGGACTGAGGAAAAAGGATAGGGCGCCGCCTGGGGACCCTGGGAAGGGGAGGGGTGTGAGCAAGGGTAAGACCCTTGAGAGGAGGAAGAGGAGGAGTTGGAAGAGGAGGAGACTGGAGCGCCGCTGGGGCCTGCCTGGCTATAGGTCACCTGGCCGTGGGGTGGGGGCAGGTGTGCCGGCCCTGGAGGGTAGGGTCTCAGGGACCCCAGGGAGGGAGACATGGCATAGGGGTGTGTGTGGTGGGAGCCACTGTTCTCCAGAGGGTGTGCGTATGCTCCTGGAGGAGGAGGTCCAGAGCCTCCATGGTGCTGTGGTGGTGGCGGCGGTGGCTGCTGGGGTGGGGGTGGGGGCTGGGGCTGGGGCTGCTGCTGGTGGTGGTGATGTGCTGGGGCGGCAGGGTGCCCAGTGGCCTGGGCCCCAGCAGAAGGAGGAAAGGTGCCTGGGTGGGCACTGTTAGCCAAGAGGCGGCTGTAGGGAGGAGGTGGGGGTGGACCCTGGCTCCACACTGCTTGTGATGGGAGAGAAGGCTGAGTATACTTGGGAGGCTGATTGGAGACTGAGAGACTTGTGGGGGGAGGAAAGGAGTGTGGATAACTGGGCAGGGCCTGAGAAGCTGGGTACTGGGAGGCAGAGGCAGAGGCAGAGGAAGAGGCGGAAGAACTGGAGGAGGAAGCTGCAGAGATGCTACTAGAGGATGAATAGGGGTACCTCATTGGAGCTGCGGGGGCAGAGGAGGAGGAAACAGGGGGCAGTGGGTGGGGTGAGGGGGCCAGAGCTGGGCCTTTCTCTGGGCCCGGAGGAAGTCCACCCATGGCCTGGCCCACAGCATGGGGAGAGGGTAGATGCCCTGGCACTGGCTGGGCCCCCAGGCCAGGAGGAGAGGCTGAGGCATTGTTGAGGGGTCTCAGGGCAGGTGGGGGAGGCAAGTTTGGTGTCACATGGGGGAAAGTGGATGGTGGTGGTGCAGAGGCTAGGTTCCCACCACCCACTGGAGTACTGGGTGGCTTTGCTGGGGGAGCACCACTGGCCCCAGAGCTTGACATGGAAATGGGGGTTGTGGGTGGGGGGTGCTGCTTGCCCCCACTAGGGGCCCCCACTGTAGAGACAGCTCCTCCCCCTTTAGGCCCCAATGGGGGTCCAGACAAAACTCCTCCACCTGTCCCCCCAGGGTAGAGCTGTGGGTGAGGGGGAGGGGCCCCAGGAGCCTGGAACATTCGAGATGTGGGGGGCTCCATGGGAGCATGATAGCCAGTGGGTGGCACAGAAGGATGGGGCTCAAAGCCAGGCTCTGGCTGCCTGGGGGTACTATCTGGTGGTGGAGGGGAAGGAGGGAAAAGTGGAGGCGGGTGATAGGGGCGGGCTGGGCCGTGGGACAAGCCAGAAGATGAGTCGGAGTCATTCTCCACACTCCCAGGGCTATAGATGCTGGGGGAGGTGCTGCGGTTGTCCTGGTCTATGTCCCTTGGGTCACTGCTGCCATCATCATTCAGGCTCCGCCCGTCCAGACTGTCCAGGTCCGAGGGTGACTGCGGCCGAGGGAGCTCCTGCTACAGAGGGGAGAGCTGTTCTCCTCTTTCCCTTTCCTTCTTCCCCAAGAGCAAGACTGGGGCCACCTCTCCACTCTGCCTCCCCACAGCACTTGCTCAAGCCTCTGGGAATCCCCTTGTTCTCAGCTCTTTCACCCTACTTGTCAATTCCAGGTGTCCATCTCAAGGCCTTGTCTCTCTTCTCAACTCTGAATGCTCTCCTTCTCATGCCTACCCTCCTCTCATCTCACTCGCCCCTTTAAATGTCCTCCAAAGTCCTGGGTCCTTTTTTTGTTTTTGTTTTTTGTTTTTGGGTTGTTTTGTTTTGAGACAGGGTCTCACTGCGCAGTTCAGGGCTGGACTTGAGCTCACTTTGTAGCCCAGGCTAGTCTCGAACTCACAATGATCCCCCTGCCTCAGCCTCCCAAAGTGCTGGGATTACAGGGGTGCACCACCACACTGACTACCCTTGGTATTTGAAAAACACTTCGGCACTCTCCTTATGAGGTTTTGTTTGACTGGCTGGTTTTTGGAGACAGAGAGAGTCTCCATTTGTAGTTCACACTGGCCTTGAACTCACTATGTAGCCCAGGTAGGCTGGCTTCAAACTCATGGTAATCCTCCTGTTCCAGCCTCTTAAATGCTGAGATTAAGGTGTGTGCCATCATACCCAGCTTCTCCTTATGGTTTGTTCCTTCCACTAAGATTTCTTAACCTGTGACCACCACCATCCCCCCCAACACACATACACACACACACAATTTTTCCAGTCCCCTTGGTCCTGCCTGGTCATTTATGGTCTGATCAAAGCCCTGAAAATCTGTCTGACATTAGGGACATTTAATAAGCTGTAAGATACGATTTTCCTCCATATCCCAGCAAAGACTAAAGTAGGAATACTGAGTGGAAGGAAGTTTGGGAAAAGAATCTATGGTCAGGATGGTGGCAAAGTCTCCCACCTCAGTTTTGGTCTTTTTTGGTGCATTGGTGTCCTCACTTTCACTCTCTGAGATCTCTTCGCTCCTGCCTTGCTTGCTGACCTTAGGGGTGGAAGATTCTTCAACTCGGGCCTTCTATTAGAAAGAAAGAGAGTTCTGTCATTTCCCTCCCAAGCCCCCGCACTACCCTCTGCTCCATGTGCCCGTCATGGGCATCCAGAGGGACCCGGGGACAGAATACCTTGGCTGTCTGCCTGGACTTCTCAGCTTTGCCATCGCTGCTGGATGTGCTGACCCCTCCAGGGGAGGCCCGGCCCCTCGATCTCAGCTCCTCCCTGGGCCCAGGGGCCTCTTTCTTCCGTCCACTCCTCATCGACATCTGAGGGGAGGAAGAGGCTAGTGATGTCCTTACATACCACTGACTGTAAAGTGTGCCTTCTCATGCCCCGCCCTCCTGACTTCCTACCCTTGATCTGCTCTGCCCTTCATCCTCACTCACCGAGTCTTTATTCTGTCGTGTCTTCATTCTTTAGGCTGTGGAGACCCCATTCTCCTCTGCCTGGGCAGCTGAATACAGAAACTTCTCTGTCCCGCCCCAAGTCTCCCAGCTGTGACTGGGAAGCCAGTGGGCAGCAGGCACAGCTCGCAGAGCTGGAATTCTCGGCTGCTTTCCAGACCTGTCAGGAAAACACCACCAGGCTTTACTTGAATCTGCAGGGAGTGCTACTGTATTTGTCAGAGGCCAAGGGGACCAACACCACAGACACTGCTGGCCGGACCTACTAGGTCACTATGCATCTTTTTTATCTCTTGGAGGGGCAGGGGATATAGCTCAGTGGCATAGCGCCTGCCTGGAGAAGGCAGAAAATTCAAATGTAGGAGCCCCAATTCAATAAACTGCAGGACTTCTACCCTTCACAAGTCCTACAGAATCTTTGTGTGTGCAGATTCCACCTGAGGGGCCTTGTGAGAAAGCACAAAGAAATAAGGCTGAAGTCTTTTTTTTTTTTTTTTTTTTTGTCTTTTTCATTTTTACTGGTACCAGGGATCGAACTCAGCACCACACACTTGCAAGGAAGGCGCTTATGCCGCTGAGCTAAATCCCCAGCCCCTAAGGCTGAAGTCTTAATGTGCTAAGTACCTTCTTTGTGTCAGGCCCCTTACATACATGATTTCGTAGAATATTTACAACCAGTGCAGAAAGGCGGGTGTCACATTCTCATTAGGTAGGGGAGGGAAGGGAGAGATGGTGTCGAGAGATGGTGTCTGTAATTTGCCCAGTCTCCCACAGTGAGGCACCAACGACAGAGCCAGGTTCCAGCTCCATCTGGGACTTCAAAGTCATACTCTTTCTTTTATACTTTGCCATTCTCCCCTCAGAAGTTAGTGGGGTGAATTCTTAGAAGGCCTAGATCAGTTGCAGAGATCACATCAGAGTAGGCAGAATTATGTCGTATCGTAGGACACCCAGGAGCACAGCCCCACCAGTTCCATAACCACATCTAGATACCACCACAGTGCAGAAATGCATTTTGGAGCCTGGTCAACATGCACTCCCTGGTATAGCTGCTAACCATCCACAAGTTCCCCTGTCACAGACTCAACAGCCATGGATAGCATGTGCAAGGAAAACAATTCCAGAAAGTTCCAAAAATGAAACCTGAGTGTGGTGCATACTGCCTTCCCAGATGCAGGAATGAAGCAGCAACATGTGGCCTCTTGCCATTTCACAGACCCTAGGTCTTTTTCCAGCTGTTTCAGACCAGTTCTTGTCTTAGTCTCCTCCATATACCAAATACTTGGGCCTACGAGGCTCTTCTGTCATTACTCTCTCAACAATTTACAGAACCTTTACACTGTGCCATTCTATAAAAGGGCCTGCAGCATCTGCTGACTTTGGGTCTATAGTGACCCAAAACAGAAACAGCACCCCTAAAGATGACTACATCCATCTCCTAATGCCAGGGGAAGTCAGAGTTTTCACATTAACCACCAAAGGCTCAAAATATGCATCAGCAAGTACACAATACAGATTGACAGTTTTTAAGCCTATCCTCCCTTGGCAAAGAGAGCCTACCTATCTATATCAATCCACAGAGAGGGATGGGGGTGGCAAACGCCTATAATACCAGCACTCTGGAGGCTGAGGCAGGAAGACAGAAAGTTTGCTATAATCTGGACACCTTAGTGACTCAGAGAGCCCCTGTCTTAAAATTTAAAACTATAATCCCAGCACTCAGGATGCTGAGGCATGAGGCCAGCCTGGACTACAAAGTAAGATCAAAACTCACCTGGGGCCAGGGATATAGCTCAGCTGCACAACTGCCTGCCTGGCAAGCATGAGTTCATGAGTTCAATCCCCAGTACAAAAAAAAAAAAAAAAAAGCCTACTCTGAGCTACATAGTAAGACCCTGTCTCAAAAACAAGTTAAAGCCAGGGATTTAGCTCAGCAGCATAAGCACCTGCCTGGCAGGTGCAAGGTTGTAAATCTGATCCCAACAACAACAACAACAACAAAGCTTAATGGGGCTATCCTGTGGGTGGAGCTCAGTGGTAAGGCCCTGGACTCAACCCCCAATGCTGCAATAATAAATCAACAGACAAATATCATCCTGTCTGTCCTCATGGCCAGCTGTTTCCATCTGCACCTTTGTTAAGGATCAATCTGTATCTTACTTACTATAAGATCTTAGGAAAGCAAATACTGCCATTTCCTACCACTTTCCTCTCTAGCTTCTTCACTGAGGTTAGGGATACACAGGTATTCTCTTGTCCCAAACCTTTCAACCCAGTAATGTCTTTAGTTCTTTTAGGACTCTGTACTACTGGCCTTGGTGGGACTCCTGAAGCTTGCTGTACCTGTTCTGATTTAGGAGCCCTGCTAGGTGAATGTCATTTCCACATACTGTAGCATATTTTCCACAAGGAATGCAGAGTAATTACTTCTCATTCACCTCCACTGAATTGTAATGAGGCAGGCAGTGAAGTCTAGCCTTTCCAGGCTACTTACTAAAATAGTTTATTTAAGAGTCACAACACAGGGGCTGGGGATGTAGTTTAGTGGTAGAGTGCTTGCCTAGCATTTGCACAAGGTCCAGAGTTTGATCCCCAGTACCACAAACACACACAACATGTCACAACGCGGCCTCGCATGTTGGTGTATGCCTATAATCCCAGCACTTGGGGGACTGGGGCAGGAGGATTTCCGTGAATTCTCGAGGCCAGCCTCAAAAGTAAAGGATACAAGTTCAAGGCCTGGCTGAACTACATAGCAAGACACTGCCTCAAAAAAAAAAAAAAAAAAAAAAAAGTCACAACACAGCTGGATTGTGATGGCACATACACCTGTAATCCCAGGACTGTAGGATGCCGAGACAGGAGGATCACAGACTCAAGCCCAGACTAGGTAACTGAGTGAGATCTTGTCTTAAAATAAAAAATGGCGGGGGATAAAGCTCAGTGCAAAGACCCTGGGTTCAACCCTTAGTATTGGGGTGAGGGGAACCACAACAAATCTGAGACAAAGCCCCTGTTCTGATGCTAGATGGTGGCACACACCTATAATCCTAGCACTTGGGAGGCTAAGGCAGTAGGACCAAGATATCCTATCTCAAAAAAAAAAAACAAAAAAATTAAACATTAAATGATGTCATGCCCAATGGGTCAGTCATTTTTCTTTACAGCTAACACCACAGTTTAGTTATCATGAACACTGGCTTTAAAATACTTATCAACACCAACAAAATCCAAAGAACAAGACCCAACAAAATAAGAGGTGAAAATAATGTTAACAAAAGCACAACAGATGACTTGTAACTGATTATCTTTGGTAGCTCTCCTAAAGCAGGATGCCCACCCCTCCACTCCATCATGAAACTGTTCACCAAGTTAAGAGCTCAGAGACCCAAAAAGTCAGAGAAATACAGCAAGGTACCGGAAGAACAGAGCAAGGATACCATGTCCTCAAGTGTGTGACTTTGTCAATTGGTTGAAATCTGTGAAAATTTGCAATGAGTACCTGTGAAGGAGAAAACCAGTCATCCAAGGGGAAGTAATCCAGAGATAAGAAATGACAGGAATCCCCAGTTACCATCCAGCACCCATAGCTAAGCCCCACTCATCTGGTTCTGGAAGGCAGCCACTGTGACTACAATGGAGAGTGCACCTACTGTGCACCTTACTGCAAAAGGAAATGACAGAGAACAGACTCAGAAGGCAGAATAGTGAGGAACAGAAAGACAACCTTGAAGCACACACCAGAGGAGAATTTAAGGGGGAAATATGGGAAGCATAAAGGATGAATTTCAGGATCCAGGGCCCAGCCCCCATCATTCCACACCTGCCAGAGAACCCAACAGTCCAAGTAACTCTGAGACCCTAGTACAGCCCAGGCCTATAGATGATGATGTCCCAGCCTAAGCCTTCTTAGAATCCAGGGCTGTCAAGAGAAGCCTCCGGGTCATTTCTCCTATAATCTCTTCATCTTATAGCAGTGAGGCTCAAAGCAAGAGAGCGACTTGCCCAAGGTCATAGTGAGTTAGAGGCAGACAGGCCCAATCCAGGGCTCCTAGCTGCTGGCAGAGTATTGCACTGCTCTAGGCGGTATGGAGAGCCTACAAGGTCAGAAAAGTCAAAGGTCAAAGGTTAGCTAAGGCAAGGGTTCACCCTGGGGACAGTCTGGGAAGGAAGAGGAGACAGATTCACAGAAGTCAAGCTGGGCTCAGTGGTAGGTCCCTGTAATCTAAACACTCATGAGGCTGAGGCAGGATTGCCTCAAGTTCTAGGTCAACCTGAACTGTAAAGGGAGACCCTGTTTCAAAAAGCAAAGAGGAATTCAAGTTAAGAAAATGAAAGAACAGTGCAAAGAAGCAAAAAGACTATTGTATATGAAACACAACAAGGGAGATAGAGCCCAGAACACACTGCTCAAAAATGGTATAATTGGTTTTTGTTGTTTTTCAAGTCGGGATAAAATGCAAGACCTAGTGCATACTGGGCAAGTGCTCTACCACTAAGTTACACACACACACACATGCACGTGCATGCACATGCACACACAGCCCAAGATGGTATAACTTGAACAAGAACATTTTGTCCTCCCACAATGCCTAGATGGAAGGGCTTGGAAAGACAAATGACCTGCAAGTAACAGGTCTACCTGCTCCAACAGCCCATTGGATGTACAGGGATACATCTAGGAGGGAAACTCCCAACTACTGGAGGCACCAACATGGACCTCCAGCCCATCAAGAATCCCCAGGCCTAGGACTCATCCCCAGGTCTAGGTCCAATTCTGAACCCCCCATCTAATGGACATTTCTACAGATCACTGCTACAGCAACAAAAAAGAAAAAAAAAGCCCCACAAGACACCACCCCAGGGGGCCATCTGACAGCCACTACCATCACCCCCCCTGATAAAGCAATCTCTTACCCTCCCCTAGAGTAGCACCTCAGGGACCAGAACTTCAGCCTACCTACCCAGGCACAAAGGGAGACCTCTGAAGAAATTGCAGGGGCAGCAAATACGCGAAGACTTCTAGGTGGAGGTCACAACTTGTTTGGAATGCCAAAGGTTGCCCAATTCTCTCCTCTCCTCCACCCCCCCCCCAAAAAAAAAACCTTTCTTCCTAACTGGCCTTCTGCGTCCCTATCTTCCTGATTAGTTTTAGAAAGATCTCCCCACTACTGGGCCCGATGCCCCTCTCAAGAAGTAAGTATGCCTGCAATTGGGAAAACGGGTCGGAGGTGACCTGGCATAGGGAAAGGAAAACTGAGTCACAAAGACATGGCCTTCCCACTTCCACCCCGTAAACCTCGGGCTGTGCTTCTCAAAGGTGGACCGCTCCGCTTCTTTTGACTCTCCGCTTCCACTGGCTCCAGGCCCCTTCCTCTGCCACAGCTAGAATCCCTCTCTGTCCACCTACCACACCCCTTTCCCGTTTCCCACTTCCTTTCCGTCCCTGAAGGCCCACAACCCGGGTTCTGGCGCCTTGGCTCTGGTCTTGTGGGGCTTCTCCAGGTACCTTCACGCCCCACCTCTCCAAACCATTCTTGCTTCGCTGCGAACCCCTCCCAGTACCCGGTCCCCCCCCCTCCCCGCCAGCCCTCCACCTCCGCGTCCTCCTCCATGGTCCCCAAGCACTGCCACCCTCGGGTCCCATCAGCCCTGCTCCGAGACCCCTCCTTCCCCAACCCTCTTGGGCCTCGGGGCGCCTGGGCCCTAACCCTGCACGGGGCGCCCCATCCGCGCACTCTAGCCCGGCCACGCAGGGCCCGCAGTGGGACGCGATCGGGAAATAACAAATGGAGGCAGCGACAGCGGGAGGGGACCAGGAAGGTGGGGGTGGGGAACCTCAGGCCGGGCCGGGCCACCGAACCCCGCGGGCGGGCCGGGGGCCTCGGACCTTACCTGGGCGACTCGGGACGCTGGCTGGATCGGCGCAGGATCCGGGCCGGGCGCCTCCGGGGGGCGGTGGCGGCTGCTCCCCGCCCCCCCCTCCGCTTCCTGGCTTCAGTCGCCGCCGCGACGGCGGCGGCGGCGGCCCCGATCCCCCCGGAAGGCGGTCCCCATGCCCTGGTCCCAGCCCGGCCTGATCGCCCGCGGCCGGGAGACGCCGAACCCGCGCGCCCTCCCGCCCCGCGCGCCCGCGCCCGCGCCCGCGCCGCCGGCCCCCGCGGTCCCCGGCCCGAGGCGGCCTCACCCGGCCCCCGCCCCGCGCTGCCCCGCCCGGACCTGCTCGCCCCTCCCCCGCCCCGGCCGAGGCGCCCCCACGCGGGTCCCCGCCTGAGGCGTCGGGCTGCGGGCGGGCGGGCTGGGCGGCGGGTCCGGAGACTCGCGCAGGAAAGCGGCCGGCGAGAGGGAGGGAGGAGGGCGCGCGGGAGAGGGGGATGGGAGCGAGAGCAAAAGGGAGAAGGAGGGAGCGCGGAGGACGAGGCAGGGGCCGGGAGCGAGCGCTGGGCGAAAGGCGGAGGGAGGGAGGGAGCGACGGGCGGCAAGGGAGGCGCCGCGGAGGGCCGGGCCTGGCCGGCCGGGCCGGGAGGAGGGGCTGCGCTGGGGCGCGGACCTGGGGGTTCGGGAAGTCCGGGGGCGCCGGGGGTCTGTGGTCTGCGCGAGGTGGGAGGAGCTCGGGGGCTACTAGGGAAAAGACCCGGCGGTGGAGGGGCCTTGGGGGTAGTGGAGTGTGCGCCAAGGGGGAGGGGAGCAGCTTGGGCTGTCTAGAGAGAAAATATGATGGAAGTTTGGGGATCTGAAGAAGAGAAATATTGAAAAATATGACACGTAGAGGAGGACAGGGTTTTTGGAAGAAAGTCGAGTCTGAAGGGTGGCTGATGTTGGGAAGAGTAAGTACTGCAAGATTTAGGTGTGAGGAAGGAAGTGCAGAGATGTCTGAGGAGGCAGCGCAAAGCAAGCATGACGAACCCTAAAAGAGATCAATGGGGTCAGGGGCCTGCCTAGGACACACTAGGATTCTGAGTGGCGGGTGGCCCATCCCCCAGGTTGAGGACTTCCCGTCAACTGAGGAGGGATTCCTTCGACAGATAACTCGACAGATAACTCGGAGAAGGGGCAAAGGAGATGGAAGATGGAGATGGCAACATGAAGGGACGGTTTTTCAATTAAGCGAGGAGTGTGAAATTGGGGTACAGGTCCTGGGCAGCCAAGGGCAACAGCAGGACGGGCCATGTTCCTCAGGCTCTGCCACTTCCATTTTCCTCCTCAAGGCTGTTGAAGTCGGCACTCATTGGTATCTGAGGTCACAGGGAAGCTGACAGGTGGAAACTGGGCTCCTTGTGTGTGGCCTGCTCCCCAAGTGCCCCAGCTTCCCAGCCCAATAGTTCTGTTTGGAGCCCATCCTCACCAGACAGCAGGCTCTTCCTAAGCCCTGTCTTTCCCCTTCAGGAAGGCTGTCAGTGCCGGCCACCCTGTCTTCATCCCTGAAGCAGCACCCCCATCACCCGCCACCAGTGCCTTCTTCTGAGGTTTCTCCCTTGCTTCACACCAAGCAGCAACATCTCCCAGGACAAAGGACACCAGAAAGACGGTGATTTTTGGCAGCTGAAATTGGGAAGGCCAAAGAAAGGGAGGGAAACAGGGTGGGGATGAGGAAGACCTGGAGCTGGATTGTGGATTGGGAACTCTCAGTAACTCCATATTTGGGGGGCTAGGGTACTTGTGGGGCCAGTCCTGCTGGAGAGGGTGGGGGTGCTGAGCCGGCAGGCTCTCACCTGCCTGCTGGGAAAGCCGGCTGGCTCTGTAGCAACACAGATTTTGTGTCACACAGCTCCTTAGGCCAGACTCCGCCAAGTTTTAGGAGCACTGAAAAGCTCTAAACAGATCGCAAAGCACTGAGGAACAAGGAACAGGAGCAAGAATGCTTCCTTGGCCTAGGAATGAATCATCACTTTGAGGTCCCTTGAGTCAGCTGGGACTGTCCATACTGTTCCATGCCCACCTTCCTTGGCCCTCCCAGGGCCTGTTTCATACTAGGCCCTCAGCTCTGCACCCAGGCCTCCCTCAAGGCTGTAGGACCTGGTCTGCTCCTTCCTCCACCCCTACTTTAGTTCCAAGGCTCCTCCCCCCCACTCCCCCTATTTCCTTTTTGACTTCTCAGTTAAGTCTCACTGGTCCCTGGCCTAGGCCCATCCCAAAACCCTTTCTGAGCTTTTCTCTCGTGTTTATTAACCACTAAGACATGGGATAGGATGGTGCTTTATCTGAGCCTAAAAGAAAAATTTAGCCAGTGGTAGGGACAGGGCATGGAGAAAGCAGGAAGAGAAGCTAGGGCCTCCCCCTCTAGATTATTCTCTTACCAGAGGCCAGGCTCACGACTCTAGTTGCAGAGAATGCACCACACATACCCCCACCGCCCACCCCAGCTCCCACACTGGCCCCAGCCCCCACAACCCACTGGTCTCCAGGCAACAGCACAAAAGGAAAGTGGAGAGAGGGACCTGGGAGGCCCAGGCAGAGCCAGCTGTAACCCAATCCAACCTAGTACCTGTCAGAAAGGCAGCCTAGCAAAGGAAGAGGGAAAAAAGGACCGAGGTTAGGAAAGGTGGCTCCAACTACAATAGTCCTGGCTATCCTTAGTTACTGAAGAAGGATGCAGGTCATGGATCCCAGAGAAAGCAGCAGCTACAGAGAAAAGTGCTATGAGCCTCAAGGGAGTGGAGAGGGATGCCAGGAGGAAGGAAAGACGAGATGCCCAAATTGAAATTAAAAAGACACAGGGAAGGAGAGGGCAGCAAGCAGCTCTTTGAATTGAAAAATAGCTGCAATGTCAGGGACGCAGGAATGAAGGCAAGATACATAGGCCCTTTGGATACTCAACTGGAATCTTTTTTGACCCCTGGAGTGTGCTGCAAGGCAGAAGCGAGGACAAAACTCGGTAGAAGCCGAGTGGGAGGCCCCCAGAGGGTACAGTCTTGAAATTCTGCCCAGCCGCTGTGGACTGGGCCTCCCGCAGTCTGCTGCAGAACCCTCACTCCCCCTAGTGGCCGCAGCTGCCCCTGTGCAGACCTGGCAGCCAGGGCAGTGTGATTGTACCTCAGAATGGTCCCTGGACTGCAGCTGAGAAGCTTGAAGTGGAGGCTCTGGCCACACTCCACACCCTGCTTGCAGCCCAGCAAGCCTAGGTCTTGCTGAGCTCTTCAGATCCCATCTTAGATACGTCAAGAGGTTTCAGTTGCCTTGGACCCACCTCTCTACCCCTGCTACCATCCTTCTCTCCTGGGTTTCCCATCCTGCAAGGGCTTATGGCCATGGGGTGGATCCTATCCTACATTAGAACTAGCCAGGATATTGTTGTGGGCAGAAGCCCAGCCATGCATGCCTTATCCGTGGTCAATGACCCTGGGAATCTGGAAACACTTTAGACCTCTTTTCTCCCAACCATATACATCATTTCTAGTTCCAGAGACTTCAAGATCCCAGGTTAAGAATGCCTAATTCGGGGCTGGGGATTTAGCTCAGCGGCCTAAGCGCCTGCCTTGCAAGTGTGCGGTCATGAGTTCGATCCCTGGTACAGATAAAAACGAAAAAGACAAAAAAGAATGCCTAATTGTGGGGACATGCCAACACTTGGAAAGCCAAGGCAAGAGGATTCATGGGAGTTCAAGGCCAGCCTGGGCTACAAAAGCCAATTCAAAGCCAGCCCACACTACATGGTGAAACTATCTCAAAACAAACAAAACAAGCCTGATTCTCCTGGATCATGGGTTCAGACCTGTTACTGAGGAGGAGGGGCCCCCATGGAGCCCACCTAGCCAGGTGGAGTGGGCAGTGCCATCATTGTGGCCACATTTATTTGGCTGATCTTCCCCTCCCCACTCTGATATCCAGTTACACCATCATCTGTGTCCTCCATCTTCTCTCCCCTCACATGCAGCAGGTAAGACTCCTCAGACATAAGAATGCACTGTGACTCAGACTTTAATAGTGGTGCTCATTTCAACGCCATAGTGGTGGTGGCAACTGTGGAACACGGCACAGGAGAGCGAGCAGCTGGAGGAGGAACAGAGAATCTAGGGCTGGGGAGAGAAAATAGAGGAGGAGCCCCCAGGCACACACCCCACTCTGCACCAGCCCAGGCTTCGGTTAACACAACACAACAGATGTTAAGGCTGTTCTTGATTACCCTTCCCAGGTCAGCAAAACCTCCCGCCCCTGCTCATTGTGGGATCACAGCCACATGACATATAAAGGCAGTCCCCTCAAGTCAGGCTTTCAGTTCCTATAGTTATAGGGAGATGAGTAATTAAAAGGATGAATGAAAAATAACTAGATAAATAACTAGATAAATAAATAAATAAATAAATAAATGCACTAAAGCCCTAGCTATGTATGACCACACACCCACCACACTCCACACAGTTCATGGCTCACACGCAACATGGAAGACACACAGGACAGGGGAGGCAGTGACACATGGTCCCACTCCCAACACCTCAACACGCCAGCCCAGAAGCTCCCATCACAGAAAGATGTCCTTCCACGGACCCTTTTACAAATCCTTGTTCCAGTCATTGAGGGAAGAGAATAGAAAGGGGAAATGCAAGGAATGGAACCCCAGAGGACAGGGCTCAGAGAGCAAAGAAGCAGGGCTTGGGTTCATGGAGAAGCAGCCAGAGCAGGTTAGTCAGGGGTTCTCCGTGCCCTGGGCTCAGGATGGGGATGGGGGTGAACTACCACAGCGCAGGACAGTGAGGAGGAGGTTCCAAGAGGCTGGGACAGAGGGTCCAAGTGTCCAGGCAAGTAGAGGGTTCACAGCACACTGGGGTTGCGGAAATTATGTCCAGCGAAGCGTGCTTCATCTCCCAGCTCTTCTTCAATTCTGAGAGAAGCAGAAAGAAGACAGGCTGCTGGAAGTGGAACAATGGACAACTTTTTGTATATGTGTGACTGTGTGTGCATGTTTGGTACTGGGGATTGCAGCCAGCAGTGTTGTGCCACAGGCCCAGTTGTTTGGTTTGGTTTAGTACTGGGGATTGAACAACCTTGCACTTGCCAGGCAGGCGCTTATGCTGCTAAGCTACATCCACAGCCTAGTTTTTGTTTCTGAGACAGGGTCTCACTGTGTAGTCCAGGCTGGTCTTGAACTTGCTTTGATCCTCCTGCCCCAGCCTCCCTCAGGGCTACAATTATAGGCATGGCAAATAAGGCTTTCAACTGCAGTGACTTTGGGTTCCCATTCCCCAATACCCTCACCTCATGAGCTGGTTGTACTTAGCCAGACGCTCAGAACGGCATGGGGCACCAGTCTTGATCTGAAATATTTCCAAAACAGAAGCAGCTCAGCAACTGTCACCTTCACCTTCAGAAAAGAAATCTCTTATGCTTTTTTTCCCCTCTGGAACTGGGGATAAGACCTAGGGCCTCCCACTGAACTATACCTCCAGCCCTGAAACCTGCTGTTGAAATTTGTTGATGCTCTCCAACAGCTGCAGGAGAGACCCACCTTAGCCTAGAACTCACCAATACCACCAAGACCCCCCTCCACTTTCAGGCTGCCCCTCACCTGACCAGTGCACAGCCCCACCACCAGGTCGGCAATGAAGGTGTCCTCGGTCTCCCCTGAGCGGTGACTCACCATGACCCCCCAGCCGTTCTCCTGTGCCAGCTTGCACCTGCAGCATACACCAGTCTGAGCTCTAGTGTGCACTCCAGAGCTTGCCCCGCCCCGCCCCGCCCCGCCCCGCCCCGCCCACCGTAGTCTGTGATGAGAAACATGGGGCATGGGCCCAGAACTGGGAGTACCGAGGACAGAGCTCAGAGAACAGGAAGGGGACTTGGGTCCCTCCCTGCTCCCTTCAGCAGCCCTGGGCAGAGTTGGCCTGGGAGAGCTTGAGAGAGCCTGCAGCAGTGGGGCCATGTAGAGGCCAACAGTTACTCACGCCTGGATGGCTTCAGTGACTGAGCCAATCTGGTTGACCTTGAGCAGCAGACAGTTACAGGCCTTTTCCTCCACTGCCCGCTCAATACGCTTTGGGTTGGTCACTGTCAGGTCATCACCCACGATCTGGATTCCTACATTGGCTGTGAACTTGGACCAGGCTGCCCAGTCATCCTGGTCAAATGGGTCCTCAATGGAGACCACTGCAGAAGAAGTGTGACAGACAGTCACCCTGCTTGAATCTCTGTTCAGGCAGGGATCCCCCACTTTGATTTTCTGAAATGTTGAGGTCACCTGACTAACAAAGCCTGCTCGTCCTTCCTCCACCCATTTTCCCCAAAATAAAATAAGCCTGCCCCAAATGCTTTTATTGCTTGTTTTTTGCCTTTTGAGACAGGGTCTCACCTTGTAGTGCAGGCTGACCTTCAACTTAATATGTAGGCCAGCCTGCTCTCCAACTAATTTTTTTAAAATCTTATTTGTTTTTGTTGGGTGTTTCATTTTTTGAGACAGGGTCTCGGCTCGCTATGTAATTCAGTCTGGGCCTATACTCGCTATGTAGTCTAGGCTACCCTTCAACTCGCAGGGACCTTCTTGCCTCAGCATCCCAAGTAGGATTACAGCCTGGTTTATGTAATTGCTTATTTCTGTTCTTTAATTTTTTGAGGGTCTGACTAAGTCACTAAGGTGCCTAGGTTGAGTTCAAAATTATAATCCTCCTGTGTCAGCTTCCCAGAGTGCTGGGATCACAGGCATGTACCCTACCCCACCCCACCAACTCCTGAGTCTTACTTCATAAACCTTCCAGTAACAAGAGTTCAGAACATTCCTGCAACCTCAATTTGCATTTTCCCATTCTCACTGCCAGGAAGCCCTTCCTGCTACAGTTTCTGCTTTTTCTTGCTCTGTCTCAGGAGAACAGAGCCCAGCTGTCTCCTCTCCTGGGAAGAAGCCCTGGGTAGACCTGGAGAGTATAGTTTAGTCCCTCTTCCGCCATCTTCTCTTTTACCTATCACTCACAGGCCCGTCCTGCAGCCACAGTTTTAATCAAAGATACTGAAATGCACTAATTCACCAGCCTGTCTCACTGTCCCTGGTTCCCACCCCAAGATCATGGGATCCCCTCTCCCCAAGATCCCAGTGGCAGACAGAAACTGAAGCATCACAGGGCTTTGCACATTCACACAATGTCCCGACTGCAGCAGGCGCCTTCACTCCTGCCCTACTCCTCAGGTTCCCTTCACACATTTCTACCTGTCAACTGAGTTGGTATCTACAAAGCTGAGTTTCCCCAGCAGGTCTGCCTGCCCTCCATCCACATCCCAGTTTTGTTTGTCTATTTGTTTGTTTTTGAGGGGGCAGGGTTGTTTTGAAACAGGATCTTGCTATGTGTGCAGGCTGGCCTCAAACTTACTACGTTAGCCCAGATTGTCCTTGAACTCACACCAGTCCTCCCACCTCAGCCTGCCCCACATCCCAGTTCTCACCAGGATAGTCCCTGACAAAGTCCTGGTAGAGCACGCCCAGCTGGTCCCCAGTGATGTATCGGGAAGGATCTGCTGGGGACTTGAAGTCCAAGTCATACTTCCCATCACGGTAAAACTCTGAGGCAGCAACATCCATGCCAATGACAATCTTCTCCGTGTAGCCAGCCTTATCGATGGCTTCCTTCACCAACTCCAAGGCTAAAGATGGAAGAAAATGAAATTGTAAGAAGGAGAGCATAGGAAAGGAAGAGGGAGAGAAAAGGAAGCGCAGGGTGGGGACCTGCTGCCAGGAGAGGAGTGGCTGTGCTGGTTGTTGGGCTGGTGCGGAGGTGTGGGGGAGGAAAAGAAGGGAACTATTTCTAACAGTCAGCATTTTTATTGGTATCATATCACCTAAGCATTTTACATATGTGGCCTCATTTCATCCTCACATTGGTAAAAGGCAGAAATTGTTATATTCCCATTTTACAGATAAGAAAAAGGAAGCACGGAGTTAAGTAAGGATGTTCAACACCCAGCTAGGTGTTGTGGCAAATGCCTATAATCTCATAGGCTGACAGAAGAGGATTGCTGTGTGTTTAAAGCCAGCCTGCGCTACATAGGGAGTTAAAGGCCAGTGTAAACTACATAGCAAGACTTTGTCGGGGGGCTGGGGATTTAGCTCAGCGGCCTAAGCGCCTGCCTTGCAAGCAGGCATTCGTGAGTTCAATCCCTGGTACCGATAAAAACGAAAAAGACTGTCTTTAAACAAGAAAAAAAAGATCATCACCCAGTAATTTATAACTCTTTAAGGTTCAAATAAACTCAGGCAAGTGACCACCTCAGAACTTTAGCCTTTCTTTTTTTTTTTTTTTTCTTTTTCTTTTTTATCAGTACCAGGGATCGAACTCATGACCACCTGCTTGCAAGGCAGGTGCTTATGCCGCTGAGCTAAATCCCCAGCCCTCCAGAACTTTAACCTTTCTTTGTTTTGCTGTCTAGAGATCAAATCCAGGGCTTCTAGTATGTTGGGCATGTGCTCTAACACTGTTTACACCTCAGTCACTTTGTTTTTGAGGCAAGGTCTTGCCAAGCTACCTAGGCTGGCCTTGAACTTGTAATTTTGCCTCAGCTGCCAGGTAGCCATGATTACAGGCACGTGCCACTACCCCTGGCAGGGAAACTTCACGGTTAAGTGGTTAAGTACTACCTCCCAGGGTGCAGGAAAATTAGCAATTTTAGAGGCAGTATACATTAGAAAAGGGTCCCCTAAGTTATGCTGCATTTCATCAAACTGAGGTGCCTATGGAGTTAAAAGAATAGGACACAGGTCACCTGGTCCATTTCCCAGGATCCCCAGGGACGCCAGTGAGAATTTACAGATGCTACCAGGTGTGGTTGGGCAGGCAAAAACCTGTCCTAGGTCAGCCTTTGAAGCTGATAGGCTTTGAAGCCAGCCCTGGTACCACCTGGGGTTCACAGGAGCCCAGGGATGCTTTACCCACGTTCCTCAGAACTCAGCAGAGTGCAACTGTCCTGTTGCCCTCACATAGCTTCTGAGTCAGCCTCACCCTCACTGTTCTCCAGGATGTTGGGAGCAAAGCCACCTTCATCCCCCACGTTGGTGGCATCCTTGCCATACTTGTCCTTGATGACCCCCTTGAGGGTATGGTAGACCTCAGCACCGAGCCGCATGGCATCCCGGAAGCTCTCAGCCCCCACAGGAAGGATCATGAACTCCTGCATGGCCAGCTTGTTTCCAGCATGGGAGCCACCATTGATCACATTGAAGGCCTGGGGAGCCACCATGGAACAAAGGTTAAGGGACCTTCCTTCCTGCCCCTGGGAGGGTTAACCCAGAGGTGTGGGTCCCCATCCTCCCTCTTCAACTACCCTGTTCACTTTCCCCCATCCTTGGTCATAAGGCTTCTTCCCCTCCCTCCCAATGAGAGAGGCCCAGGCAGGCACAGTGCTTACCGGCACAGGCAGGATGAGGTCTGAGTTCCCAGCCAGCTGAGCAATGTGGCGATAGAGAGGTAATTCCCGCTCAGCTGCCCCTGCCTTACACACAGCCAAGGACACACCCAGGATGGCATTAGCCCCAAATTTGGCTGCGAGATTACAGAAGAAGAAATGATCAAAAATGCCCCTCTTTCTGGTCCCTGCTTCCACCTGTATTCCCCAAAAAGAGCCTGTAAAGGAAGTCTCCTCTCACCACTCCATCCTTTCTGGGCTGCAAATAGCTGGGCAAGGGAGGAGAAGGGAAGGAAGTGATTGGGAAGGGCAGGAAGCTGCCCTCTTTCCAAACAACCCTCAAACTGTCTCTTGCCAACTCCCTCTTCTTTATGCTATAAAGAAATTCTTCCTTCAGTCTAATGTCACTGCTGCTCACCACAGGGCTTTGGGAGGAGGGAGGTCCCCAACACCAACACAGCCCCTGAAGTTCCCCTCACTTTTTCTTGGTTCCTGCTTACATTTATTCTCAGTCCCATCCAACTCCAGCATGAGATTATCCAGTTTCTCTTGCTCCACCACAGACAGACCCTGTGGACAGAATCTCCATCACCCAGGTCCAGGAGGAAGGCTGGACCCAAAGACATACAGATACCCATTGATCCTGGTCTGTGACAGCAGCCTATCAGTACAAGGGGATTGGAACTCCCATAGGAGCAGACAGCAGTAAGGAGTCTCTTTTCCCTCCCCCTCCTTCTCCCCTGGGGACTCCTTCCAGGATCCTGATTCTGTATCCCCAGCCTAGGGCGGGCCTCACTGAGCTCAGAAGGGCAGGTGCGATGGTGTTATTGATGTGGTCCACTGCCTTCAGGACACCTGGGGAGAGAGGGAGGCTGGCCAGTCAGGGGCAGGCAGGGGCAGGGTTAATCTGGGAGGGACAGGAAGAGGACAGCAAGGAAGGGGTAACACTACAAGAGGGCCAGGGACTGCAGGAAGTAAGGGCATGAGGCTGAGGGGTGGCAGAGGCTAGAGAAGAGAAGGCCTCACCTTTGCCTAAGTAACGCTGTTTGTCGCCATCTCTCAGTTCCAGGGCTTCATAGATACCAGTGGAAGCTCCACTGGGGACTGCAGCTCGGAAAAGACCTGAGAAATGTCACAGTGAGAAGGGGGAAGCCCACCCCCATACTCCACCTTACACACACACACACCTACACCTGAGCCAGCCACACTAGCAGTGGGCTTTTCATCCACCCAGCTGAGACTCTCAGGCACAAGTGGGAGCCCACAGAAGTGAAGCTATGACAGGCACACAAATGCACACACGCAGAGGCAGGGCACGTCTCCCACTAAACTGGAACACATGAAGCGCCCCCCCACACACACACACAGAGTCCAGCCTTGGGAGCCTGGCCCAGCCCTGTCCCTTGGGCTTAGAAGAAGGCCTCCCAGGCCTCCCCACCCCAGCCAGCCACAGCTGCAGCCTCAGCTCCGGACAGGCAAGTGGGAGCCCCAGTGCGTACCTTTGGCAGTGTGGAGGTCCACCTCCACCGTGGGGTTCCCACGGGAGTCTAGGATCTCCCGAGCCCAGATCTTCTCTATGGACATGATGGCTGGGGGTGTCTGGGGTGCAAGGGAAGAAAGGCAAAAGATAAGAGGCTTAGTGGGTGGAGCCTGAGTTCAGAGGGAGGGACCGATGACTGAGAAAGAGGTTACTGCAGTGGGTGGGGGTGGGGAGAAGCTGGTTGCAGTCGGCAGTAATAGAGGGGACCCCTCTTTCCCCTGGGGATAAGGTCAATGCAGTGAGGAAGGTGAGGTCACTGCAGTGGGGCACAGGTAGGTTCCAAAGACCACAAGATGGAGAACACCGCAGGGAGGAGGAGAGGGGCCTGGCAGAGGTAGCTTCGCCTGTGGTGGGGTCCCCGACTGCCCCAGAGCACCCGTAATGGTTGCCAGGCCGGAATTTTCCCCGGGAGCCAGGAAGAAGCCTGTCCTGCAGACCCCCATCCTATCTCAACTCAACATCACAGCCCGCCTAGCTCTGCCACTCTCTAGGGTCCCTCCTCTTTCCGAGACGCGTACTGCAGAGGAGTCTGGGGGCAGAGTCCTAGCGACAGGGTCCTGCTGGCCGGGACGGGCTGGGGGAGGATGAGGCCCAGTGCCCGGTGCCCCAGTGAGCCTCCGCTCCTTCCATGCCTTCCCCTGGCCGGGGAGGGGGGTGATGTGCGGATGCGTGGGAGAGGGAACTTCTAAAGGAAATCGGGGGGGGGGGGTCGAGAAAGGCAAGAGAAGACATTTCCCCAAATGCAAGGCAAAAAAGGACGTGCAGGGATGAAATGCAGAGCGCGGAGACACCGAACTTAGGAGCCGAAAGGCAGGACCGGTGAAGGCAGACGCGAAGGCGTAGACGGGCGGGGTGGAGAGGCGCGGACAGAGGAGCAGGTGTGGAGGGGAGGCCGAGGGCCGTGGCCTAGCAGGTGCGCAGCACCCCAGGGCGCGAGGCGCAAGACTGGGGCGGGGCTGGACGCGGCCAGGGAAGGGGGGCCCCGCCCCGGCTGGTCCTCACCTTGTTCAGAGCTGCAGGCTCTGCTGGCTGTGGCAGCGCAGGGAGGACTCGAGTGGCGGTGGCGGCAGATGCGGCTCCCGGCGCGGGCGGGCAGGGGGCGGCGCCTGCAGGGCTGTCGGGAGCATGTGACCCGGAGCCCCCGATGAGTCAGGAGCTGCCGGCGGAGGTGCACGTACGAGCCGGCTTGGGGGGCCGCGGGGGGGGGGCGACCGACGGGGCGGGGCAGTGGGGGGATGGGCTGAGGACTGCGGGCCCACGCGCGCTGGTAGCCGCGCCGGAAGCAATTGCAAGGAGACAGGTGCAGCCCCACACTAGTGATCCCATGCGGTGCCTCACAGACCGGGCTAAGTTCCAGAGTGTAGAGAGCGACGTGAGGGTCTCACTGCCGCCACCTCATTTCCTTTTTCCCTTGGGCGCCAACTGCATCTGCCTACATTACCCAAGATCCTCTCCTGTCTACCTCACGTACCGAAGGAGAGGCGGCCTACCAGAGATCACCACATAGCCTCTTCCTGTCCCACCAGCCCGCCCTTGGCCATAAAAGCTGCAACCTCTTACAGAATAAGCCAGACTTGATTGGGCTTTCTCAAGTTGTCTCCGCCTCTCTCTCCTCTTGTCATTTGCCCCCCCATTCCGTTCCTCCACCAGGTGAGACCCACGGATTGATCCCTGGGCCCGATCAAGTGGCTCCCAAACGTGGGGCTCCCGGGATAGGGGATTCAACGCGGGACCGTTCGTGAGAGCTGCAGCAACTACTCCGGACTCCGTCCCTGAGACCTGCGCGGGCGGCCGCCTGACGCCTCGCCTGAGTCACGGTAAGTGAACAAGTGAACGGCATCCACTTCCCCCTCACCTAACCACATGGGTCAAGCAGTAAGTGAACACGAATTGTTCGTGGGCGAGCTTAGTAAAGCCCTCAAGGTGAGAGGGGTAAAGGTTAAAACAAAGGAATTGTTACAGTACTTTCAATTTATTCATAAGATTTTCCTTTGGTTTCCTTTAGAAGGCTCTATAGATTCTTTTTTTTTTTTTTTTTTTAAACTTTTTATCGGTACTAGGGATCGAACTCACGACTGCCTGCTTGCAAGGCAGGTGCTTATGCCGCTGAGCTAAATCCCCAGCCCCTGGCTCTATAGATTCTAAAAGATGGGAAAGAGTAGGTGATGCTTTAAAAGATTACTATAGGGTTTTTGGCCCCAAAATATTCCGGTGATCACCTTCACCTACTGGAATTTAATTTCGGAATTACTTGTTTCGCGTCACTCAGATACTCAAATCGAGACCCAAGTTAAATTACAAGAGAAAGGCTCATTTTACAGCGTCAAACCTTACAGATGGGCCCCCCAAATCCTGTCCCTAAGATGGCAACCATATCTGATCCATCACCTGGCACCCTTAAAATGACGACCACAACATGGCGCCTTCAAGATGGTGTTCCAGGTAACAGAAAATACAGTACCGGGGGCTGGGGATTTAGCTCAGTGGCATAAGCGCCTGCCTTGCAAGCAGGCAGTTGTGAGTTCGATCCCCGGTACCAATAAAAAAGAAAAAGACAAAAGAGAAATAAAAAAAAAAGAAAGAAAATACAGTACCCCCACAAAATGGCACCGGGCTGGCCCCACAGGTCATCAGGACTCACACACCATTCACAGTGGCTGCCTTAAAAGAGCTAAAAAACAGCAGTCACCCAATATGGGCCCACAGCCACCTTTACACTTGCTGTTTTAGACTCTTATGACCCAAGGCTGGATTATCCCAAATGAGTGGAAGGTAAGATCAAGAAGGTAATCAGGGACACATACAGCCTTACGTTGTCACAGGGCTACCCCTTAATTTGTGGGGTAGAGATTTATTGACTCAAATGGGAATGATCATGGGCAGCCCTAATAGTATAGTCACAGCATAAATGCTCAAAAGCAGATTTCTCCCAAATCAAGGTCTGGGGAAACTAGGCACAGGCATTAAAGCCCCTATCTCCCCTGTTCCCAACCTAACAAAAGCTGGTTTAGGCCATTTTCAATAGGGGTCATTGACACTCCTGCGGCCTGTGCAAAAGAGATTACCTGGTTATCAGATAAACCTGTTTGGGTCAATCAATAGCCCCTTACCTCTGAAAAACTCAGCCGCACAACAGCTGGTGCAGGACTAGTTAGATGCAAGCCACATTGTTCCTAGTGATTCCCTCTGGAACACACCTATTTTTGTCATTTGAAAAAAGTCAGGAAAATGGAGGCTACTACAAGACCTCAGGGCAATAAACAAGACCATGGTTTTAATGGGGCCCTTACAACCAGGCCTCCCTTCACTCAGTGCCATCCCCCTAGGGTTTTTTTAAATTGTTATAGATCTTAAAGATTGCTTTTTTTTCTATTCCCTTACACCCCAATGACCAAAAACGCTTTGCCTTTAGCCTTCCCTCGGTTAATTTCACAGCCCCTATGCAAAGATTTCAGTGGCAAGTCCTCCCACAAGGGATGGCTAACTCTCCTACATTATGCCAGTCTTATGTTGCTACCACAATACAGCCAATCCAAGATCAATGGCCAAATATATATATCATTCATTATATGGATGACATTCTCCTAGCAAGAGATGACCAAAACCAAACCTTACAATGTTTCCAGGCACTACAAGCTGCTCTGCAAAAGGCTGGACTTCAAATAGCTCCTGACAAGGTCCAGCTCACTGAACCGTATACATACTTGGGTTTTCAGCTACAAGGCACTCAGATATTCTCTCCAAAGCCTCAACTTAGACTTGATGGCCTCAAGACACTTAATGATTTCCAAAAACTCCTAGGGGACATCAGTTGGCTCTTGCCTTATTTAAAATTAACCAAACATGACTTATATCCCCTCTACGAAATTCTTTGGGGAAACTCTGACCCAACCTCACCCCGTGAACTTACACCTAGTGCCAGAAGAGCACTTAATAGGGTAGAGGAGGCTATTGCCCAACAAACAGTCTCTTTCATGGATTATAGTAAACCTTTACAGTTCCTCATTTTTAACACAAAGCTCTGTCCTACAGCAGTGTTCTGGCAACAAGCTCCCCTTATGTGGGTCCATTTAGTTCCTCCACCAGGTGAGACCCACGGATTGATCCGCGGGCCGGATCAAGTGGCTCCCAAAAAAGACACTCCTGCCTTATTTTCAAGCTGTCTCAGACCTTATAGTTCAGGGTAGAAAACAAGGAAAATGCTACTTTGGCAGGGAACCAGACACTATCATTCTGCCTTTCACAAAGGATCAAATAGACCGGTTGCTTCAAACTACTGAAGAATGGCCAATTGCCTTGGCTTTCCTCTCAGGGACCGTTGATAATCATTACCCCCCCCCAAACAAATTAATTGATTTTGCCAACCGCCATGCATTTATTTTTCCAAAGATCACTGCTTCGCAGCCCCTTCCTGGCGCCCTGGTACTTTTCACTGATGGCTCCTCCTCAGGCAAAGCTGCATATGCCCTCCAAGACGATACCTTTACCTTTCAGACAGATGCCTCCTCGGCTTAGCTAGCAGAGCTACAAGCTATACTCACAGTATTTGCCACATACCCTGACCAACCTTTCAATAATATACTGATAGTGCTTAACTTGCTCAATCAGAAACAGTTCCTATTATCCATCATGCCTCCCCAGCAGCAACCCTGTTTCGACAGTTACAAGATTACATATGGCTCCACCGTCATAAATTTTTTATTGGTCACCTGCGGGCCCATTCAAACCTCCCTGGGCCTCTTACACGAGGAAATCATTTGACCAATCTGGCAACACGCCCACAGGCCTTTCTGGTTGATGATCCACCCACACATAACTCCAATGTGTCTAAGGCTGAGTGAGCTCACCAGTTACATCATCTCAAAGCCCAGACTCTTCGCCTTTTTTCATCACATTACCCGCGAACAGGCCAGACAAATTGTCAAAAACTGCCCCTCATGTGCAGTTCATCTCCCTGTTCAACATCTCGGAGTAAATCCCAAGGGCCTAATCCCAAATGCCCTGTGGCAGATGGATGTTACCCATATCCCAGAGTTTGGCAACCTCAAATATGTCCATGTAAACATTGATACATACAGTGGTTTTATTTTCGTCACCCTCCAAACCAGAGAGGCTACCAAACATGTCATTGCCCATATGTTGTCAGCTCTGTCAGTGCTTGGTAGCCCTCAACAACTCAAAACAGATAATGGCCCTGGATATACCAGTAACTCCTTTGCTCAATTTTGCAAGTGCCTTAATATTCTACACACCACAGGCATCCCTTACAATCCACAGGGACAAGGCATTGTTGAACGTGCCCATTGCTCTCTCAAGGTTACCATAGACAAAATAAAAGGGGGAATATGGTACCCAACCAAGGGGACCCTCAGAAATATCCTTTTACATGCCCTTTTCATCTTAAATTTTCTAACCCTGGATGCCTCAGGCCGCTCCGCAGCATCCCATTTTTGGCATACACAGACTCAGACCCGTTTTGCATCCGTTCTGTGGAGAGACCCCCTAACTAATTCATGGAATGGGCCTGACCCTGTCCTCATATGGGGACGAGGCACCAGATGGTTGCTTGAACGTCTTGTAAAACAGGTAAATGGCACTTGTGACATTCAAGAGTAACAAATCAACACAAAACTCCCACGCGCCCAGGGGCAATACTGCCTCCTGAGGTTCTTCCTCCTGTGTGTTCTCTTACAGACAATGTTGGCTTTCGTGTAGATCACTGTCGGACTCCTAATGCAACTACATCTGACAAAAGAACACAGTGACCCACATCAGCCCTGGAAGTGGACTCTCAGATATTAGGAAGACCATAAGGTTGTCACTACCTGAACAGGATCAGGAAACCCAAACTTTAAAGCCTATTCCTGTGACCTTGGTCCTACAGACCCATGCCTCAACTTAATACCCGTATACGTTTGCCCTGCTTCCACCGGGGGTAGAACATACTGCAGTTACCTGGGACACTCTTATTGTGCCTATTGGGGCTGCAAAACCGCAGCGACAGGCTGAACCCCCTCTATTCGTGACAAAGACCTCCAATTAGGATGGTGGCCACAGGGGTACAAACCATTTGATTGGTGGTATGGGGGAGTAGTGACCTGTCAATACCTAGAAATCAATGTCACCACACCCAGTGACCCCAGCTGGCTACAGGGACAAACCTGGGGTTTTCGATATTATGAAAAAAGCACAGACAGGGGAGGCCTTATTTGCATAAAAAAAAGAGCCACTACCCTTACCTCCTGTGAAAGTGGGCCCAAAATAAAGCCCTTAACCCAAAGTCAGGCGCCCCCGCTAAAGCCCCCAACCCACCAAGGGCCCACAATCCCCAAGCCAAATCCCCACCAACTATTCAAGCTCCCACTTTAACCACCCCCCCCAACATTTCCCCACCCAAGGACTCCACTCATCCTTCAGGTTCTAACCTCTGACTTAATTTCAGGAGCCTATCATGCTTTAAATCTAACACAGCCTAATCTGACCCAGTCTTGCTGGTTATGCTTGGCCACCCCTCCCCCATGTTACGAGGGAAAGGCACTCAACACGACCTTCGCTACGTCCTCTGACGCGAGCGCCTGCTATTGGACCGTCCACAATAAAATAACCCTCCCCGACATCTCTGGACAGGGTACCTGTCTTGGTAGGAAAGACCACTGGCCCCAACAACAAAGAAAACTATGTGCTCGATTTCATACAAATTTCCCTAGCAATCAATACCATATCCCACCCCAAGGAACATTTTGGGCCTGTAATACTGGCCTCTCTTTCTGCATATCAACTAATGTTTTTAACCAGTCGGCTGACTTTTGCATTCTTGTCTAGGTCCTTCCCCTGGACAAAATGGTATAATTTACCATTCTGACAATCTCTTTTTCCAGGATTTACAAGGCACTTACAGAGTCAAAAGAGAACCCGTGTCCCTAACCTTGGCTGCGCTGCTAGGGCTGGGGGTTGTGGCGGGGGTGGGGACAGGAACTGCAGCACTGGTAGTACAAGAGGCCCGCTTGTCCCAACAACAGGTGGCCATAGACCAAGACCTAAAAGAAATAGAGACATCTATAACAGCCCTACAAAAGTCCTTAACATCTTTATCTGAACTAGTCCTACAAAATAGAAGAGGACTAGACCTCCTATTTCTAAAGGAGGGTGGTCTATGCGCTGCCCTCAAAGAAGAATGTTGCTTTTATGCAGACCACTCAGGAGTTGTCAAAGACTCCATGACCAAATTAAGAGAACGCCTCAAAAATAGAGAAAGCGCCTCAGAGAAGACACCGTCTCCTCCATGTGGGGAGGCCTTTTTCCCTATTATCACCCCCCTATTAGGACCACTAGCTGCCTTATTGCTGCTTGTCACTGTAGGCACTTGGATCTTTCAGAGGATCATGACGATCATAAATAGGATAGATGCATTCATGGCAAAACCCATTCAGGTACATTATCATCAGCTGGAGGTGGCAGAGCGACAGACATATCGGGAAATGACACCCGCTAGTGGCCCATAACAGTGTGGTCCCAATGCCTTGAGGCACTGGACAGGCAGCCAAAGACGGCAACTTGGACATTTATGTCATACCACTGGCCGCCTAAGACAGGCTCAGGACCAACTGCTGTCCTGTAAGCCCACGACAGGTAAGGTCTGGTTGGGTTCTTTCGAGAGGTCCACGACCTAAGACAGGTGCTGTCCTCACAAGGCTTGCCATGCTCCTAAGCTTATAGAATAAAAAGGGAGGAGATGTAGAGAGCAGGGTGATGATCTCACTGCCGCCACCTCATTTCCTTTTCCCTTGGGTGCCAACTACATCTGCCTACATTACCCAAGAGCCTCTCCTGTCTACCTCACCCAAACGAGACGGCTGCCTACCAGAGATCACCACATAGCCTCTTCCTGTCCCACTAGCCCGCCCTTGGCCCATAAAAGCTGCAACCTCTTCCTGAATAAATGAGATTTGATTGGACTTCAACTTGTCTCCGTCTCTCTCTCTCCTCTTGTCCTTTGCCCCCCCCCCAATCCCGTTCCTCCACCAGGTGAGACCCACGGATTGATCCGCAGGCCAGATCACCAGAGTACCAACATGTCTTTTTATTGGAAAACCTGACCGTCCCTAAAACCCCAGCAGGCTCCAGGCAAACACCCCATCCTGCCCAGGTGCCCAGTGCAGAGCCCGGGCATCTTCAGCTCCTTTCATCTTGATTTGTGCACTGTGATGTCTGAGCATGAATATGGGGTTCCGGCTCACCACCCCGCAGACTCATCAGGTCTTTGGGCCCGGCCCTGTCGTTGCTTTCCTAGGGGAAGAGAATAGGATGAAAGCCTCGGCCCCTTCTGGAATGCCCAGCTGCCTCAGGCGTCTGCCCTTCTCCTCCCATCCCTACGTCCTGTTATTTTCAGCACCTGGATTTTAGTGCAAGGTCTTCCTTGCTGTCTTTTCTCCCAGGCCCCACTTCATTCTTGGAGCACCACCAACCAGCCCCGCCCCTACCTCCATTTGGGCCCCAACCCAGCCTCTCCTAGAGGCTTCACTCCAGCTCCTGTCCCGCTCACTTTTCTGGTCTCTTGATGTCTCTCTTAAGCCTTTTTATCAGTTCTTCACCCTCCTTGGTCCTCTGTCCTCACCTCAGGTCCCCTCACCCTTACCTCCTCCCTCCAAGAGTTCCTTTGCCTTGGCCCTGTCCTGCCCACCTCCTCCTGCAGCAATTTCTCTTTCCCACCTGCCCAGCCCTTGGCCTCTGCTTGCTGCCTCCCTGCTAGCTCTCTTACTATGCTTGGAGACCAGCATTGCTGCTACATGGATGACTGGTCTGGGTCCAGGTCATGCTCAGGCTCAGGCTCCTGCTCCTGTTCATCTTTTATCCTCTGACGGATCTCATCAGCCTCAGCCCTTTCCTCTTCCTCGTAGAACTCCTTGTCCAGACGCTCAAGGTGTGGCATCTGCACCAGAGCCTCCTGGCGGTAGTCAGTCTCATCCGTGCATGGATTCTCTAGCAGCACCAAAGCTCGAAGCTTGGGCAATTCCCGCAGCTTGGCCAGCTCCCCCACGCTGCTTATCGAGTTGCCCCTGCCAGTGTGGTTAGGAGGGGGTGACCCAGGAATAATGGGCTTTGGTTGCTGCTGTTAGGAGTGGGGTCCCTGGGGGGGGCCCTCCCACCAGGGCTCAGTTTCCCTTGAAACACTAGGCTTGCTGCAGAGGTGCTGCCCAGTCCCACTCCTGTCCTGCTTCTGCCCTTCAAGGAATCCCATGTTATGTGTCATTAACCTGCTGCAGCAGCAACGGGCCACACAGCGCCCTGCTGGGGGAGGAACACGCATTCATGCAGGTTAGGGTTAGGGTTAGAAGACAGGGCTCAGATCAGTGGAGAAGGACCTGGGATCTGAACATGGGTTTGTGTGGAGGATGTGCTGGTGGTGGCTGAGGGACCCTGGAGTAAAGGGCGAGTGGGAGAATAAGCCTGGGCTCTTTCTGGGCCTCCCTGTGGACAGCTATGTATTTAATCTTATATACTTTCTTCCAGCCTTTGTACAGATCATCCAAAAGGCTCTGCCTGGCAGTCATGGATGTGTTGGGCCTCCTACATTATAGGTGCCTATCCTGAAATATTCTGCTCAAGGTGGGATGTGGATCATCTCTGGTCCTTGTCATTTAGATGTGGTGTCTTCCGATGCCCCTCCTATCTCCAAGCAAGCCCAGTTAATAGCCACTGAGGTAGGATCTGTTAGCCATAGGGTATTTACAGGAACACACACACATACACACACACACACACACACACACACACACACACACACACACACACACCCATCCACAGAGCAGAGCTGATGGCCAAGAGACTGCCCCAGAGGACAGTGGCCTTGGACTTGGGCTCTCAAGTACATTACTCAATTCTGTTGCCAGCTAGAGGATTTTTTTTCTTTCTTCTTTTTCTTTCTTTCTCTTTCTCTCTGTGATTTTTTTTTTTTTTTTTGAGACAGAGTCTTGCTATGTAGTCCAGGCTGGTTTTAAACTTGCTGTGATCCCCCGTCTCAGCCTCCCAAGTGCTAGGATTATAGCTAAATGCCTATAACCTCCACACCCTACTGGAGGATTCTTCTTGTTCTTGTTACCTCCTAAGAAAGGTGGCAGTTTCCTTATACTTTTACTTAAACATGCATAAAGCAAAGTGGAGTGACACCCACTTATAATCCCAGCTACTTGCTGAAGTAGGAAAATCACAAATTTGAGCACATCCTGAGCCATTTAGAGATTTAGCAAAACCAGGTCTCAGAAAACAAAAAAAGAAAGAAAGAAAGGAAGAAAGGAAGAAGGAAAGAAAGAAAGAAAGAAAGAAAGAAAGAAAGAAAGAAAGAGTAAAAAGAAGAAAAAAGGTAGCAAGCATGGTAGGGCACTCCTGTAATCCCAGCACGCAGGAGGCTGAGGCACGAGGATCTTTGGAAGTTCAAGACCAGCCTGAGCTACAAAATGAGCCCAAGGCCAGCCTGAACTTCTTAGCGAGACCCTGTCTCAAAAAAAGAAAGAAAGAAAGAAAGAAAGAAAGAAAGAAAGAAAGAAAGAAAGAAAGAAAGAAAGAAAGAGAAAGAAAGGAAGAAAGAAAGAAAGAAAGAGAAAGAAAGAAAGAAAGAAAGAAAGAAAGAAAGAAAGAAAGAAAGAAAGAAAGAAAGAAGAAAAAGGTAGAGGGAAGGAGGGCTGGGGATATGGCTCACTATAAAGGCTCTGGATTCAATTCCCAGTACTGAAGGAAAAGAAACAGAAGAAGGAAAAGAAGAAATGACACACACAAACCCTCCAGGGGCTGAAGGAATAGCTGGGTTAGAGCTACACTTAGCATGAGTGAGGCTCTGAGTTGCTGACAGAAAATCTGTCTCTTCCAATGGGAATTTACTGAGGACAGGGCCAACAAGAGAGTTGGAGCCAGACTGTGGATTCTTGAAGAATGGGGTCACAGGGTGCAGTGGTATATGCCTATATTTCCAGCTACTTTGAGGCTGAGGCAGGAGGACAGCAAGAACTCAGGAGTTCAAGCACAGCCTGGGCAACACAGTGAGACCTCAATATAATAGAAAGAAAGAAAAGAAAAGAAATTACTTCTGATTTCTTCAAATGTTTCCAAAACACAGCACAAAGCCTGGCATCTTCTTATTAGTTATGGACTGAATAACTAAGATTCAGAAATTGCAATTAGGAGCAGATGTAGAAGGGATAAGGGAAGCAGAGCATCAGGAAGGCTGAGGCGAGGAGCAGACTGTGGGCAAGCACTGGGAGATGGGGCAGGCACAAGCTCCAAAGCTCCTCTTGGCCAGGGGCAGGTGCAGGGTGGGGCTGGGAAAGGACCCATACCTCAAATTGAGATACTGCAGGGACTGCATTTCTTTGGAGAAGCCGCTCAGAGTTTCAATGTGGTTGTCTCGCAGGTGTAAGGTGGTGAGATCGCTTAGGTTTTCCAAGCCTTCCACTTTCTTCAGCATGTTCTGGCCCTAGGGCCCAAGATGCAGGACAGTGAGAGAAGAGGGAGGGAGAGGGAAGGAAGGGGCATCAGAAAGAGGTAAAGCAAAAGAGGAAATGCAAAGAACAGGAAAGCAGGGTGGGAGATGAAAGGGAGCAGGCAGTCAACAGTTAACTAAAAATGCCCAGGAGGGGCTGGGCACACAGTTCAGAGGTAGATCACCTGCCTGGTACACAAGGCCCTGGACTCCATCTCAGAGAAAGGTCTGCTGCAACTCTATTCAGATCTCACCAAAACCAACTCTCAGTGAGGCGGAGGTACTTCACCCCACTCCCAAGGCCTGACAGCCCAAGAAACATGACCACAGCATTCATGGGAATGAAGCAGTGCCAGTCTAAAAGGCTAAACTTGGAAGCCTGACTACATTGCCTCATTACAGCACAGGATGCTGCTACCAGCATCAAAGCGGATTTTCTCTGCATGATCCACAAGGGCTCATCAGCCCTACCAGGTGGGAAGCACCTTGGCTGTTTCCACTTCACATCTCCATGGCATCTGGCACCAAGGAAATGCTCTATTGATGGCACTGGGTGGTGAGGTTAGGAGCTGAGCCTACAAGGACCCAAGCATCCTCATTCCCCGCCCCCCATACCACCCAGTGGCCCAGGGAGCTACCAGGAAGAGTTTCTTCAGCTTAGGAAGGTTGATCCCCACGGTGGTGTACAGCTGGTTCGCCCGGAGCTCCAAAGTATGCAGGCTTTTCAGCTTCTCAGGGTCCAGACCAGTCACCACCTGGATGCGGTTCCCTGGGGGAGGAGAAGATCAGCACTCACAGGGCCTCTCTGAAGGTACAGCATTGCAGCATGCATTTTTTTTTTTTTTTTATCGGTACAGGGATCGAACTCACGACTGCGTGCTTGCAAGGCAGGCGATTATGCCTCTGAGCTAAATCCCCAGCTCATTGCAGCATGCATTTTAACAGCATCTCCTAACACAGGAAGGATGCTCCAGACTCTGACTCTAGAGTCCTGAGCCAAGTGGATCTAGTGAACATGCCCACCTGTGTGGACTGCACAGCCCACACGTCTGACTCCCTCTCCTTCAAGCTGTTGCTCAGATGTCTTTGTGATGCTTGTCCTAACCAACCTGTTATAAATTGCCACTTGTGGCTCCCTATCCTGCTTTCCCTGATCTATTTTTTCCATAGTGGGTATCTTCTCTTTACATACTACAAGTTTATTTATTTACTGTGTGCATTAGTAGATTTTTTTTTTTTTTTTTTTTTTTTTTTTTTTTTTTTTTTGAGACAGAGTCTCACTATACAATTCAGGCTGGCTTTGAGCTCACTTTGTAGCCTGGGCTGGTCTGGAATTCGCAACAATCCTACTGCCTCAGTCTCACAAGTGCTAGGTTTACAAGCATGCACCACCATGCCTGGCTTATTGTGTGCATTATTGTCTGCCTCAACTAGAAAGTAAGCTATGAGACAATAGGGATTATTTTCCAGTACTGGTGATTGAAGAAAGGGTCTTTGCACTGAGTTTGTGTCTCAATCCCTTAGCTGGATGTGGTGGCATCCTTTTTATTTATTTTTTATTTTTATTTTTATTGTGGTATTGGGGATTGAACTCGGGACCTTGCGTTTGCCAAGCAGGCACTTTACCACTGAGCTAAACCTTGCCCCCTACCTTTTTTTTTTTTTTTTGTCTTTTTGAGACAGGGTCTCACTATGTGGTTCAGGCTAGTTTGGGGCTCACTTTATAGCCCAGACTGGTCTGAACTTACAACGGTCCTCTGCCTCAGCCTCCCAAGTGCTGGGATTACAGAGGACACCACCACACTCAGCTTCCCTTTTTATTTTTTGAGATAAAATCTTGCTAAATTGCCCAGGCTGAGCACAAACTTGTTTTTTTTTTTTTTATAGTAAGAATTTTTTCATTTTTTAAAAATTTTATTTAAAAAAGAGAAAAGTCAGAAAAATATGGAACACTTCACCAATTTGCGTGTCATCCTTGCACAGGGACCATGCTAATCTTCTCTGTATCATTCCAATTTTAGTATACGTGCTGCCAAAACAAGCACTGAGCACAAACTTGTGATCTCTTGTCTTAGCCTCCCACAGTGCTTGGATTACAGGTATGAGCTATCATGTTCATTCCTATCATGAGAATAGGAACCTTTGTTTTGTTTAAGGCTATATCACCAACATGAAGAATTGTCGAAACAAATCCAAATTTAGTGTCCTGGGATTTTTTGGTTATTTTTTGGGGTTTGTTTTGTTTTGTTGAGACAGGGTTTCACTATGCAGTTCAAACTGGCCTTGAGCTCACTCTGTAGCCCAGACTGGTCTCGAACCTGCAAGGATCCTCCTGCCTCAGTCTCCCAAATGCTGGGATTACAGGAGTGTGCCACCATGCCCCAATTTAACCTGATTTTTTTCTGCTCTTTTTCTTTTATCAGTACCGGGGATTGAACTCATGACCATGAGCTTGCAAGGCAGGTGCTTATGCCACTGAGCTAAATCTCCAGCCCTATCCTGATTTTTTAAATGATGCTGGGGATTAAACCCAGGAGTTTGAGCTGGGCATGGTAGTGCACATTTGTAATCCCAAATCTTAGGAGGCAGAGGCAAGAGGATCACCGTGAATTTCAGGCCAGCCTGGGTTACATAATGAGTTCAAGGCCACTATGAGCTACATAGCAAGACCCTGTTTCAACAAAAAACCAAAAAACCAGGGGCTTGTGTATGGTAGTTAAGCATTCTTCCACTGAGCTATGTCTCCAGTTCTGTGAGTGTGTGAATGACTGAATGAATCCAGATTGCTGTATGGGCCGCACTACTCACTGTTAGCCCCAGGCTAGGAAGGAATAAATCATACATAGCTCCTTATAAGGACCTGCCTTTGAGATCCAGACTTGCTAGCCGAGGATGAGTGATTCCTTCAGTGTCAGTGATCTGATTGTAGGCAAAACTGGCGATCTGCAGGTAGGGCAGTTCATTCAGCTGGGCACTCCGAAGCTGGTTGCCATCAGCCTTGAGCCACAGCAGGTGGGTGAGGTTATTGAGTGGTGTTAGGTCTGTCAGGTGGTTCTCAGAGATATCCACATATCGCAGATGGATGTAGGAGCACAGCAAGGAGATGTCTGTCAAGTCTCTAGGAGGTGCAGAGCAGGGAGAACCAGGGTTGAGGAAAGAATCAGGAAAACCACAGAGTGCTAAGGCAAAGGGCTTACAATGAATGGTGAGAGGTGGGAGGGGTGAGGATGGGAAAGAGAAGGTAGATAGGGGTGTGTATGTGTGTGCATATTACTGAGACTGGAACCCAGCACCTTGCACATGCTGGGTACATGCTGTATCACTAAGCTCCATCTCTAGCCCCACGTGTAGGTTTTTAACAGTGTCTTGCAGACTTCGTGTCTATGCAGGACAGAGACTACACAGTCTGAAAGACAGGTGAGAATGCAACAGGAATACACACACTCTAATTCAGCCTCCAATTTCTCTGGACAACTTCTGAGTCTGTGTGTTTTAGGATGCTGGGAGTGAACCTGGTGCTTCTTGCACACTAGGCAAGTGCCCCAGCACTAATTTAGACACCCCGCCCCATGGGAGATTTAGAGATACTGAAAAGCAAATCCTAGTCTTCCCTTGCCCACGTGGCCAGGATGAGAGAGAGATCCAGTTTCCACCAAAACACCTGGGATAAGAGTGGGAAAGCAAATGGGTTCCTACTCTCTCTCAATCATGGGTCATTTTGTTGCCATAACACACCTGTCTTTAAGATCCAGCTTAACATATGCATGAGCCAGTCCATTCCCCGTCTTACAAAGCATAGATAGCCCTTCCTTCATCATCTCCTCTGTCAGGGGTGTGGGCGGCCACTGTAGGAGGGAAGGGTTTAAGATGACTCTTGCGTCTACTCCCACTCCTCGGCCCTAGGACCCTTTCTTTCTAGACTCTCACTTCCTCAGACAAATCTTCGCCCTCTTTCTTGTAGTCCTCCCACTCCTCTGTATCCTTATCATCTTCTTTTTCCAGATCATCCTGCTCTGGTTCCGTGTCATCCTGATCATCTTCGTCGGACATCTTTCTCTTCGCCGGAGGATTCTGGAGTCAGATAAGAGCAGTCCTGGGTATTGAAAAAAAAAGATTTAGGTTTCACCACCCCTCAGCTCCCTTACCTCTATTGAGCCCATCACCTCCCCGCTGGCTCCCAAGTTTGCTTTGCCCTTGTAAACATCTCCCGTTGACTCCATTTCATGTTTTCCACACACAATCTCCTCCAAGTTTCCCTCCCAGACCCCCAGACCTTTCTAACTTTCCCTCCCTACTTAGCCCCATTTCCCTCTGTCCACTGTCCTCCCACCCAATCACCCTTTCCCCAAGGGGCGCAGACACTGGTTTTCTCAACTGGAAGCAGTTGCGGAGAGGGTCTTAGTCCAAAGCGAGGGATTGCTTTGGAAGAGGTACAAGAAGGGTTAGTTTGTGTACAGCAGTTATGGCAACGGGAGGCGGGGGGGGGGGGGGGGGCGGAGCGCCAGGTCCCTGCCTCTGCAATTGGGAAGGAAAGAACCACCCTAGCTGAGCTGCAGGCCAAACCCGGGGCCAGTGGACCAACAGTTGCCTGGTTACCAGGCCAACTTCCGAGTCCCAGGAACCCGGATGAAGCAGGGGCTGTAAAACAGTGGGCAGGTCTTTGAGAAAGGTTAGCCATTGCGTCATCCAAAACCTTAAAGGGACAGGGTATCCTCACTGCCAGTGTACTTTACAGTGTTGGGAGTTTAGAAGAAATTTGTCTCTAAAAGCCAAAGGAGCAGGATGGGTGTAGAGAACGCTAGATGTTGCAAGAAGTACCAAGGTAAGATGCCTTGTTCTCACATAAGCCTTGCCCAGTAGTTATTTTCAGGTAAACCTTGAAAGATGATTTGATGGAATACGTGGAACCCAGGCCAAGATATAGTATCTGAAACCTGGGGGTTGGAATCTGACAGATCTGCAGTTTACCAGCAATTTACCTAACCCTCTGTCAAATAGGTAGCTGAGCTTGGTGGCACACACCTGTAATCCCAACTCTCGGGAGGCTGCAGCAGGAGAATCGTTGCAAGTTTGAGACCTGCCAAGGCGACAAAGCCAGCCTGAACTGCGTAGTGAGATCCTGTCCCAAAAAGACAAACAGAAAAAAAAAAAAAAAAAAAAAAACTTAGATAAATATAATTACACCAACTGTCAAGGGCTGGTTGTGAATGCCCTTGGATTGGTGCCCTTGGATTAGATTTATGAAACTCTTGGATAAGGGAAAATATCCAGCATCTGCCCACTAAAAACCCCCAATCCTGAGCAGGGTGTGGTAGTGTACACCTGTCGTCCCAGCACTGAGAAGGCTGAGGCAGGAAGATCACTGCAAATTTGAGCTAGCCTAGACTACATAGTGAGTTCAAGACTTACCTGAATTAGTAATGAGACCCTCTCTCAAAAAACCAAAATAAATAAATAAATTAAATACTCCTAATCCAGTGCTATTATATCAGTTTTTAAGCAATAACTCACCTGAAGGAGATGAGTCGAGATGTCACAAATGTTCCTTAAATTTATGCCATAGGGGCTGGGGATTTAGCTCAGTGGCATAAGCGCCTGTCTTGCAAGCAGGCAGTCGTGAGTTCGATCCCTGGTACTGATAAAAAACAAAAAAGACAAAAAAAAAATCTAATAATAAATTTATGCCATAAATTGCATCTGATGTCATTACAAGTGATATTTAATCTTTCTGGGAATGGTGGCATGGCCCCGTTACCCTAGCTACTAGGGAAGCTGAGGCTGGAGGATCACAAATTATGTTTTTTTCTTCTTCCTTTTTTTTTTTTTTAATCAGTACCAGGGATCAAACTCACGACCATGCGCTTGCAAAGCAGGCGCTTATGCCACTGAGCTAAATTTCCAGCCCTGAGGATCATAAATTAAAGACCAGCCTAGAAAACTTAGTGAGATCCTGTTTGAAAAGTTAAAAGGGGGTCACCCCCTTAGGAAGATTAACATTTATGCCACAATTCTTGGAAAAAAGGAATTATACTTGGGAAAATGGATTTGTTATAGAATGAGTGCAAACAGAACAGTTAGGTAATAAAGTAAAATACATAACTAAATTGTTAGCTTGTATGTTACAGTCTTTAATGTACAAAGTGGCTGGGAAGATGAGATGGGAGAATAATCAGGATGTATTCCTCTATAATCTATAGGCATCTGCTTGAGGTAAGATGGGAGAAATAAATAGAAAGGAGACAACAAATATCATAATATTGTACTTTTTAAGAAAAACTGCAAAGCCAGACATGGTGATGCACACCTGTAATCCCAGCACTCAAGAGACTAAGGTAAGAAGATTGGGCTGGCTTTAGCCCAGCAGTTCCTTCAAGTCTGGCTTCCCAACCGCCCGGGCTGATTAGACTGGTGGTTCCAGACCCGCGGGTGCTCTCCAGTCCTTTTTAAAAATAAATAAATAAATAAAGAAGATCACTATGAGTTTGAGTTTACTCTTGGCTAATAGTGAGTTCTAGGCCAGCCTGAACTACATAGCAAGACCCTGTCTCAAAAAGCCAAAAACAAAAACAAAAAAACCCCTGTAGCTTTAGGACACAAAAGTCATTCAAACTTTTTTCCCTTCCAGAAAGAATTTCTAAAGGTCTTAAAGGAAATAAGCTTTTTGTGTGTGTGTGTGTGTGCGTGTGTGTGTTTTTCGGTACCAGGGATTGAACTCAAGACTGCCTGCTTGCAAGGCAGATGCTTATGCCGCTGAGCTAAATCCCCAGTCCCTTGGAGTCACTTTCTAGAGATGGTTTTTAGGTTCTTTCTTCTCAAGCAAAGAATTGGTCAAGATAAGCACAAATGGTAGGAAAGTTTTGTTAAGAGTAGGAAAAGAAACAGGCCCAATAGAGTGAACTTGGGCCCAGTAAAAGTACAAAAAGAAGTATACTCTACAGCAGTGATGGCAAACCTTTTGGAGTGTCCAGTGATACGAGCAACGCACTGCTGTTAACCACCACTGTCCTACCGTGTGAGAGTGGCTGCCATGCAAGAGAGAACAGAGTGCCAAAACTTCAGTGTGGACTGTCCTTTTCCTATCATGTACTCCTCAGGCCCCTCAGACAGTTGTCAGGTCTAGGCTGTCTTATGGAAAACCTGCCAGAGTTCTCACCAGAAGTCCACGTGCAGGGATTGGGGAACTGTTCTGTGTGTGCAACCTTCCAGTCTCATCAGAAATATTTCCAGCTCAAGGCCACAATACACCTCTACCTCTGGAAGGTCTGCAATTGAGTGTGTACTTTTTTTTTTTTTTTCTGTTTTTGTTGTGGTACTGGAGATCAAACTCATGACCTCACACTGGTCAGTCAGACGATAATGCCGCTGAGCTAAATCACTGGCCCAAGTGTACACTTGTTCTGGTTAATAAATCTCTTCATGCCTCTCACACTGATGATTCCTGAAAATTCTTTTTTTGTTATTTTTTTGGGAGAAGGTATCAGGAATCGAACTCAGAACTTCACACTTGCAAGGCAGGCGCTGCGCCACTGCGCTAAATCCCCAGCCCAAAAATTCTTTTATCTGTGATGGAAGTCAGCCAACCAGTAGCCTGCTCCATGGGTGGGTGAGGTGAGTCCAGCCCAAGTCAAGCTTCCCTACTTGTACTGCAGGGACCTCCTTGGACCCCATTGAGTGACAGCCCAACTTGGTGTCGTGGAACTAGCAGTGGCTTTAGTCAGAGACAGTAGTACTGTTACAAACAATGGAGCTGAGAAAGTCACTCCTTACCACCTCTATAGTTTAAAGGGCACCCTGGCACCATTACTCCTTCCACTGTCCTGAGGTAGAGAATCACATAACAAAACCCCAGGTAATCTCTGATGCTCTAGGAGAGAGCACATGTGCATTGGGTCACCTTCACCCTCCTCCAACCGTGTTATGGACAGTTGGTGAGTAAACACCAAGTCTCATTCATGCAATTAAGATCAGAGTGGATTCTGGGACAGGCAGGCATGGAGAGAGCCCTAGAGATGACACAGCGCCCTGTGAGTCATTCCTGTCTCACACCTAGAGACTCAGGGAGGACTCTGGGCACAGGTGCAGACCTTTAAAGTTCCAAGCCTGATTTCTCTGGGAGCTGCTGAGTGCTCCGCATGCTGTGCTTTTGCTTTCGTGTTGGCCCTGCACCACTTCTCTGTTTGTGCCTTATCTTTTGTCAGGATTTGCCCTGAGCACAGCTTCCCGTGATCTTTAGTAAACTCAGCTGCTGGGCCTGAGATGGAACTCAGTGGCACAGAGCCTGCTTGGCAAGTGCAAGATCTTGAGTTCAGTTCCTGGCACAAAAAAAAATTAGCTGCTTTGTACTTGCCATGCAGTGCACACTTGCAATTCATTGCTCATCATACACAAAGATTATTCTTTGTGGGGTTTTTTTGTCTTTTTTTGAGACAGGGTCTCATTATACAGTTCAGGCTGATCTTACGCTCACTTTGTAGCCCAGACTGGTCTCAAATTTGCAAAGATTCTCCTGCCTCAGCCTCCTGAGTGCTGGTATTATAGGCATGCACCTCCATGCTCAGTTGAGCCTGGATTATACTTGTCTAAATATTCGGAATTCTAAAATGTTCAAAAATTTCTAATTTGTTTGTCTAGCTCTGTGGTTTACATTATTAGAATTATCAAACTTCGTCTGTATTTGTGATGTGCTTCTGTCCATCTTTGTAAGGAAGATATGTCAGAGATGGTGATGAGCTCCTATAAATCCTGTCACCAGGGTTCCTGGATACTGTAGGCTTCTCCTAGAGATTCTTGCCAGTTCTTGTTGTCCTGAACAAAGAACTGGACAAGTGAAAAAAAAAAAAAAAAAAAAAAAAACGTAGTAGGAAAAGGACACTTTGCCACGTGAGAGTGGGCTATTGAGGAAGAGCACAGTGGCCATGAGGTTCATGACTGATGTATTTTTTGCCCTTATTATTCAGGCTGACATCAGATCTAGGCCATCCTATACAACATAGAATTTTTTTTAAACAGAGTCTCACTATCTGAATTTATGTACCCCAGGCTGTTTCTGAGCTCATGGTCATTTTCCTTCTAGGTCTCTTCTATTTCCAAATGAATTTTAGGATTTTTTTTTCTCTATTTCTGTGAGACATGCTATTGGAATTTTGATTAGGATTGCATTAAATAACAGTTTCGGAAGAATGGCCATTTTTACTGTTGGTTCTTCCTACCCAAGAACATGGGCTATCTCTCCCTTTTTTTTTTTTTTTTTTTTTTTTTTGTTGTCTTTTTTGTTTTTTTTTTATCAGTACCAGGGATCGAACTCACAACTGCCTGCTTTCAAGGCAGGCGCTTATGCCGCTGAACTAAATCCCCACAGGCCCCCCCCCCTTTTTTTTTTTGTCTTTTTGAGACAAGGTTTCACTATGCAGTTCAGGCTGGCCTTGAGCTCACTTTGTACCCTAGGCTTGTCTTGAACTTGCAGTGATCCTCCTGCTTCAGCCTCCCAAATGCTGGAATTAGGAGCATGCACCATCATGCCTGGTTCTCTCTCTCTCTCTCTCTCTTTTTTTTTTTTTTTTTTTTGTACCAGGGTTCAAACTTAGGACCTCACACTTGCCAGGCAGGTGCTTATGCCACTGAGCTAAATCCCTCGCCCCTATCTCTCCATTTTCTTTCTTTCTTTCTTTCTTTTTTTTTTTTTTTTTTTTTTTTGGTATTTTTCGTTTTTATCGGTACCAGGGATCGAATTCACGACTGCCTGCTTGAAAGGCAGGCGCTTATGCCGCTGAGCTAAACCCCCAGCCCCTATCTCTCCATTTTCTAATATCTTCTTTAATCTCC